TGGACTTAAAATTAAGAATACAATACTGGATCTTCTTGCATTAACGAATGGTGACATGTCTGCCAGCATCATTTAATGTAGTCTTCTACAATTATGATCTGAAATGTTAATTATGAAAGTGGTTGCGACGCTCTCTAAATGGTTAGTTAAAGTTAATAACTCATTCTTCAATACTGGTGAATTTTTAAAATATATTTCTTTTCTCCTTTATTTTCCAATAAATAATGAGTAAGCAGATAGATTGATATTGATATGATTTGATACTTGTGTAAGGATATAGTATAAATAGTTTTATGAATGTGAGTTGAAGGAATTAAATATATTGGTCATTGTTGTATTGCATTTAGGGGATTTCAATCACAGAAAATGTGACATAATTTTCGAATAGGCATAAAGATATTGTTTTATTTAAAAATAAAATAATTTGGCATTATATATGTGTACATTGTCTTAGCATATAAATGAAATAATATATTTATTTTGTCAAACACGCTAAAATTATCCTAATTATTTTTTTCTGAACTTAAAATTATATAGTTTATGTTCGTAACGCAATGTGTCCATATGCACTGAAGTTTTTGACACCTCTCTACAAACATTAAATAATTTGTCAAGTTAAATTTCTGTGTTTAATTAATGAGTATGTGTAATAACAGCCAATGAATCATAAGTTTGGCTCAGGAAGTCATAATAATAAATTGAAAACGAAAGTAGAAAGGTGGCGGAGCTGTCTGCTAGAAAACATGGCGATGCTCATTGTGTCCATGTGGAAAAAAGAAGTTACGTACATAATAGATTCGGTAAGTATATTCATATTGTATCAATTTGAATGAATGTTTAACATATAAATACAGTCATTGTATCTTTATACCATGTAGCTATTAATCAGAAACTAAAATATGTCGCTTAGGACCATACAAAATGCATAAATCTGTCCGAGTCAAGTACTTTCGGTTTAACATTTGACTTTTGATTCGCGTCTTTTGTTACGAACATAAGTGTTTTTATATTATTTGTATAATCTATTAATGATAAAGTTACATTGTACTATATTTTATTCTATATTTGTTAGTTTTGTTCTGTTCTTATCAAAGGATGGATACTTATTGAATATTTTTTTTAATATGCCATATCATTTACACAATTGACGTTCGTAAAGGAGACACGAAAACTTGAAGTAGTGACATAATTTGTCCTTTAATTGCCTTGTTTCTGGTTTTATCAAGGATATATAATAAATATAATTTAACAGCATATGTATTGATTACATCATGGTGTGTTTTGTTTTATATATTTTTTTTCTTTCAGATTTACAAAAAATGACTGAATTATGTTCGTAACAATGACACAAAGTCCACAAGACTCAAATTAGAAGACATAGAATATTTAGCAATCCATCTGACAATTATCTTGTCTGCATTAATTCTCTTTGAAAGCTAGTCTATTATTAAGCTTTGAAATGAAATATTAAAAGTATTAAAGACAAGTGTTCCATTGTCTTGTTATTTTTTTGTTCCTTTTTAAAGCCTGATCCGGAGTTAGGTGTCCATGTTACTTACATAATTTCTCCTTTTTTGAAACTAGAAATAAAAAGTGTGGCTTTTTAGATATATTCCATTTAATATAACATTAAACATGATTTCATCATACCTTACTGATTACATTATTTTCATATTTTAACAACTTGTTAAATTCTAGTAATATGTTACTTGTTTAGTGCTTATGTAAGTAACGGTGTCCATTGGTAATCTTGGATATATTTTCTGATTTCAATGGAATAAGGCAGAAATAAGTCATGCAATAAAACATGCAAACTAGTGTTTATATACTTAAAAAAGGATTCATCAGAAAAGAATAGCTTATTGATTTAAAAAACAGCCACTGTGGACACCAAGTTACGTACATAAAATTTCAGACATGCTTGTACATTTGGACACCTATCTCCTCTTTAAGACTTCAGATTATCTTCCCATCAATTTTTTTTCAAAAGCAGGAAGGGCACTGACTCAATTAATATACATACATTATGAAATTGATTATTTTTAAAAAATAGCCCTTTGGTCACACATCTGAATTCAGTTCTGAAGAATGAGTTAAATATGAAAGAAAAAATAAATTATTGGTAATTTTGACTTAATGCTTTATTTGTCCCTAGAGCTGAAAAAATATGAGAGAATCAAAGAACTAATTTTTGTCTGTTTAATAACATCACGGTGGTAGAAATTGAAACTTAGTGTCTTGATAAAATAATTGAAGGAATCTGTCGCAGAAATCCTTTTATCATCATAAGAAGGAAGATTCATCGATAAATAGTACGTGTTTAAGGAACATCATAAGCTTTTAAGGCAACATCGCGATTAGATCCCATTACTTCTGCTGTTCAGGTCTCAAAACTATTTTGTTCATTAAGTATACAAAAGAAATTGATCTTGCAAAAAACTTTTCATGATTTAAAATTTTGGATCTACATACTAGTATCTTGCACAGTGAAAAACTGAAATAAATATGTATAAATTCTATGTAGGAAAGGGTTCTTTTATCAAACGTGTTTTTCTTCATAATGAACTAAAAAGTCATTGCTATCAAAGAAGACAGCACTATCATTTTTACCGGATACTTGTGTTGAGTCAATTTAAACCGGAATGAGAAGCAAAATGGGGATTTTGAATAGATTCTACATTCACTGCCTAATAAAAATTTGGAGACCTGTAATACTGTGAAAGTTCACTTTGAAAAATTACATAATTGCAACATGACATTTATATCACGTTCCTTTTGGTAATAAATGACTCTATAACGCATGGTTAATGGCCAAAACAAAGGTTCCATCGAACGACATAATACATAAATACTTATTGATGTAAATGTCACAAATCTGTGCCTAAAATTACATGTAAAATTATGCCTGAGTAACCTGACAATGCACATTTTTGGGTCACAAAACATTTTGTTTCATACAAGTACAAAGGCTGTTGGAAAAATTCGCAGACACATTGTTTTACAGAAAAGTTATTATGTACTTTGAAGAAAAACACGCATCTGATTTCATTCTCATCTTTTTCAATAAGTATTCAGAAAATCAGGTCAACTTATTGACATTTTGAAAATATATAATGACTTTTGCTTGGTGTCATAGTACCCACGTCATATACCCTTGACTGTTAAGTAACAGTTCGAAGTATACATCATTTTTATAGAGTTTTTATATCTATTTCCTTCCTAAAATTGAACAACTCCATTAAGATAAGTTACATTTTTTTCTTAAACGTCTTTAGTGGCGTATGGGATATTTGTGAGATATTTTTTTAAAAAATCTATCTTTACACGGTTAAGCGATCAGATATGAAACATTTCAATATCCATAGCTGCAAAATCCAGCAGGACATTAGGGTATCGCAGGAGAGTAATCATAAAAAATGTCAATCCTTACATTCTTACAATGTACATTCATATGATACACGTACGGAGTCCCGAACTGCATCTAAAACATTGTATTCTCTATTGGGCATTCTGCTGTCTACACACATTTTTATAGCTCGTTGCTCCAAGACGTTCAACTTCGTTGTCATCTTTTACTATGTATTTCTCTTTTGATCATCTATAATTAACGATAAAACAGCAATTACTGCTCCATTTCAATTCAAAATATGTCCTATAAATGAGTAGTTTTGAAGCAACAGTTAAAATACCATAATTTTTTCTACGCTACTGTAATTTCATTTTCATTTAAATGCCTGTGTTATTACATACATGTGTGGAAATATGATATACTCCGTTAAACAAAATATATCGAAATGATTATAATTGTAAATATTTAGTATACCATAAAAGCTGCATTAGAAAACTTGCAGTATTTTACTAGTTCCACGCAATTTGGGCATTCAATTTTTTTTTTTTAACTTTTCCGCAACCTAGTTCATGACGTCATTTGTTATCACAATATTGCCATTTTTCTTACTAATTGTTAGAAACTTATTTCACACTGAATTGTCGACAGATTTTTGCGTTATTTCTCGATCATGAAAGGAACACACGGTAAGAAGGGATGCTAACTTCTCCATGGCACCTGATCCCACCTCTGATTTTTTATCTCCATCTATTTCATTACTATATGTTTTCTTTTTATATAGTGATTTTATAGCTCATAAGATGCCATTTTGATATCTACATATATGACGTCATAATCATTTTTGTGTGAATTTGATCGAGCAAAATATTTTGGATCTACACACTAGTACCTTCCACAGTGAAAAACTGAAATAAACGTGTGTTGAAAGAATCTACCATGATCATGGTTTGTTTTGAATATTACTTTTTATCTAACTAGATTTGTATTTTTCACCTTTGGCGAGGGATAAAACACAAAACAACTAGGATATAAAATAAAAATCAAAATCCACGGAATATCCTTTATGCAGATATCTTTCAAGATCATTTAATCAGTAAAAGGCCTCGTTCCTGGAATCGGTCATAATGAAAATCACATTTGATATATATACCTCAGGTTATTAATCTTTACCAATTATATTTGATATTTCAAATGATTTTTGTTTCATGTTCGAAGCAATTCTCATATACTAATTTCTTCTGTAAAAAAATACTAATAACTGTTAGATTGAGAACATAAGTAGGCAAGACGTATTACGACAGTCACTGTTATAAATCCAACAAAAACGCTTTTAAAAATGCAAATTAAAATGAAATATTGGATTTACTAAATATCTAACCTGGTTGATTAACAATTCAGTAACTTATTTCAATGGAATTTGAAATTTATTTCTAAATTATTGATTCAGAATAATACTTTAAAATACGACCATTACTTACTAAATGAGTGAATGGTTATCGGTGTAGTAAAATTTCGTAAATGTGCATTTTTATTTTTTTTTTTCAAATAAAGGCTTAAATGTCAAATTTATTTAGCCCTTTAATTTGCTTTCGTAAAAGCAATTTTTTGATATATTAAATTTGTGTTCAAACATGGCTAGTTTTTTTCACAGGCGGATCCAGGTTTAGCAGCACAGTGTTTATTTGAACACATTAATGAGGAGCCTGTGAAAGTTGCCATCTTTGGTCCCCCTAAATCTGATCCATACCAAATCGTGGGACAAATCACGCCTAAGTTTAACCTGATACAGGTAAGCAGAAAAGTTTTATTAAATAAAACACACTAATAGGAAATCAAGAACCTGTCGGAAGGGGATGTTTACTCCTCCATGGCGCCTGATTATTAAATCGGCTTAATGTTGGTTTGTGTCAGGGTCAGTGCATAGGTATGTATAAGTGAAGTAACGATGGTAGGTGATGATCAGTAGCTAGGAAACTTAACTGAAATGTCACGAAAAGCAAGTAAATTTACTAAAACTCAGTCATATGTTGCTTGATGGATTTACATGAAGCTGATAGAATTTTAATCACTTAAAACATAGGCAAAATTATTAATAGTTTAGATATAGTTCAATATGTGTCTCTAAAGCACATTGTTTCTCTTTCCACTCTCAATCATCACATAATTGAGTAAAGTTCCATTTGAATTTTGAATTTCAGATGTCATTTCTGGCAAAAACTTCAAACATGATAGACAGGAATTTGTATTCTTCGACGTTCATGACCAACTATATAGAGGATGACCTAAACCCAGCTCGTCTTGCCATGATCAAGTACTTCAAATGGACAAAAGTTGCAACACTATTTTACAATGAAGAGATATTTGTTTCGGTAAATATTCTACAATAACTTATCTTTGGTTTTAATCTATTGTCATTATCTTTTAAATGAATCTCTCTCTCTCTCTCTCTCTCTTTCTCTCTCATCATTTTATTCTTGCAGAATATGTCAGAATACCTGTGAAAAAAAACTTTAAATAGTCCAAGTGAAAATTATTAGAAATGTATAGAAGAAATACTAGAAATTGACATAAAACGTTGATCAAATAACCTTTCAATCCTTAGAAAGATGAAGAAATAATCAGGTTTAATAGCTTTGAAATAAATTCCATATAAGATTTGTTATCAACATTATCAAATAAAGGAAGTCTGCCATTCCCCGATAAATCAGTCGTAGACCTGTGTTGTTGCTCTCTTTCTCCATTATCAAATGGATTTTACAATCAAAGGGCTTTATTAGCCCAAAATGCATCTTTAATATTGATGATTTTCCCCGAGTTTCTTATTCTCATGGGGAATTTTTTATTTGATTGAAAATGCAGTAGGTACGTGTTTGAAAATGATTTATAAATAATTGAAATATATGCAAACTGTTACGAATATTGCAGCATCATTTTACTAGTATTGATTTCATTTATTAAAAGGCAGAGGACGTAAATTTAATGAAAAAAAAATCAACTTTTCATTTTTTTTATTTTAATTGTAGATTTCAATGCAAGTTTTATGACAGATATATTCTGTCAAAAGATTTTTTAACAAAAATGTTATTAGAAAAATGTTTGCTAATGAAGTAAAAGACCATGTAAAAAAATCGCCTTATTCTTGCTGCCGCAATCTATATGCCTTTCCTGATTTGTTTTTCATAATATGTACCTATATTTGAGTCATTTTCACAGCAAGGAAATATATGGTGAATTAAGTAACTATACATGTATAATTGTTATATTTCATTCTCTAGATTGGAAAAGGAAGCTTCAGAAATTTCTTAATATATTTTTTTTTCTTATGCAACAATTGGTATACAAACGTGAGTAATTAGCATTCGACTTGATAACAGATAGTTCTTTTAACACGATCATATTGTGTCGGATATATTAAGTGCAAAATGTTGACTTTAAACGAGGCTGTTGACATTTTTGATTCATCAACTTGTTTGGCAAAATCTTGTGTCGATTTAGAAATTGTTTGTACGTAGAGCATCCTCTTGAGCATCAGATCAACTTTTAGACGTAATCCTCATACGCCAGGGATAAGGATATATTACTACACAAAAAAAGAACGTTTACGATAGAAAATTAAAATTATCTAGTTTATTATACATTTTTCTTTTTATATAACCTTTATCGTCTTTTTCTAGTTAAATGTTAAAATATGAAACAGAAACCGGTATGTCAGATTCCGTAATATCTTTTATTTCAAGTTCACTGGGATATATGGAGTCGACCTTTGAAGAGGAGTAACTTTTGTTAATAAGATTTGTACGTCCTCGATATATCTAAATGTTGAGCTGGAAGTCATAAAATTTTCATATACATGTACATATAAAGTGACGATTCAATTGTTTTTTCTCTGTTCAGTATTTGATTTCTTTAGAGCGAGATGAAATGGCCCAAGTGTGACGTTTCACAAAATGTTCATTAAAACGCCCCATATAAAGCTTCGTTCAAGATCCACAACATACATTCATAAAAATCAATGTCCGTATAAATAAGTTCTGAATCAAATGTCTCAGTTTGAGGTTAACATTTTAAAATACTGATCATACGTCATGGAACTATTTGAAATTTCTTAAGTTTCAGTTTTCCAGAAACTTTTTGGATGCACTATCTCTGAGACGAAAACAAATGGTAAAACAAAGTTATTGTATATCACAAAAATCAATAGTTGAAATAGAATATAGTGCATGTTTAAGCTAATTCTATCAAGAGAAAATGGTCGGATGATTCATTCTAATTTTCAGTTGTCGAGATTTAGTTATAAGATCTGTCATTTTAATTTCAGGCCTATTAATTCCAACTGGAAAACTTGTCATCTTATGCAAGCTTCAACAAATTATTTGCTTTAACATTGAACATAGAGATTCCCTCAGTGGATACAGCGAGTTGAAAGGAAAGAGAATAGGCTGTAAACAGAAAAGAGAATAGAACAAAAAGAGAATAGGCCTTTTCAAATGTTGTTAAAAAAATCAAATTGTTCATCTTATACAAGCTGCAACAAATTATTTGCTTTAACATTTAACATAGAGATTCCCTCAGTGGATACAGCGAGTTGAAAGGAAAGAGAATAGGCTGTACATAGAAAAGAGAAGAGAACAAAAGAGAATAGGCCTATTCAAATGTTATAAAATATCAAATTGTTCACGCACACACACAAACACATATTTTCTCTGCATTTTACAATTAAAAAACAAAACAAAACAAAACATCAAGTATTTCTCTTGGAAAGATCCCAGCATTTTTAATATCATAACATTATTTGAGTATTATAGCATTTGATCTATTAATAACTAACATTAATATTTATTTTTACAGCAAATGCATGAGTTTCATAAACTTTTGGATGATGAAAACATTACCTTGGTGACGTCAGGTCTCATAGCAGATATGGAAGCCGTTGAGGTGGTGATAAAAAGACTGAAAGTAAGTAAACCTAACAATGAAAGTGTTCTGAATATTAAACGGTTTCCTAATTAGGTTCTAAGATAGAAATAATTACATTTAATAAAGTTAAGAAAGAAAATTAATTTTATCTTACCTAAAACTCTGATATTCTAGAAGAGCTAAGAATTCCTCAGTCTGTATTAAAATCGATTGAACACTTGGTTTTTGGTTTCATGTTTAGTATATCCATATTTTTTACACAAATAGACGTCAGTAAGATTTTTTTTGTTAAAATGTTATCTTTGGAATTTGATAATTTCCCCTATTTAGTACGTTTAATCAGAATGAACTTTTAAGAAATATCATGGCTAAATTCTGACTTTCAGAACCATGGGATCGGACAACCTAAACAGGGTTTAGAGTCATACGAGTCATATTGGTTCAGATTAAACAAGCATAGGAGAAAAAACAGTATATGTTCTTAATAGATTTGTTTATTAGCCACGTGTTAAATTAATGACTTTCGTTCGTTTCATAACAGCAATATGGGGCCCGTATTATAATTGGAGCTTTTAGGTCTACAAAAGCACCTGAGATCTTCTGTCAGGTAAGTTCAAAATCTTAATAAACACGTAAACCGTACACATTCAAGCAAATGCCACGCAAACCAGACAAAGTAAAACAAGCAAACACCACGAAAACAAAAAACTAAATGTAATTAAACAGTTCAGCCAGATGCTCTTGTACTTTTCTAAAACTCTAAACAATTTTATATTTAATTCCTTTTTAAAGACGTGAGTGATGTCATCTTTTAACTTTATGTCTTTCTGACACTTATTTATTTTTGTTATATTTATTCAGGTTCTAAATCGTAGATATAGATACTGCATGGTATTTATATTATATACTAGTATAAAGAAAACTCTCAAGGACACCGTACTAATAGCTTGGCAGTTCAAAGGTTTTTTTTTTTTGAATATTTTGGATTTCCAACGCCTTGGAATTAGCATCACTGAAGAGAGAGCATTAAGTTTTGTCGATATTAGCATAATTATGGTGTATCAAAATTGGTTCTTTATTAGCTTTACACTAAAGGAATAGAAAATTTGCATGTTATATAAATTTTGTTGCAGAAGTCGACAAACTTAAATTTTATAATTGCACCTCGTACTTTTAAAAACTGTGATGGGTATTTGTGTTTAATACATAAAACAATGCTCGCACAAAAAAGATCTCTCGTTGCTCAATATGGCACTGAATGCCGATTATATAGGTCAAAATTTGCAACTCCCCAACGGAAAGTGGTGCCGTCTCCATATCTATGAAAAATCTCGAGAGGGACGTTGAAAGAAAACACAAAAGAATTAATGCTTCACATTCAATAAAATTGCTTGAAATTTGTTTTCCTATGATCCGAATTTTTCAAAATAAATTCAAACTCATTTTAGATTTACAAACAAAATATGTATGGTAAGAAGTACGTGTGGATATTAACCGACTCCCTCTACTCTGGTTGGCTGGACAGATTAGAACCTGGAGACGCACCTGGTTGTTCCATTCAAAATATTAAAGATGCTGCTTATGGCCATTTTACCCTCGGACAAAAACAACTCCGAACAGATCATATTGTAACAATATCCGGGCAAGTAAGTTCTTGTTTGAATATAAATTTTACTTGTTTGTAAAGAAAAAGAGCCTGAAGGTTTCAAACATGTCTGCTAAATCTGATACTGTTGTTTTCAAAATTTAGAGAAAAAAAGTAAAGCCATGCGTAACACTGTATATTGTATATAAAATAAATGCCCGTTCAAAAACACACAAACGGGTGAAACACAATAAAGGGAACAGTAAGGTTGCACTTGAGGGTAAAAAATTAATGTCGTTATTTTGGCCCAAATTTTTTTTTTCTAAAAAGTAGAATATCTCAAGGATCTGAAACATAAACGGTTTTGTGAAATTCACATTAGAACTTTGTTTTTTACAAGCTGATAATAACCTCATTTACACAGGTTACGGACACTACAAGTGTTATTGTTTTGAAATTTGTACTTTAATTTTTTCAACTGCTCACAAACAAACAACATATAAAAATACAACATATGGACAAAAGCTGTACTAAAAAAGGTGGCATTATACTTTAAAATGAAAACAGTTCTTACTTCATTTTTGTTTAAAATGGTAGTATTTCAGTTTATGTGAACTCTTTAAAACCAATATGAATAAAGAAAGAACTATTTATAAATAACATTTTTTATGCCTTTGTTGAAATATAAATACTTCCATTAAAAAAGGAAATATCATTTTTATTATTTTCTAAAATAATTTGATAGCTTCATTAAGTTACGGACACTACAAGACCCAAATATTTATGATGGCTTTTGTTTGTGGTAAAAATTTTTTTTTATAAACTTCTGAACTATTAGAAATCAGATTTGAATGATTATCAAATACAAAGTGCATGAAAATTAGATGTTGTTTTAAGTAAAAACAATTTACTCGCAGAACTAATGCCAATAGTGAAAAAATCCAGTTTAGGAAATCCTGAAACTTCCTTTTTTCACATAACTATATAACTGAAGTGCAGAAGAAAAGTTCTCTAATTCATTAAAGTTTTATGAAAACTATTTAGAATATAGGTACACTGATCAACAAAGTCAATTAACCAAATTTAAGGGTTACGGACAGTACACAATACTTAAATTTTTCACAGGCTTAAGGATGAAGTTTTTGTTTTTCAGCCCTTTTCCTAACTTTTTTCAGCATTTTATTTCTCGTTTCAGTTTCTACCAATTTTTTTATTCTTCAGATCTCAACTTCATCTGATAAAAGCATACCATAACCAATATACTTTGAATAAATATATACACATGTAACTTTCTAGAGGTGTTATGTGCAAGTAAAAAACTCAAACCTTGAAGAATAAAGCTCACTTATACATGTATTTATTTAATTTATTTTTTATTCTATGAAGCATTCTATTTTTCTTCAAACAGTTAAATATATAATAATTTATCTGAAATTGGTGTAATTTTAATTGTTCTCTTTTTTGAATTTTTTTTTTGTAGTGTCCGTAACCAAATTACTTCCTTACTGTTTAACATTTTGAATGCAAATTTACTTGCATTTAACACATTTTAAGATATTACCTAATAAGCAACTAGACAATTGAAGCAATATATCACAGGAAATATGGATTATGTAACTCATGATAATAATTTTCAACTATTTTTATGTCATTTTTAGGTGTCCAGTCATTATTTTAATTACTAGCAGTAAAGAAAAAACCACCTAATCTGAAAGAATCCCAGCCAATAAATACCTTTTTATCTCTAAATTTAATAATACACTGGTTCAAAAATTTATCTGTAAATTTTATGGAGAAAAAAATAAAGACATTCATTTTTCAACTTTTGGGTTACGGACACTACACTATACACGTTATTTAAAATAGGATGAAACTTAGCCTTAAATAGAGGAATTCCAACAAGATTTTCATAAATTTAACACCAGTTGACTTAAACAATGAAAAAATAATGAAATGCTATTTGACTTAAATCCTAGGATGTCAATAGCATCTGCCAATATCAAGGTGATGTAACACCAAGGATCTTGTATATGGAATGGTGCAATCTGGGTTTCCCAAATAAGTTGCATTATCAAAATGAGAGAGAAAATGAAGTAATTTGATTAACTTGTTTAACAAACCTCTGACCTTTGTGAATATACTAGCATTAGTGTTTTAACACAGCCAGTTTTAAACTGCCTCAAGTACAGGTTACGGACACTACAGGATTTTGTAGTGTCCGTAACCACATTTGTGATCATAACAGAGAAACAGTGGTGATGATCACTAAAATTACAACACATCTCATCTATATGAAATGCCTGTCTAAGAAATTTGTTAAGATATTTATAGAGCCTTCCAATTTCACAGAATTTAAGTGGTTACGGACACTACAGTTTTTTGTAAAAACCTAATTTTCCACATTAAAACATGATGAATTTTTTTTTACAATGTTTACATAACCCAACTTTTTTACTGTAAGTAACAGAGCATTAATTCTGTGATTTTAGACAGAAATCTGAAAAATTAAATAATATGGACATTATTTTTATTTGGCATAATGAGAGGGGTAAAATTATGTGAAAAATGTATAACATTGCACCCCTGTTACATTTTCTTTCATATCTTCAAAAGTTGTTATTCAATTCTGAAAATTCAAGCACCAAAATAATTTGTAAAATAAATTCTAAAGTCTGATAATGATCATTGGAATGAAAATTTATGATATTTAACAATTATTTCAATTGAAAAATGCTGTAATTTCAAAGCGCAATCGCATAACGCTGAAAAAAAGTCATTTTTGGGGTACATTTTTTGCATTTACTTAAATTCTGTTAAGGCTAGATCAACAAAATTTTGCACACAAGTCCTTTATAAGTATTCCTACAAATGATTTACAATTAATTGCATGTAAAGAAAATAACATTTCTTAAAATCATGTATAACAATGTGGTATTCTAAATGCGCACTATATTGTGTTTCACCCTAAAATCTAATAATTGATTTACTTTTATTGAAATTATCAGACGGCAGAGGAATACAATTCGTGGATGAAGAACATCTCCTCCCAGTACGATCCTAGCACCCACCTTCTGTCTAAATATAGTCCCTGGGCTTATGATGCCGCTTGGGCACTGGCTGTGGGGCTGAACAATAGTATGAAGTATATAGGGAACAATAAATTAGAGGACTTCTCGTACAATCGATCAGATATTTACGACGCCATTCAGCGAGGGATGAGTGAAGTGTTCTTCCAAGGTGTATCGGTATACATGAGGAAAAATTGCATTTTTAAAAATCATTTTCAAAACAAGGTTGTAATGCTCGAAAAATGCTTCCCAAAGGCTTACTATACTAATAGAATTAACTCAAAACATACACTTTTTTCTTATTTATGAAAATTTTAATAAAATGTAGAATTGATTGATTTATTCTAGTTATGTAAATTATAACCCATACTGATCTGATAAATTCTTTCTCTGACAACGTTGTACCATCTGTAAACTTAAATACTTTTGTATCTAAAATAAAATAATATATTTATTTGGACCATTTAGGGCGCAGTCTCATTCAACAATGGCAGAAGAGTTGGTCCAGCGTTTATTCATATAAACCACGGTATGCACACTTTTTAAATCGCACTTGAGCCGAAAGTTCAATGGGCCTTTCTGAAAAAAATAATGTCTGATTCCTTCAAATCGTTGAGCCACTCTCACATGTGAAGTGTGACCAACATGGGGGTATAAATTTAAATCAGAATACAGTTACTATAAGTTCTTTTATAGATTAGAACTAGAGAGTAACAATTAGTCATCTATTTAGGATCTTGAATTCGCCTTGGCGAGGCGATGAAAAACATAAAAATTGGATAAAAAAAAAATATATTCAACCACAAACCAAATTACGTTTAACATATAGCTATAAATTGAATTACAAATCATTGTGAAATCACGCCTATGAACATGAAAAAATATATTATTAGCAATAGCCATTAAAATTTTGTTAAAAAAAGGAATAATCATGAGATTATATCAATTTTCAAGCATTTGCTGGTAGAGCAGATCTATGTCCTTTTTAGCTCACCTGAGCCGAAGGCTCAAGTGAGCTTTTCTGATCAAAATTTGTCCGTTGTCTGTCGTCGTTGTCGTTGTTGTCGTTGTCGTCGTAAACTTTTCACATTTTCATCTTCTTCTCAAGAACCACTGGGCCAATTTCAACCAAACTTGCTACAAAGTATCCTTGAGTAAAGAGGATTCAATTTTGTTCAAATGAAGGGCCACACCCTTTTCCAAGGGGAGATAATTATGAATTTGAGAAAAATTAATGCCATTTTTAAAAAATCTTCTTCTCAAGAACGACTGGACCAGGAAAGATGAAACTCATATGGAATCATCCTCAGATAGTGTAGATTCAAATTTGTTCATATCATGACCCCCGGAGGTAGGGTGGGGCCAAAATGGCCGATCAAAGTTTTACATAGGAGTGTATAGGAAAAATCTTTAAAAATCTTCTTTTCAAGAACCACAGGGCCAGGAAAGATGAAACTCATGTGGAATCATCCTCAGATAGTGTAGATTCAAGTTTGTTCAAATCATGACCTCCGGGGGTAGGGTGGGGCCAAAATGGCCGATCAAAGTTTTACATAGGAGTATATAGGAAAAATCTTTAAAAATCTTCTTTTCAAGAACCACAGGGCCAGGAAAATTGAACTCATGTGGAATCATCCTCAGATAGTGTAGATTCCAGTTTGTTCAATTCATGACCTCCGGGGGTAGGGTGGGGCCAAAATGGCCGATCAAAGTTTTACATAGGTGTATATAGGAAAAATCTTTAAAAATCTTCTTATCAAGAACCACAGGCCCAGGAAAGATGAAACTCATGTGGAATCATCCTCATATAGTGTAGATTCAAGTTTGTTCAAATCATGACCCCCTAGGGTAGGGTGGGGCCAAATTGGCCGATCAAAGTTTTACCTAGGAGTATATAGGAAAAATCTTTTAAAAAATTCTTCTCTAGAACCATTGAGACAGGAAAAATAAAACTCATGTGAAATTATCCTCAGGTAGTGTAGATTTAAGTTTGTTCAAATCATGACCCCCGGGGGTAGGGTGGAGCCAAAATGGCCGATCAAAGTTTTACATAGGTGTATATAGGAAAAATCTTTTAGAATCCTCTTCTCAAAAACCACTGGGCCAGGAAAGATGAAACTCAAATGGAATCATCCTCAGATAGTGTAGATTCAAGTTTGTTCAAATCATGACCCCCGGGGATAGGGTGGGGCCAAAATGGCCGATCAAAGTTTTACATAGGAGTATATAGGAAAAATCTTTAAAAATCTTCTTCTCAAGAACCACAGGGTCAGGAAAGATGAAACTCATGTGGAATCTTCAGATAGTTTAGATTCAAGTTTGTTCAATTCATGACCCCCGGGGGTAGGGTGGGGCCAAAATGGCTGATGAAAGTTTTACATAGGAGTATTTAGGAAAAATCTTTAAAAATCTTCTTCTCAAGAACCACAGGCCCAGGAAAGATGAAACTCATGTGGAATCATCCTCATATAGTGTAGATTCAAGTTTGTTCAAATCATGTCCCCCTGGGGTAGGATGGGACCAAAATGGCCGATCAAAGTTTTACCTAGGAGTATATAGGAAAAATCTTTTACAAAAATTCTTCTCTAGAACCATTGAGACAGGAAAAATGAAACTCATGTGAAATTATCCTCAGGTAGTGTAGATTTAAGTTTGTTCAAATCATGACCCCCAGGGTAGGGTGGGGCCAAAATGGACAACCAAAAATTAATTCTCATAGGAATATATAGGGAAACCTTTTAAAATTTTCTTTTCAAGTACATGTACTTCAAAGCCATGATTAATAATATTTATGTAGAATTATCCTCAGGTAGTGTAGATTCTAGTTCGTCCAAATCATGATATGTCCTTTTTCCTAGCTGATGTGCTCAGGTGAGCGCTGCGGCCCCTGGGCCTCTTGTTTTATACAATGTGGCAACTCCGGTAGGAATTGCCACAATAATGGGGAATACTAGTAATTATATAAATTAGATTACGTTTCAAGAGATTCAGAATCACTTTTAATCTCATTTATATTCGAAAATTCCGTAGATGTGTGGTTTTCATACATCATACACTGTGATACTCTGAGTTACAGTAGGGCTTGAATCTGGAATCAAATTGTATGAACACTAATATATCGTTTAAATATCTTCAGCATGGAGGTCTTAGTCAAATAGGTATAGATTCATATTCAGCTTTTGAATACAAGTTTAATTAAGTCATGAATCCTTGGGGCTTTTAAAAACCCTTTAGTGAGACCAATTACAATGTATATGGACAATTTTGTCTGGGGAAGAAATAGAAAAAATATTTTAAAATTATTTGTGAATGGAGAATATAAGTACCAAGGTGACTCTGGTGAGAACTGTGGCTTATGGGGCTATTTATCATCTGAAATTTATGTTCATTTTTTTGTGGACAAATTTTCATGCAAAATCATTAAATGTTGCATTGTACACATGTTTTCAAAACACGAATGTCTTTTGTAGAGGATAGAAATGATGTTGCTAAGTATGAGCCGTTAAACAACTCGATTGAATGGTGGAGAACTCCACAATCTTTGTTTCCAGGTTAAAAAAAAATCCTACACTCTCCATTAATAGTATAAATATGCAAAAAGTATACCGAGTACTGTATGAACAAGACTGAAATAATTTTAATTGATTTAATTAAAGAATTACACAATTTTCTTGCCATTTAAAAGCTTTTTTATTTAAATATTATCGCTAGGTGGCATAATTCCAAGGGACAGTTTCCAGTATGTTAAAAGACGATTCCAGCAGTCGTACATAGGACTGACTATTGTAGGACTATTGATAATTATTGGTGTAGCTGTGGCCCTGGGATTCCTAGTGTTCAATATCCACTACAGGAAAAACAAGTACAGTATATATAATAGAGTGATATTTGATTTTTAAAAATCTTCAAATGAACTGTTTGAAGGGTAATATGCCTAAACAAGAGGCCCATGGGCCATATCGCTCACCTGAGCACTAAGGGTAGGAAAAAGTAGAAAATGGCTTTTTATTGTAAATTTAAATCCAAAAGTAGTCCCATAACCAATCATGGATTTGCTATTTTTTTTGAAAAATGATTTTTAAAGAATTTTCCTATATATATCGTTAAAAATTTTCGTCGGCCATTTTGGCCCCACCCTACCCATGGGGGTCATGATTTGAACAAATTTGAATCTAAACTACTTGAGCATGCTTCCCCGGGAGTCATGAATTGAACAAACTTAAAACTACACTACCTGAGCATGCTTCCATATATATATATGATGAATTATGGCTTTGTCATTCTTGAGAAGAAGATTTTTAAAGAATTTTCCTATATATTTCTATGTAAAATTTTGGTCGGCCATTTTGGCCCTGCCCTACCCCCGGGGGCCATGATTTGAACAAACTTGAATCTACACTACCTGAGCATGCTTCCATTTAAATATGATGAATTATGGCTTTGTCATTCTTTAGAAGAAGATTTTTTAAAGAATTTTCCTATATATTTCTATGTAAAACTTTGGTCGGCCATTTTGGCCCCGCCCTACCCCCGGGGGTCATGATTTGAACAAACTGGAATCTACACTACCTGAGCATGCTTCCATATTAAAAAGATGAATTATGGCTTTGTCATTCTTGAGAAGAAGATTTTGAATTTTCCTGTAATATTTATAATGTGAATTACAATTTTGAAATCCTATATATTTCTATGTAAAACTTTGGTTGGCCATTTTGGCCCCGCCATATCCCCGGGGGTCATGATTTGAACAAACTTGAATCTATACTATCTGAGCATGCTTCCATATAAATATGATGAATTATGGCTTTGTCATTCTTGAGAAGAAGATTTTTAAAGAATTTTCCTATATATTTCTATGTAAAACTTTGGTCGGCCATTTTGGCCCCGCCCTACCCCCGGGGGCCATGATTTGAACAAACTTGAATCTACACTACCTGAGCATGCTTCCATATAAATATGATGAATTATGGCTTTGTCATTCTTGAGAAGAAGATTTTTAAAGAATTTTCCTATATATTTCTATGTAAAACTTTGGTTGGCCATTTTGGCCCCGCCCTACCCCCGGGGGTCATGATTTGAACAAACTTGAATCTACACTACCTAAGCATGCTTCTATATAAATATGATGAACTATGGCTTTGTCATTCTTGAGAAGAAGATTTTTAAAGAATTTTCCTATATATTTCTATGTAAAATTTTGGTCGTCCATTTTGGCCCCGCCCTACCCCCGGGGGTCATGATTTGAACAAACTTGAATCTACCTACCTGAGGATGTTTCCCCATAAGTTTCATCTTTCCTGGCACAGTGGTTCTTGAGAAGAAGATTTTTAAAATATGCCACCAAATTTTCATTAATTCCCAATTATCTCCCCTTGAATGAGGGCGTGGCCCTTCATTTGAACAAACTTGAATCCCCTTCACTAAAGGATACTTTGTGGCAAGTTTGGTTGAAATTGGCCCAGTGGTTCTTGAGAAGAAGTCGAAAATGTGAAAAGTTTACAGACAGACAGACAGACGGACAGACGGACAGACAGACGGACGCCGGACAAAATGTGATCAGAAAAGCTCACTTGAGCTTTCAGCTCAGGTGAGCTAAAAACATTAATTATCTGCAGTTTACTGTGAAATCACTAATTTTCGTGGGGGTTAATTTTCGTTGTTTTCGTGGTATGAAGAGACCCACGAATTCATGTCCACCACGAAATGTAAATGTTCATATGCACAACTACTAAAAAGTTCTTCACGAAATCAAATCCCCACGAACCAACATTTTTTCTTTCAACCACGAAAATTTGACCCCACGAAAATATATGATTTTACAGTATTCGTATTTCATCAATATTTTTTTTCATTTGTTTATAGAAATATAAAAATGTCAAGTCCGAGGATAAACAATACTATAATTGGTGGCGGATTGCTGATCTACGTGGCGGTAATAATTATGTCTGTAGATTACTCCGAGTCCCTACCATGTCTGAACCATCATATCTGCATGGTATGATATATATTCTGTGCCTATATATTTATCTAGGAAAACAAATGAAAAAAGTCTTAAAATGATTAAATCATATTAAAAAAAAACTTTAATCTATACATTAAAAAATTCAATGGAAATATTACAGTTATTGTTTATTTCTACATAATTGAAACCCCTTTTTCCCAGTAAAAAGAAGTATTTGGTATTTACGAGCGGTTTCTTATACGAAATTTTGTCATTGTACAAACGCTAAGTCTTACAAATATGAGCTAGAATAAAATGCTTTTAAACAATACATCATATTTTTTGAAACATACAAATTTTATGAAGTGATATAAGAAATTATCAATGCAATATGGAAGATCCCAGTACATCTTTGAAATGTCCTTCACAAGGCTATTTTTCTTTTTAAGAAAAACTACCGCAATATTTTATATTTTCACAGCTCAACGTCTGGATTATTTCGATTGGTTTCACAGTTGTCTTTGGAGCCCTGTTTTCAAAAACCTTCAGAGTTCATATTTTGTTCACACAGGGTATGATAAAGAAGGTAAGGCTATATGGAAAATCACAAATAACATTAATGTTGATTATATTCATCTTTGCAATAAATTTAGCGCCTTTTGGACCTGAAGTGTATAGTCATTTTAAAAGACATAAGTACCGTTTTTGTGTGGAAAATTAATAAGGCAAATGAACATTAAGAAGGGGTAAATTACAAATTAATTTTTAGTTTACTTTTTTCTATATTTTAACAACATGTATAATATAATAAGACAATTGTTTCAAATTAAATTGATAAAAAAAAATGTATGCATTTTAGTGTTCTTGGTGTATTGAAAATGAATACTTAAAATCTTGTTGTGCAATAATATTAAATATTAAGGTTATCAATGCATTACATCTTCATTTTGTACCTAATAAATGAATGGTTCGATAATTTGAAATATGGCAGAACTAAATCACAAAATATATGGATATAATGAGCAGTATTCAAGCTCAAATGTCCATTAAAATACAAATCAGGAGCAGAGCAAACAGGGACCTCTTAAACATCATTTGTTCGTGGGATCAGGTGCGATGGAACAGTGAGTATCCCCTCCCAACTGCCCTGTGCTCCATGTCATGATCGGGAAATAATGGAAATAATGGAAATTACTCAATCATAGTAAATGCATGTAGCACAATTTTGATCATTGCCCATTTGATTGCATCGTAAATTAAAGATTGAATTCTATGGACAGCACATGTATTTAAAATATTTTAAAAAAAATTAGCTTTCTTATGAATCTCTCTTAAATTGCAAAGCCTTAATGTAACATTTTCTTGAAGGAAAGATAGCTCTACGTGCAAATTAGCCAGTCTCTAAATTCTATCAGTCATATAAATTGGATTAATTTTACCTTCAACATTACCTAGCAATACATACTCAATTAGACTAAGTTAAAATGATTCAAAATTGTTCGATATTCCTGCATTATACATTGAATGACTTAATTAAATTAATACATGTAAATATGTTTTCTTGTGTGAAAACGGTGTTCTTTCGTCAGCCTAATTGAATCATTATTTCATTCGAGATATTCCAAAAAGTAGTCCATTTTCTATACATGTAAGTGTGGGAAAACAAGATATTTACTTTGTTTCATTTCTTTATCTCTTCAATAAGAGCCTTCCAAATTCATTTTTTATTTCAAATTCATTTTTTGTTTGTTTTTAAAAGGAAACCTTTCGAAAGAAATAGAATTATGTAATTATTTCGTGATCACACAATTATCACATAAACGTTTTCTGCAAAAACATGAACATGTATTACAGCTTTTAAATTAATTAAGTGTTAATTTACGATATTTTACAATCAGTTGAATTCATATTAAACCTTTTGAAGAAAAAATGCCTGTCTAACAGTCTTTTAAACGGCTGCCTTACATTGTTACTTACATTAGTACTGTTCTTTATCAAGATAATTTAAATCGTCTTAGGAGATAAGTAATGAGAGGAACCAGTAACCCATCTGTCCTTATACTCTTAACAAATCTTCAGGACTTTTGAATTATCTAATATTAAAATAAAAATCTATGGGGACATTATCTCAGATTACATTTATTGTTTCATTGAATATGATTGATATTCCTTATCTTCATATTTCATCAAGAATCTAAGTTTGGAAAAACGTTAAATCAAATTTAGAACAGTACAAAAAGTAAAACTCATTCTAAAAAAGAAACCATACAGGGCAAAGATACTAGTTACATTTTTTTTTTCAAATAAAACTTGTAGTATCCATAGAACGTACATATACACATTGCATGCTTTATTTTGTGGAAGCAACACAATCTATTTAAATTTTTATATTTCCCTTGGGTTATTTCCCTAGGCTGCCATCTTTGAGGTCAACCTTGTGATTTATATTCTTTGTCTTACCAACTTTAAATTCTGACTTAAAGAAGGCTTTTAAAAAGTATATATTACTTTAAAAAGAACTTTGTTTCCTCTACAACAAAATTAATGCCAGTATAACAAATTAATGGAGGTATATGAATATGTTCACCTCGATCCAATATGACAGTCAACAGGAAATAAGTCTTGTTAAAGAATTTACACCTTTCCAAAATTAGCTATTAACCATATCATTTTTGAAAGCAGCAGACGATCAAAGACGCTCACTTATTTGGTCTGCTAGGCGTTTTGGTGCTGCTCGACATTCTTTTTCTCACACTCTGGACCATACTTCATCCATTACGACTTCTGGAGAAGACTGTTGAAGTAGAGGTAAAAAAAAAACAATATTGTCTTTTCTTATTTCAAAGAATTCATTGTGATCACGTGATTTTTTTAAAAAATGTTTTATATGATTCTGAAATCTTATGGCAAAGACCATGATTCAAAATGAATTATAGAATACAATTTTCATTTAATGATTAAACTAGAATTTAATTTGGTTCTTTAGAAAATTCATATGTAGGAATTTGTAAGGCAAGAAAAGATTACTTATATAGTATAGAAGTACAAAAATCATATATCTTTTAGCTGAAAGATTCAGATACTATACTGGTGGAAACCTTCCACGTATGCTACAACGAGTACCAGTCCTACTGGTTGTCAGCCCAGTACATCAGTAAGGGCGCACTGCTGGCCCTGGGTACCTTCCTAGCCTGGGAGACACGCCACATCAAAGTCCCATCGCTAAACGATTCCAAGTACATCGGCTTTTGCGTGTACAACATAGTAGTTGTGTGTGCCCTATGTGTGCCCGTGACGTTTGTTCTGCCACCGGAGAAACCAACGGCGAAATACGTCTTCACGTCCATTGTATGTGTGTTCACAACAACATTGGTGCTGTGTATTCTCTTTATTCCAAAGGTAAAAATAAGATGTCAACGCTCATCTTGTATATCCTCACAGAACTTATGTGATATTTTATGTACATGTGCATGTCGATATCTTGCTTATTCCCTAATGCAGTTTCAGGCAAACTTAATTAATGATATATGTGTCAATAGTTTTTTGTTTTTCTTTCAGGTTATTTTTTTTTTGGGTCTCTGGGTTTTTGTGTTGATAATTTATACATTGTAACATATCCAAAATCGAAATTTCACAAAACAGACTCATTTGAAGATGTTGTAACATTTAAGTTTAACATGACTTTCGACTTCGTTTCTCTGTCGAGGTATCCTTTTATTTCAGGTTTTTTAAATAAATAAGAAAACAATGTACATGTACATATTTTTTTGTAATTCATAAAAAGGTTAAACTGAGAAAGTCGACAGACACTATCAGATTCAATCAGAGCTTGGGTAAGCAAAACAACCTGTATAAGAAGTCGTGTAAGATTGGCAACGAACCTACAAAGACCACCAATGTATCGGCAGTAGAAGAGTTCGGATCAGGTTAAGTTAGAATAATATCTTAATTAAAACAGTCTCAAACATGTGAAAATCGTCTAGTACTCTGTTGTAGCTTTTTCCAAATATTTCCAGACTCTCTTTTTATTACTTTACTAGATTTCTTTTATAAGTGAGTTTAACGTCTTTTCTAACATTATTGTTCAACGTGCTTTTTATTTTGTTGACCAGTTCCGTAATTTAATTTATTATTCATTTTTATAGTTTTTATTTATCCATATTGATAAATAATATTACAGTTTATTAGCATACAATAAAAATATTATGTTGATTCCGTTAATGACAAAACTAACACTATCTTAATGAATCTCTTCAAACAGATTTCAATCAGAAAATACTTGAGAAAAACACTATTAATGAACAGATGTCCAAAACTGGATCAGATATTAAGGTACTATAATTGCCATTTGTAAAATCCTCAAATGATTTATGCTTTGAAAATCGTAACCTTCTAAACACTAACTTAATTATACCTACAGGCTACTTTTTTTTAATTTGCAGCTTATTTCAGTGGAATCGGAGAAAATTTCGACCAATTCCGTTTCCGAAAATGCGGACCTAAGGAAACAGAGAGAAGATCAGAAAGACTTTAATTGTACATCACTCTAAGAAAGAGAGGAAGCATTGAATTAATATCATTTTTTTTTCTTTGTCGGACAAAAGCTCTACAAGGCTTGTGTTTGTTGTTAAAAAAATCCGACATTAAATAAAATTTTCTGTTTTAGATTTTTATTTTTTTTATGTTAAAGGAGATGTTGGGATATTAATTTACATGTAGATGAAAGTCTATGGAAACATAAGAATTATGAAAATAAAAAGTATACATGTATTTGATTAAAACAACTGTTTTTTTAGACTATAAATTAATTATTTAATCTTCCCCTTGTTGCTTATTTGAGGTATATATATATATATATATATATATATATATATATATATATATATATATATATATATATATATATATATATATTTTTTTTTTTTTTTTTTTTTTGGAAAGTTATCAAATTAAATTGTTTCCTGTTCGTGTTAAGTTCAACAAATGAGTGGGATACGTATAATACATGTACACACATGTATAGCACTCTCGACGTACAATGCATGGTATTTATAACTTGTTACATTAAAAAAAATAATAACCAATAAATAAATTGGACTCTCTATTAAGACCCAACTAAACGGAGATAAATAGAACAATAATTGAATTTATCAAGATTTCATCAGTATTTCAACAACGATAGGGTTTACACTTGATATTATTTTTAACGTGTCATTTCAGTGAAATTTTCTCGGACCCTTTCTGAGACGTACACGCATAACGAAAAAAAGAGAGAAAGTTTTAAACGATCTCATATACAATATTTAAGAACCTTCGACGCAGTTAGTATGGCCTTTGAACGTGAAGCAAACAAACCAAAGAAAGATAACTCTAAATACATATTCGACACATTCATTACCAGGTGTTGTGAAATTTCAGCGTATGAATATATATTTAAATACATCTTCGACACATTCATTACCAGGTGTTGTGAAATTTCAGCGTATGTATATATAATTAAGAAAAACCACCCTTACATTAAAGTTACATAGATAATACACAGGTATATTGAGATTTGATTGTATACAATGGCTTGCTTCCGTGAGAATAAAGAGGAGAACATTCAGTTTGACAGGTATGTAAAATGATTGAACAATTCATATTTTTAAGTCAAAACACGAATAAATGTATACATTTACAATATACACAAACATGCACAAAGTACATATATATATATATAGAATCAAAAATAAGCTTAATATTAATTAAGTTAGATCATGAAAAAAAAATTATATAAATGAATATCTAAGCTCTTTTTACAATCCCTCTTTATTTTTCTCCTTGAAATCTTTAAATTTAATGTCTTGACAAACGCTCTTAAATTTAAGTACCCTTCACTGGGGGATATACCGGTATTCGATTTTATTCGATAAAAGTATTCTTAATATTAAGCAATTTAAAGTACCAGACACGCTTTTAACCTCTTTTTATGTTCTTTAATTAAAAGTGTCCTATCTTTATAAATTAAGGCCAATAATTAGTCTTGATGTACATATTACATGCTCTACATGATTGTATGTGTTGAAAATCTTCGTAAAAAAGACCCCACCTAGATAATTTCTTACCGTATTTGTAAATTCAAATGTTCATGTAAATGCAGCGAGAAGATGCGCCAGGAACTACAGGAAAATGGGTATGCTGTGATCCCTAACCTATTGACCTCAGAAGAATGCGACAGACTGACGTCACAATTCAGAGACTGGGTGGCGGAGTTTGATGATAGTTACATCCCCCTTCAGAAGAAGTCCTCGGTTATCCAATCCTACAGATGTGGACATTTTGAGCCGAGTTGGGAGGTACGCCTGAGGGCCAAGAAAATTTTCCAGGAAGTGTGGGGAACAGAAAAATTGCTCTCCAGCATTGATGGAATTGCGATTTCTAAACCACCAGAAAATAGTACGTTGCTACTTTTTAAGTTATTAAAATGCACAACTTTATCATTAAAAAATATTATGTTAATATATATATATAATATATACCAATATCTGACAAGCAAATGCAATGGCAAGTTTGCCAAAAAAAAAAGAGAGAGAGAGAGAGAGAAAAGGCCTAAATTCATAAAACAAAACAAAACAGAAAGACAAAATGAATAATTCTGCTCTGTAAAAAGTTTTTTTTTATTTACATGAAACGTTAGATTTAGCTTGCTATTTACAGAAAGGGAATACAGAGACATTCATAAGGACTGGCTGCATCTTGACCAAGGGATTCGCAGAGAGGGTCTTCACGCTTATCAAGGCGCTGTTTACCTGGAGGAACAAACCCGAGATGACTACTGTTTCCGAGTGCTCTCGAAGTCTCATCTTTACCACTCGGAATTTTTCAAGACGTTTCCAAACGCAGTAACTAAAACAGAGTGCACCGATTTTTACAAATTGAATAACAACGAGAAAGATTTCTTTTTCAAAAATGGATGTACTTTCGAATGTGTTCCGGTGCCTAAAGGAGGGATAGTTTTATGGGATTCTCGGACGGTTCATGATAATACTCCTCCGGTATCGGAAAGACCGAATCACGATAGGTGGCGCTTTGTCGTCTTTGTAAGTATGACGCCTGCAATATGGGCGGGTGAAAAAGACATCGAGTTCAAACAAGATGTGTACAGGCGGATGCTGCTAACATCGCACTGGTCATCCCAGGGGCTCAAGACATTCAAAGAATATAAAGTTGGTAACTGGAAAAAGCGAGCAAATATAAGCATTGATTATTTACCGGATATTGCAAGAAAACAGGAAGCCAAATTGTTAGCTGGAGTCGAGCGATATGATTTCAATGATGGAACCCCAAATGGGCCAGACGCACCGAAATGGAGATTTGGCATTTATTGAAATTTCCTTTTCCTTGGCTTAAATAATATCGGATGTTTAAAAAATTGACAGAGTTGTTGTAGACATGCAGAAAGGTTTGCAAAATGTAAAAATGTACGTTATACATTTGCATGCTCATTATAAATTTATATGAAATTTTGATAAATACATGTAGTTCTGTACATGTTAAAGATGATGAAATAAATAATAAAGCATTTGTATTGTTAAAATAATTTGTTGAATAAAAAATCAACAACATTTAATTCTCGCTTTGTTTTCATTAATATCAAAAAAGGAAAGGTATTTGAAAGAAGATGATTAGAACTCCTTTTGGTCATGTACATTTACATGTACATGTACATGTATATGCATTTGTCAATTCAGAACAGATAAACAAATAATTGAAAAATACATAGATCTACATGCATGCCAGTGACACAAGAGTATCAGTACATGTATATTTATGATCAAATGTAAAATGTATATTTCAGAATTACTTGCTGCTGCAACCGATAAACGTGAATGAATTGATTATCTTTTAAGAAATAAATAGAATGAATTTCCTGGATGATTGAATTTTTTATTACGCAAAATCTGTGAATATATTGGTCATTGAAATCGTTGTTACGTTTAACAACTTTTTTATGATCGGGTTCGAAGTTCCTGAAATAAAGCCAACAACAACAAACGGGACCAACACTGCAACAGAACAACTAGTCTAGTGAACTACTGAACTAGCCTACCTTGCCAGTGACAGTGTAAGTAATTTACAGTGCAATATGTTAGTGCAAATATCACAAAGGTCTTTTGATAGAAATTGCGAAAAGGAATGACATAAATAACATGTACAGTATATTTATATGATTATGCAATAAGTTACTGCGTAAGTACGAACGCCTACATGTATCTGTGTATTAGGATCAATTTACATAGAAGGCGTTATTACGCCTTTCGAAAAGGCATGAGTATATATGCCTTTTGAAAGGCGTTATTATGCCTTTTGAACAGCCTGTATTGCATAGGGCTTGTGTTCCGGATTGTTCAAAAATCATACATGGCGTACTTTTTGTAAGTTCAGACTAACTAAAATTAAAAAGATGTTTTTTATTTGTTTTGTTACTTTATACAAAGATACATGTAGGACTTTCCTGTAAATTACACAATGTAAATCAATCAAGTTTCATAGATTTAAAACAATCCTTACCAAAGTAAAAGCCTTCTGGCACATAGTTGCAGCAAGTTTACTGGTAGCTGGTAGCAGGAAACAAGACTATTATTTTTTTTTTGGCCTAAAATGAAGAAAGAACATGATGGGGGAAAATAATATACAAACATCTGCATTATCACTTATTCAAATTTAAAATAAGCTATGCTAAGTAAACAATTCTTATTCTAGTATAATGCATGTATAATAAAGTCAAAACTTTTTTTATCTGCCACTTGAAATCAATGTCCATTTGTGACAGGCAGAATCTTTCAATTTCCCCCAACAATATTGACTAAATATATTAAAGAAATAAAGTAGAGTAAATGGTCACTTGTCTAATTTGGTCAGAAGACACTTAAATCTCACAATATTATTTACACAGTAAAAGGAGACCATTTTGTCCAGTGTCTTGATTCTATCACTTTTAGAAAAACAACAACAAAATTCCCTTGAAGAATCCATGTCATGTTGAAAGAGTGTCCTCATCTGTTGCATTTCCCATTAATTGATTGATTGTATATTGTTTAACGTCCCTCATGAGAATTTTTCACTCATAAGGAGATGCCAACATTTGCCGTGGGAAAGCTGCAAATTTTGTCCTTTACTACATCAATTCGCACTCAGGGCCATTGAGCAGGATCTTTTTTGATCATCACCTACTGCAACATGGGACCTCAGTTTATACAGTCTCATCCGAAGGACCAGTCTCCACGTTCCACAGTGGAATTCAACTCCTAACTTCGTGACTTGAGAGCAGACGTTCTAACCATGCATGCAACACATTTGATAGGAATATTTATTAACTACTTTCTTGGTACATGTACTTTAAGTTCACTCTGAGATTTCAACTAACTTTTCATGATTGGGGGGGGGCTTCCTTTCCAACATTATGCAAGTATCTGTTAAAAAGATAGAGAGAAATTACTCGCATTGCAGTCATTGAAACCAATAGTTATTTAACAAATGAATTTAACCTAATTTTCACCTAGAGATTCCACATTTGTATCTTGTTTTGTGTGCACTAAAAACATAAATGGCATTTCAGGATAGATTGACACACAAGGATTCAAAAACAACACTTCGTTTTAAACAAAAAATCTACATGCTTCCCTGACAAATTATATAATTAATGTAAAGTGTATTTTATCATTTGTTTACATGACATAAACATTTAAATATGGACCCAATTATTAATTGTGATTACTTACTTTTAGTCCATGCTCTTAGTTAGCAGAATCCTTTCCTGCAGATAAATGCCCTCTTAGTCTATTCTTTGTGGAGGATTTACTGATTCATCATCAGTCCATCTGGATAGAACAAAAAATAAAAACATAGATCTATAGTTCTATACTGACCCAATTTGTTTTGAGACCTTAGAAATTCTAACTGGCTCAGCAATACAGTCAAGTCTTATTACTATGTAAAAAAGACATCAGTGTTATACAATTTATTTTAAAATACTCACATTCTCTCTTCATTCACGGTCTATGTTGCTGTTTTCTCCTTTCTCTTTGTTCCTGTCATGAGTCATGATGACCCAGGTGGTTTAAAATTGGTGCAAACTTCTAAACTGAAACTGCACTGATAAGCCGTTCTTAGATAGGTCTGTAACGTAACAGACAAGTCGTTTCTAAATCTTTATGGCACACTTTTGGCACACAATGATTTTGATAGTTAATAGAAACATTTCTGGTACACTTCTGGCACACCATATAAATAAAAGGCATCTAAGGGAAAGTTGTGGCATACTTCTGGCACATATGTGCATCAGATCATTCAATGTGCCGCTAGAAGTACATATGTGCCCCTAGCAGCACACAATGAACCGCAAGTGGCATACTGTGTGCTGCTAGCTGCATTTACTGCACACTTCTGGCATACTGTTCTGGTACATAGATTTGTTTGCTGCAAGCTTGCCGCAAACTTGCAGCAAACATTTCATTTTGGTAAGGGAATAACTGTTTTTTTTCCCAATTGGTGTTAAATATATATCACTATAGAAACGTTATCATTATTTCATTATCATGACGTCTCCATATGAGTGAAAAATCCTTGAGAAGGACTTAAACAACATATAATCAATCATTATCATGATTCTCTCTACTACAGTTATGATTTTCCTAAATTTTGATGCATGTGTCAGTTGTCAACATGTGTTCAATAGACAGAAAATGAATACAATTTCTTCCATTTGGAGCTCATCTCTCATAATTGACCTTTTAAACTTACCTTAATTGTTGTCCTACACTGGTACATGCTTTAAAGTCCTTCTACAGTAGTACAGAAAAACATGTTCATATTCTTCCCCACTCGACCAATATTTAAATTAAATTTAATAAATTCTTGGATATAGTGAAACAAATGAAGGACATTGAACATAATTTTAAAAAATTAAAAATTTGGTAAGCTCATTTAAAAATCTTCTCTAGAACCACTGATGATCTTATCTTATCTGGTCTAGAGAATATGGAACTTGTGTGGTGTGAAAGCTTACAAACATAGCATAGACTCAAGATTCACAATAGGAGATCAAAGTTTTACATAGGAATATTCAAATTCTTGAAAACAGTGAGACTTTATTTTGTAAAATATATTCAAGCTCTCAAAGTAAGGCAGTTTTTTTCTTACCAAGTCATGTCCCCTAGGGGTAGAGTGGGGTCAAATTCTTAAAATTATGCAGAAATGTAATGGGGCAAAAATTTTTAAGATCTTTTCAAGATGACTTGGGCATGATTACATGTTCTATAGTTTTTTGGTATGTGAGTTTGCATTTTGTTGTTGCACTTTGATGATTTTTTATGAAATTTCAGATTTTCAGTTTAGAGAAATGGACGATATAACTCTTGCTGAAAGGAGACACTTAGTCTCAGAAATCAAAATTCTTGTATTCATTTCACTGAATGAAACACAGATGTCCTACTTTGCTTATTTTACAGCATTGATTATGGTATGACAGCAATCCAAGCACAATGTCTAACCCTAAACTAAGGACTCAAGTAATTGAGTTGTATAAGAATGTGAGTATACATACAAAAATGATCTATGTTCAAATCACGAATTGTCTTAAAATGTGGACCAAATACCAAAGCAGATTTGCTCCTTGATTTTGTTTATATTGGTTGAAATAGCTAATGTTTTCACAGTATGTGAATATTTATAAACCCTTTTAAAATTGTTCTGTTCAATCTAACAAAATCTTGAATTTGTGGATTTCTCAATTGACATTTTTACTCTAGGTTGGACTGTACTGAACATTAGTCATTAAGCATAATCTAACTTTAATATGGTGCAGTTTGTATATTGGATAGCTTTATCCTTTCGGAGCATTTATAATGAACAGCAACTGAAAATTAATTTTCGTAAAATAATTTAAGGTTATTGAATGTTTCACTAGTTAAAACAATCTCTAGCTTAATTTTTTTTTTTTGAAATGAAATATTCATGTACATCAAGTCTAACAACTTAATTAAGTCAATTTTTAAATAATCCATAATTATTTTAATAGACACGCCTCTCATATTCTGCATAATTGAGCATGATTTGTTCTTGAAGTACAGTAACGTTTGTTTGTTTTTAAAATTACTCCAACATTTACTGAATTATCTAGACTTGGATATGTTAAATTTCATAACATTGTACTTAAATTCTTCAAACAAGAAGTGATAATGAGATATGTTTTTCATATTTGAATTTCAGCTGTTGCACTTGGGAAAAGAATATCCGAAAGGCTACCCTTATTTCCGAGATAGGTGTAAAGCAGCTTTTCTCAAGAACAAAGATGTAAAAGACGAGGAGGAGATCAAAATGCTGATTTTTAGAGGAGAATTTGTGATAAAAGAGTTGGAAGCATTGTACATGCTTAGGAAATACAGAACTTTGAAAAAGCGGTATTATGAAAATGACAGTTGATAATGCAGAAAACCTTTGATAAAGCACTATAATAAAGAGACATAAGCACATTATACACTTGAATAAAACCAATTAAATGCACAGACATTTTAATTTATATACAGGAAAAAGCTCAATAATATTTAAATAAATAAAGATTGTTATAAATAAAGAAGGTTAATAGAATACATGTACTTCTTCCTTATTTACAAACAAATGAGTCATCCAAGTGGCACAGTGGTAGGAGCGTCATCTTTACAGTTGCATAGTAAGGAGTTGATTCTCAAGTTGCTGGTTTGAATCCCACTGTTTGATGTGGATAATGGTACTTCAGATGAGACTGCATAAATCAGGGTTCCATGTTGCAGAGGATGCAGGCAGGAACAAGATATCTCACTGCTCAATGGCCCTGAGTGCCAAATACTGGTCAAAATTTGCAGCTGAGCTCTCCACTGGCAAGTGGTGGCATCTCCACATGATTGAAAAATTCCTGAGAGCAGGGGCGGATCCAGGAATTGAAGTTAGGGGGGGGCGCAAAATTTAGGCAGGGGCCCCCGGAAGCTCTTTGATTCTAGAGGTTTTGAACGGTAAAAATGAGGTCTACCGAGTAGACATTTTAAACATTTTCTCAACAAAGCTATGTTTTATGCTAACTTCGACAATTTAAGGGGGGGCGGGTGCACCCCCCCCCCTTAAATCCGCCACTGGAGAGGGGCGTTAAATAACATACAACTTTCCTCTCTTGCCATTGTTTACATGTTCAGTCACAAATATGTGTAAAGTGAATATTGCTTGTCAGGTACCTGAGTCACTCAGGTGGTATGCCCCCTTTGATTTTGTTTCCCTGCACAGCAAATGCTCATACAGTTTTCGAAATTTCCACCTTCTTTTTTAAGGAAAGGAATTGTTATGCTGTATATCATCTGGGTTCTTTATTTGTTTTTATTAATTAAACTCTTTTTGTACATGTATTTAAATCAAGTTGGTGAATTTCATGGATCCTGCTTTCATAAGATTTGGGGGTTGTGACCAAAGCCAACAAGCTTCTATCTTTACTTCTTGACACCAAGTCAACAATGATCTTAATAAACATAAAAAACTCCTAATACTCTGTTATTGTTTTTTCTAGGAATATAAACCTGTGGAATATATCAAACCTGTGTCCTAGCACAAAGGATTGAAAAATTATGGCCAAAGTTAACTGTTTTCAAAAGAAGGTCACACTCCAAGGTCGTGGTTAAAAAGACAACAAAAAGAAAACAAAAGACAAGTTTTGATCATAATAAAATACATTTGTGAAAATAAAAGTTCTATCTCCAGTTTTTCGTGCAAAAAATAAGTCCAAGTCCAAGGACAAAAGATCAAACATGTTGCTATGCAAAAAGGGTCTTATGCATGTACATGTACTGTACATGTTTGTGAAATTTCAACCATTCCAAAGACGAAAAGTATGGGAAAGTTCATTGTTTTGCGGACAGACCGTGCCAAAACGTTATGCCCTCAAATCTGGTATAACGGGGGGGATGATCAAGAATTTAACCAAAATTAAAATGGATTGTAGATAATATTCTGAACTGCTTTACCTAGAAATAATAGCTGTGACATTATCTTCATATCGTCCATTTCTGATCACATCTTTACATAATTAGGTGGATTACTTTTAATTATCCCTTTTTGTCCATGTTAATTGAAAATTAGCAGGCCTTAGATTCACGACAATCTTAAGTGTTTTTATACGCAATTTAAACAAATACTTTTAGTAAGAGACTGTGACCATTTACCTTAACTTTTTTTTTACGAAAATGTACACTGTAAATAAAAATTCTTACGGAAGCTTTTTGCTCGTAGCTCTTCAATTTAATGAGGTAACTTTCAACAAATGTCTGTGTAATAGAGTAAGCATATGGCGCTAAAAACTCGGTTTGTGTAAATGTTAGCTTTAAATATCTTCCTGGTATAACCCCTCCTCTCCACACAGCACCAACCGTCTGCTCTCAGGAAGCGACCTAGAATTTTTCAGATAAATTTTGCTATAATCATTTTTATTCAAGATAAAACATTGCATAAAATATACATGCCATACCTAGTGGGGGATACAAGGTAGAAGTTATTATAGGCCGAGATAACAGGGTACTGAAATAAAACAATGGGGACAGGATTTTTACGATAAGACGGTTGTTGACTCATTTAAATTCATCTTAAATACCTACCCAATATCATGCAGAGCTTCCTCGCTGAAAACTCGTAGAAGAAATTGTCGCTCTTGGCCATTTTTTTCGGTGGATGGTACTATTATATATAATCCATGCGACAAACTCTGTCGAATTGCGACTTGCTCTTGTGCATAGTATTCCATTTTCTGACCGATATACTTAACAATATATGTTCCATCTGTTGATGTGTCTACCACCTAAAATTAAAAAAGAAGCATAAGAAGTTCAACTCGACGCCATATTCCGTTTCAAATGTCATTTTTAATTAGAATCGAATGATAACTTGGAATGTTTTCTTATCACTCCTTGACGTTAATACGTCCCAGGTTATATAGATTTCCAACACCAGATAAAGATATAATAAAGAATTTCGAGATCTAGAATCTTTTATATGAAAATTACCAATAAATTTTAATGTTTTATATCGTATTTGTATTAATTCAAAAAATGTTTATATACTGCTATCAAGTTCAAATCTGCTTACAAAATGGATAAAGAGAAATCTAGATTTTTCGTGGTGTATACATGTATGTTGTTTTGGAGGGTTATTAAGAAAATCGCAAAATCTTCACATTTGGTTTATTCAGTGTCTGGGAACTTTGGTCCTATAATTTTGTTTGCGTAATAAACTGCTAGGAATTTTAAATGAAAGTTTCACGCAATATTTTGATACTCAATTACACATTTGTTATACTTTTCTGAAAAAAAAAGGTTATGTGAATAAGCTAAGATAAAATTTACATCGTTTTACGTCTGAAAATTGTATGTTTTAAACTTTATAATTATCATAATTTGCATCACTGTAAATGTAAGAGAAGATTTTGGAATACTTCAAACTGACCCAATACTAACTATGCATTATTAGTGTAAAAAGGTTTTTTAAAAAATCATAACGCACATCAATCAGCTGCATTTTTCAATTATAAAATTTCTAGTAATGTTATTATACATGAAATAATGATAATATGATATCAAGAAGTAATAATGTAATAAATATAATAATTATATTTATTACAATGATTTCATCTTTTTATATCAGATTGTAATTATTAAGATTGGCCAGGTAAGGTTTAATATACCAAGTTTCATGCCATACGCACTGTTACATTTTAGATATTTTATAACTTCTGTCTGAAGTCAGGTTATTAATCGTTCGAATTCGATTTTTATTAACTTGATAAAAAAAATTTTAACTGTGTTTGTTTTATAGATTTGAATTCAATGGATTTAAATACTATTAAAAATTAAATTTATACCTTCAATAAACTGCAATGAATTCCATATGGCTTTTCCTTGTTGACAATTTTCTGAGTCAAAATAATACCAACATCAAACAAATGCTTGGCAAAGTTTTCTGGAAAGGAAATGCTTGCTAAATATTTATCAAGATATGATCGTCAATAAATCAGCGAGACATTTCAAATACTATAGACTCTTCAGAAGAGAAATTTGAGTTAACACTATCAGTCTGTGCGTTTTCTTAGATGAAAGATAATAGTGTGATCTTTATGAAACAAAACCTTCTTTGGAGACTGTGAATTGGATTTTTGGGTTATTCAGGTGATTTGTGAAAGACGCTGCTGTATGTCCTCGCCATTCTCCGTAAATACTGACGTGGTAATCTGAAGAGAAAAAGCTTCAAATTTAATACTTTACGTCAAAAATCAATATTAACTAGCGAATAATAAAAGGAAGGTGATATTTTTTTTAAGACTGCACCTAAGATTTCCTTAAAATACAGGAAAAATGCCACAAAAGGTTTTCGAGATTGTTTTTTGTTTAATTCCATTTACATTCAAAAATCAGGTCTATCAAATTAACATTCAGTCCATATGTTGTGCAGTATATTTCAGCTTACCCATATTACTTGGCCCATTGAATTTAAAATCTGGAATGACACTTCCAATGGTGAAACCTTCGAAGTATTCAAGAAAATCATTCACGTCCATGTAGAAGAAACACTTCTCATTACTCTGTGTGACATTCCGCTCGTATACATCAAATGGACATTTAGCCCATTCAGAACTCCTGGAAAACAATGTGCTATGATTTTGAGTGTTTTTAAACTGCAATGTGAATATGCATGTATATATTTGTGTATTTGATTTTATAATATACATGTATGTGCATTTTTCTGCTTTTTCTGGAATTTGGAAATATAGCAGTCACCCATGACTCCAAGGGCCCGTCCATTCAAAATCACTCCAAATGTTCCTTAGTTTAATCAAACAGACGTCTTCATTGAGGTAAGTCGTAATCTAGGTATCATAATAAGTTATTGTTATTAAAATAAAGAAAGAAAAGTAAATAAATAATAAAGTATCAAATAAAAAAAAACTGATGAAATATTAAAAATTTGTAAACACACTGAATAAAATATTTCAATTTTTCAATTTCTTAGTAAAACATTTATATTAGGAAATCGTTCATTACGAGAAGTAATCAGATAAAGTATCAGATAAAGTAAATCTTTTAGTGATCAGTTTATTTATACAAACTTCTAATGTCCCGATAATAGAATAATCCTTATTTTCCCCAAATCCAAAAAAGTACGATTTCATGCTCTACAAGAAAACATAGAGTTAAGCAATTAAAGTGCTCATACGTTATTCTTCTTCAATCTGCAATGTACCTGGTTAATATATTAATTCTTACATGCGTTTCAAGAACGCATGTTGAAAAAAGATTCTGAGATCATTGGATAAGCGATATACCTTTTTTCTTAGTGTCCTTTCTGACATAATTTATTTTTCAAATAAAATCTGCAATATGACGATTTGTCGTCATGTTGCAGATTTTATTTGAAAAATAAATTATGTCAGAAAGGACATTAGCGTTAATATAATCTTCTCCCTATAGAAACAAATAAAGCGAAACAAAATGCAATCTTAATTTTCAACTCGGCAAGGTAGACTCGCATGCAAAGTCCGGTCAGGTCCCTTTATTGTTCCGATTTAATATAGGTTATGTCTTGCACAAGAAAATTTGATCCGTTCAGTCTCCATTAAAAAAAGATAGTTTTGTCTGTATAACTATACCTTAACAGAACAGAAAATATACGCTCCACTATCAAGGGCATCTCTGATTTTTCTGAAAACCTGTGTTCCGTGGACAGGGAATTTAAATTTATATTCCACAGCATATCCTCCTGTCAGCCCGTGAAAAAAGTCATCAAAGTCCTTCTCTTCCATGTTCCTATAACCTCCTATGAACCTACAGGAGTATAATTAGTTTAAAGCAAGCTAACATGTCTTTCCAATTGCCCTTTGAGTCTCTCTTATGCAACAAATCTAATCTCAATGAAATACATATATTACCATTGTTTTAATACGGTATACATGTAACGCGACAAGCATACCGTTTAGCTGGACTTTTTAGCGGCGTGCTAATTTTGGCAGTCCGCTAAAATTTTTATCGTTAAATATGTGTATAAATACTAGTCAAAAAGAAGTTTACTGTGATCTTTTTGTTGATTAACAATGTGTCTTTCATCCGGTATTACTTTTTCTCAAACTCTTGTGTGAATCGATATGAAATGTAGAGGAAATTTACTGAAAAAACTCATCTAAAAGATGAACATTCTTTCTTTACAACACCAAAATTATTGGCCTACCTTTGAGCAAGCAAAACGCCAAATTTTGCACCCAATAAAGAAACCCACTATACAGTATTTTGCATAGACTGTGAATTACATCTTGGAGCTGTTACATTATTTTCTGGATTTTTCCCTTTCAAATAAAGTTATCTCAGTAATTGTGTCCTTAACGTACTTAGCATAAGCTTTCTCAGCCATTGTGATTCCAATGTCGTTTTTGAAGAAGGAAGTTGGGTGAGACGTCATCATTAAGCATCCTTCTTGAACAGGTATTAAATCATCAATGTAGATGTCCACCCACTGACCAAAATACCAGAAACGGAAGTGAAAAACGCCATCGATTTTCTTGTTTTCTTCAGAAATACAAGGAGACTTAAAAACCTTAAAAAGACGAACAGGTGGCATGTATGTAACATGTATAAATAAAAGTAAAAAAGGCCTACTTAAATATATGTATTTGTTGTGAATTAAAAAGTATCTTATTAGGTAGGGATGCTTCAGTTTTCCCATTACATGTTCACCTCTGCTCCTAGTGACCTACAAAATAACGAAACACGTTTGCCAAATACCTAAAACAGTTTGTGCCCAAGTTTTATGATCAGCAGATAGCAAGGCTCTTAATTGCAGCGTGCTCAATCTTTATTTTTCCATACGCGCTGTGAGATAACAAGCATTACATAATGTATGAAGAACCGTAAACAGAAAGTGTGATCGCGTTTAACTTGATCTACATTTGCTCTGCAGTCGGAGTGAATTAAATTTCAATTACTTGACACAAAGTAAGTATACTGCAAATTATTGCAGATCAATACTTTATTCATTTTCATAATGTACGGTGTATATAGATGAAAACTTGATGGTGTTTTTGGAAAGTTCCTAAATTTCTTGTTACTTTTTGAATAATCTTAAATTTGTTGCATATTTGTATAATGTGAACATTTACAATTATACAATGTAGATAAAAGAGTGTTATAAATTAACGAAATGGTAGAATTAAAGAAATCGTTTTCTTGTAAAGACGAAGAATTCTCCTGTATTTGTTAAATGTCCTTTTCTGGTCTGTAAAGAAGTTGAAACTAGTACATTTTTAAATCCTCTTTCTTCAAATACAATATATCTTGAATTCATACGAACACGGAAGTCATTCTTAGCCCAATTAAATCTACTAAGTGACAGTAATGGTGTATGCTTTCGTTTTGTTTCAGTAACATGATCCTGCAAATATTTTTGACATCTAAGTGCTTTTATACATGGAATTTATATTGAATTTCTTTTTTTTTTTTTCAAAATACTAGTATCATGATTGCATATACCACACAAAATGTGATTTGTTCTCGTTTTTATATATGAGTATTTATAATGCATTACCTTTGAAAACAGCAGGTCATTTTCCATAACAGTCAAAAAAGTTACCAAAAAGTTTGATGTATCAAAGTAGCCTCTAAATACTGTAACAAAAGGTAGAGGATTTTGAAACAACACAGGGGTTTCTATCAAATCCTTAGATCTAACCCAGGTGGTCCCTTGGGGGAAAATATCTATTGGTGGATAAGGAAACTCAGGATCCGCCCAGATATCGTCTCCGTCTGAATTAGGGTAGGGTTTCCTTAGGTATTTTTCAGGAATATAACGAAGGTCACAAACAAAATGGAACGTGTCATCCTCCTGTGATTGGTACTGGAGATAGACATCAGTTGTGTTTTCAACAATTGATGAGCCCATCGATTTCGGCAATATTTTAGAAACAACATCTTCAGGATTGTGTGAGGTATGCTTCTCTGAAAAAATATCTTCCTGCTTTTTCTCGTCCTCCATTTTGTTGCTTGTTTGGATTTTGGAAGCATTTTGTCCGAAATTACCTCTATTCTTGTTCTCTTTTTCAATCTGATTTTCACGTCCTGAATTTTCTCCAGAGTGGTGAACTGTGGGTCCTTTTCCATTTTGGTGATCACGTTTACCCGTAGAGGAAGTATTTGATTTTAAACCACTCTCTGCTCTCCTTTTTTCAGAGGATTCAGAGGACGGATCCAGGGTATCTTCTGTAGAAAAATAGAGGAACGTGGCGTTAAATTCAGCCATGTAATGCAGGTTTTTCTTACTTGACTCTTCCCACTTTTTCTTTTTTATAGATCTATTGTCTTCTCTTGATTTGATATACATTGTCTTAATCTGAATGCCGTTTAAAACGTATTTTAACTTCTACTGTACAGCTGAATGAAGACAATGAATACCCATAATGTGTGCTCTATAACTTTCTGAGATTGACATCTTGATAAAGAATTATCGATGAATTTATGTGTATTTAAATTTTACTTTATCAATTTAAACAACTAGCTATGATTTTTCAGGACCGCTAGCTGTGTTTGTGAATACATCAGAAACTCATTTTTTTTATCTAATCCGCAAAGAACTGGTTGAATTCAAGTTTTATAAGTAGAGACCGTACACAGACACAAGTTATAACCCATAAATGTTTGAATGCATTTAAATTCAAAGTGTTTTTATCAAAAGTGGGACGTGTTAAAAAATAAGGATGTTTCTTGCTTGGTGGTTCACTAGAGATTCAAAAGATTAAGTGGCTGACTACTCTGCATACAGGAGACGTCAGTTTAATTATAAACATCAACACAATTTGTGCAGAATGAACTTGATACAGGTAATTCGTACCCAAGCTTTTAACCCATTTCTAGTAGATAAACTTTTTTGTCCCCAAAACATTAATTGATTCTGTATCTTTCAATCAGATACCACAATTATACTTATGTATCAATTCTATTCGATACGTCTCATGGCAGGAGTAATGTGATATTAGTGATTGTAAAACTACTTCTTCATTGTAATTGTACTAAAGTAAAGTGTCCATTGAACATTCTAAATTCAAAGAGAAGTATACAGTTCTACTACAATGGTGACACATGCTTACAATTATACGCCCTGCACCTGTATCAAAGTAATTACTATAGAATCTAATTAATTTAATTTTCTGATTTTAAACTTGGCGAGCTAACAAATGAGTTTAAAACAGATTATAAAGCATGCGTACACATTTAGCGTGTGCTCTCATAACGCCAATGAAGGGCAATCATAAATTTTTATTTCAGGTAAACCCATGAGTTGTGTCACTTTCTATTTTGAAACTCGGAGGGAATTCTGCTTTCTGAATGTAAGCTGGAGAGAATTATGAGGCGGAGATTAATGATCTACGAATGAACCTCGTTTTGTGTAAATTTGAGAATGTAAGTATCATACATTTATTTATTGACGGATATTGAAATGGTTTGTATAATTCATATAGACAGTTTGTAGCTTACCCCAGATACAAATGGCGATCTTTTTTAATAACTCCAGCTTGAAAAGCGGGAAGGTATGTACATGTATACATGTAACGTTTGGGATGTCCGTTCGTCTGTTGCGCTTAGGGGTACCCATGTCTTATTCGCAACTCCTCTTATACCAATGAATGAAATGTAATGAGAGAATTTTCGTTACATAGTACCATTGTTATGATTGGGCACCTCCCATTTTCCTTTTTTGATGGCGGACACATATTTGGGTTTCCCATAGGAAAACACGGACAATGCCATTCTTTCTATAATATTGAAGGGTACTCATCTCTTATCCACAACTCCTTCTTTTCCACTGAATAGAAATTAATGATAATTTCACAGATTCTTTCTTACATAAAGTTATTCCAATTGACACATCTAGCCACGTTTCAAGCTATTTATTTAGCAAAGGAAACATATATATCGTGGAAATATTTTCACTTCCTATTTCACAAGAACCTGATGCATCAAAAGAATGCAAACCTTTCATGTGACAAATCAATAAATTTTTCATTTTTCAAGTGCACCAAGATTATTGTGGAATGCAAAAACACACATAACTTTATTCTTTTCATGTGCACATACATGCATATTTGATGTATTCCTTTTAGACAGGATTATTGTTAAAATGATTTATGTCAATTACTAATTGTATATTAATTGTTTTGCTATTCATTTGCTTATCTTTTCCTTATTATTATAACAATCTCATACTTGTCTGTTATGGGCTCTAAATTAGAAATAAAATGTTCTGTTCTGTGTGTGTGGTAAAACTCTTAAGGAGAATGAAAAAAGGTTAAATTAGATATCCAGTAATGATCGATCTAAAAAATTTTATCAACAATACAAATCTACAAACCTAGACAAGGCATAAAAAGGAACCCCCTGGAAATTCCAGATGTAGAACCAGCTGCCTAGTACGAGGAATAAGCATTCCCTGTTGACCAATCAAACACGACAAGCTCTCGACGGAACAATTTTGTAGTCAATTTCAGTAAAAAAAAAAAGAAGACCAACAATTGCTATTAAACAAAAGCACGATTCAATGGAAGGTAATATCTAAAAAAGGTCATTATAGGGACCACTTTTTTTAAAAATGCAAACTACTGCCTTAAAATGAGGTTGAGAAAACATATAAAATCAATTCATCTGTCAGTAGCCTGTCACGGATTAAAAATTAAACGTATTCGGAGCATGCTCTTGAGTAGCGAATAAATTTGGAGATGTAAACACCATCTACCATCAGGTAATAGTGGGATAAGGAGCGATGATAGAGAAGCTGAAGTCAGGATAAAACTACAATAAGGAGGGACAGGGAAAATAGGAAGGTGAAGGCATCTCGTTTGTCATGGAATTTAGTTGTTAGTTGGTCTTCATCAACTAGTTAGTAAAATATCCACTTCGGATGTCTTTTATTGCAAATTCACTAAAATACATTAAATTGACACAGGAATGAATGTAACGTCATTGATTTTCCCGATCATGCCAGCTGGCAAGTAGCACATTGTTTGGTATGACCGGTCAGCAGGGGATGCTCACACCTCCATAGCACCTGATCCCACCTCTGATCTTTTTTTTAGAGAGATGTGTTTCTGCTCTGCTCGAAAATTGGTATTGTTTAATGGGCTTTTGAGCTTGTATACCGTTCTTTTTCTCCATATAAAAATGAAATAAATATTTCGTACTCTGTATTAATATATAATAGAAAATCGTTGGAAATTTGATAAAAAAAAATAGGTAAACATAATCTTCGTTTTTAACCATATTCAATTATTTACTTAATTGCATCCACAAATCACTTTGACACCTTCTTGTTGATATCTTAACAGATAAGATTAAGTAAATATATATTACCTGATATGTAATTCACGCCATTTCTTTTCAATATCTTAACAAACATACACTTTATGTTTATGTAAGTGAAAAAGCAGAAAGTTATTAACTTCTCTCATTTTCAGATGTAAAGACATAACATGCAATGTAGTGGTATTATACAACTGTTGGTGTTAATAATTCAAACTGCGAAAATCGATACATATGGAAACTTAGGAGGTAAGTATGGAATAAAGGTATACTGAAATAAAATTAAATACATTGTAATAATAGTTCAAAGGAATTGTTAAACGAGGGACGATCTTAAAGTTCGAAGAAATTGTTTCTATTTTTTAATGATACAAAATGAAAAGAATTATCTATGAAATAAACCAAATATTCAATAAAATTATCTGAATTTTCCGAATGTTCCATTTACCTTTAATAGTCTTATCGATTTTTTTTTAAAATGCACAGTTGATAAACCCTTTGAAGACTATAGTAACGTCCAGTTAGGTGCGTCACGTTATGTTTGATGACATGATGAATATAACATTCCCAAGATGACCTCCTACTATTCTTCAATAGTAAATGCGAAGTGATTTTACCTGAATATGTCCTACCTCACGTTTCATTGATCGATGCATATGGGTCGGAGTCAGTGTTCCAAAGATTTTTTTTTTATCCAACTCGTTGTGCGTTTTATCCCCCTAGGCTTGCTCGGGGATAAAGAAAAACCCCACACAACTCGTTGGATGAAAATCATATCCAACTACAAATCATAGGAGAATGTATACTTTTATTAAGATCTTACATCTTATCTTTATATAATTCTGGCGTGTGGCCATTTTTAAACAATATTAATCTCTTTTAGAAAAAGAAATCCATATAAAGATTTTTAAAAGTGATGAACTTTTAAAACTAAAATGTTTGAAATTTTTCTTTGCAAAATTATGGTTGACGGCTAAATATATCCTATTTGAAAAAGTAAGTTATATGCGATGGTTTATTTGTTGACCGCCCCCCCCCCCAACCTCTTTAATCATTTTCCTCAGATCTATGTAAACCTGTTTCAATTTCTAGAACCAACACAGATGGACTAATGCAACCCTTAACCTATGATGAGGAAATATACTAACAAATAAAGAAAACAAATCGCTAATAATGTATAATCTAATTAAACACAGCGCAAGTAGTGGAAGTCTCTAGTTTTCTTCCACAAAACTGTAAAGTGAAGAAAATATTAATGGATTTCAGATACCTGTCTTTATTCAATTTTTTGGGTTAAACCCCTCATCTATTAAATGGCAACTGGATGTGTGGTATGATTTGAAAGATTCAAATGTTACTTGCAAAGTTTTCCGATGTGAATTGTAATCATTTTTCTTTTTCAGCATGTCATATTGAAAAATATGAAGAAAAAGAGACGGGCATACCAGAAGGTACCATGTATCTAAATATGTTTTACACATTTTTTCAAGTCGTAAATTGAACAAATTATTTATGCAGAGGGTTTTAACTATGTTTTTTTTCCATTTATTATACTTAAAGTGTAGAGTATATTTTTGACAAAACTGCGCGAAAAAATAGAAACATCCTCCGAAGAATATTTACAGGTGTCAATTTAAAATTAAACAAATTTCAGTAGATCATATCTTGAAATATTACGCCATTACAACATAATTCTAGATCATCTTTTCTGGCTATGTATTTAAAAACACTCTTACTGCAAATGAGGTGATGTTGCTTTGCGTAAAATTAACGTTTTCAGTAAGACAACAAACACAAATGCACTTGAGATGAAGAGCCCTACACACTGATGTAATCATAAGAAATCTTGTAACATTGTATTCTAAATGTGATTGCTTTGTTTTAACATGTTTTAGCTTTTAATTTATGCATTTATGATTTATTTTACAGTACCGGAGTTTTTGAGACAAAAAAGTAAGACCTACCTTTGTAGAGGCACACAAGAAGGTAATTCTGAAAAAAAATATATCGCTTCACAGAGGTAATTCCGTCGACCTTTAAATAAGAAAACTGTTTTTTTTTTTATTTCCAGGGACCAAGCAGCTGTTTTGTGGGGGTGATTTTATTTTGCCTGGATGTGTATGTAGCTATCATCACGTGGCCAACAAATCAAATCACAAATATACAGCATGCAGAGATAATTCGAAACAAGACAGCATAGAACACATGACGTGTAAGTAAGGATGTCTGTCATGAGAATTCGGGGAAAATATTTCGCAGTATTTAGGTAAAGCTACATATTATATAAAAATTATATTATTACACAAAGGGCATTTAAATGAATTATGAAAACTTGAATTTCAAAGTAAATATGATTGAATTTGTTTAATCTATGTTTTGTAAAAATGAAATTTACTGAAGTTTTATTATCTACGGCAAAATGTTTATTCTTTGATTTACTATTTTTAATTTATACGAAAACATGTGCATGTATTTCACCATAGTAAACAACGCAAATCAGTAAATTTGATGGAAGACCAAGTAGTAGCGATGTACACATTTTCGTTACAAAATACACTTCTTTTAATGTCAGATGAGTGTCTTTCGGGTTTTTAATAATCATTTGTTTTCTTTATTTATATTGAATGACAGGTAAAGACTGTCGTGATTATAGTATAAACGAAGCAGGCCCTTGTTTGAATGGTGGAAAAGTCACTTGTAAATCTGATGATGATTTGGCTACTGACTTAGAATGTTCATGTACAGAAAAATACTCTGGTATATATTGTGAAAAGGAAAATGTGACAGTAAGTTGTCTTTTGCACATAATGCTTACAATTTAGATTGTGAAATGACATAAAATAATAAGCATGCTCAAAAGTAGAATAGCAGAGTGAATAGTTGGAAGTTAACGGTAGCGGATAAGCTAAAGAAATCATGCTTATCACGTTCTATTGTAAAGTCACATATTAAATTAAAAAAAACTTTTTTCTTGAAACCTGGAAGTCATAAAGGAATTTAATAATTACAAAATTGGTTGATTAATTTAAATATCCTTTTCTCAGTTATACAGAATTTGTCAGCTAGATCAGCAGGAATCAAATCTTCCTGATTGTCAGGAGAGACCGGAAGAAGAGTGTAAAATTGTGTTTGGATCTAGGATCGTCAAATGTCTCTTAAACTCTACCGAAGGTAACAAATAATTAAGTTGAAATAATGACCAGTATTTACACATTGAATTGTCGACGGATTTTTCCCGCTAATTTCCGATCATGACAAGGAGCACACGGCCTGTGTGACCGGTTGGCGGGGGGTGTTCACTTCTCCATGGCACCTGATCCCACCTCTGATGTTTTAGAGGTCCGTGCTTATTTTGCTCCTGATTTGTATTGTTTGTATGAGCTTTTGAGCTCGAAAAATGATCTTTATCGCCAAATATTTCTTCTTATTGTATCATATTTTGTGTATGATTATGTATGATAATGATAAACATGTAGCAATATAAACCAAAATTTCAAGAAAATTTAAAAAAAAAAAAACTTTATCATACAGTATCTCTACAAGACCTCAAACGATTTAATATTTAAATGTACAAATAGAATCCTGTGGATATTTGTTTGAGATGATTTTGTAAGGCTAAGAGCTTGTTGTTTCTTGGTCCCAGAGCCTTGGCGAGGGAAAAACACAATGCATTTGATAATCCAATTACAAACCATCAGTGATTTTATAAATCTCATGTTTAAAACTGTTCATATAATGAAAGGTTTAAAAAATTGACTTGGTCACAGATTCAGACTATTGTGACGTCACAGCAATGGACATGAAAACGATGACTAATATACTATGCCCCTGATAAAAAAGAGTATATGTGACAGTGATATATTTAGATATTTTCATGGATAAAAAGTATAAATTGATATACATGTACTTTCATTTAATGGTAAGCTTAAAATTATCGGTTAAATTTACAGATAAACTGTATCAACACTGCAGTTCTTTGAACGATTTAGAGCTAAAGGATTCGAAGCTAGAGATAAAGAATTCGAAGCTACCAGAGAGACAACAGAAAACTGCTGTAAACTCCAGCAATATCTTTCAGAAGACATTTATGACTCTTGCGTGTTTCACGCTGCTTCAAATTACACTCAGTAGCTGATATTCAGAAAGAGAAGCCCGTTGATAATTTTTTTTAAAGATGAAAATATCAGTTAAGTTAGACATATTTTCAACTAATGAGTGTTTTGATCCACATGATTTGACAGCTTCTGATTTTTATACTGGATTTCCGGTCAGATAGTGAATCCGGTTGATAAAGATTTTAAAATGAAATTGTCTATGCATTGAGACATTTGCAACTAATGAGTGTTCCTAAATGATTTACGTGTATCTGCTTCTCATTTTTGTACTGAATTTCTGGTTGTAAAAGTGCTTTTGAGAGACAAGTAAAATATTTATTTATGAAGATAAGAATACGTTTTTAAAAATTGTTTCTCATAATTAAGCTCTTATATTGTCTTTTAACATGAAACACTATATGCCTTATCATTGAAAGCATTATTTTACACATAAAGTAACTTGCCTATGCCTTATAATATGATTATTATAATGTAATGATATGTAAACAATGTAAACATTAAACTTCTCATTTTTGTACTGAATTTCTGGTTGTGAAAGCTTGCGAAAGACAAGTAAACATGTTAAAGATATAAACATTTTGAACACATTGTTTTACACATGTTTATTTTTGCACAGATCGATGGAAGTGTAATTATATTTTAGATGTTAACACATAGCTGTTTAATCAAATCAGTCATATTTTCTTTTCTATTTGTTATCTCAAAGATAACTCTTTCAAGTTAAGTGAGTACATGTCTTGATAATTTAACCGGAATGTAAATTTCCCCTCACGAAAGGTCATATGAGCTAATGAGGGCTATTTAAAATTCAATCCTACAAATACTACAACTGACCCGTCAGAATGTTATGATGTTGCTACAAAGCTGATTTGACATCAGAACAGAGAGAAAACAATGATTTAACTTAAGGAATAATTATATAGATATTTTTTGTAGTATTTTATATTTTGTTGACCACATGTTTGCTACTTTGTATATATTCAACTGTGCTTAGTTTTATCATGAATGGTCATGATTGTAATTGACACATTAACGGTCAATAAAATAAACTGACTTTAAAACATAATGTAACTGTTTTTGTTCATTTCTGTTGGACACATATCAAAGTTTCCCATGGGCATTGCCATTCTTTCTACAATTTTGGGGACAAACATCTCTTATTCTCTGATCCTCTCATATACTAATGATTAAAATTTATGACATGGAAACATATTGGACATTCCCAATTTTTTCCATTATGCTTATAAAACACGCATAGGTTAACCGTCGAAGTATTGTGCAAATATTAATATTATCCCGATGAAATTTTTAATAATGTTTAGTAATGTGCAAATTTACAATAAATATAAATGCAAATATAATCTTTTGTAATGTAGAGTTGGTTTTCTGTATTGACGTTATAAGAAACAAATAAATATCCTGTAATGTTACACGTTCCTTTATCCGGTATTATTATACGTCTATATCCCGCATGCCCATAGATTAATGTCCTCTACGTACTCGTATATTGTAAGGACACGTTATAATTATTGACTTGTCTAAAGTTATTTTGTGATTTAAAATCATAGGAATGATTCCTCAAGGAGAATTTTAAAAGGGGAAAGGTCCTTCAGACCTTCAATATGACCTGCCTCAAGTTGCTTGTATTTTCTTCGATCTTATTTATTATTAATAATTTCAGGGTTGGACTGAATTGATATTATATTCCCTTCTTTTTTTTATAATGCAGATATACGGGTGTTTTCAATTGTGGCGCAAACATTTTATATTTTATTAAAAGCAAAATTATCGAATCTGTTATTCCGAAATGTAGAGGAATGGCCCCAAGCACCCTTACTTTAACAAAATTTCAAATGTTTACGTACTTGTAAATGAGACAATAAGATAAAGGAGGATCTGACTGCTTCGACCTACAGAAAATCTAGGACCCCCTCCCCATATTTTGGAAGAGATCTTATCAGTTTCATTTACAGGTTAGTAGTTTTAAAAGTCATCAGGTTCAACCAAACCAAAAGCTACTTTAACCAACCTGAAGTTTTTAAATGTATGCTGCAGTGGCTCATTGAAAATATCTCCGTAGTCTTCCAATATTTTTAAGTGGTTTATTGGAACTAAAAATGCCTTTTTATTAGAAAGTCTGTTTTCATATCTTTGTTTTTTGAAGAATATATTCAAAAACTTTGAAATGAAATGAAAAACACAGTGGTTAGAGCATTTGCTCTACAGTCAGGGCGTTAGGAGTTTAACTTTTCGTATCCAACTGCGGGACGTGGAGACCGGTCCTTTGGACGAGACTGTCTAAACCAGGATCCCGTATTGCCTACGGTGCTAGCATAAAAATCAAAGTACTGAAAGTACTGGGAAGCGCTTAAGCATATTGATTTGGAATTCGTCAGAATTATTTTAATTCAAAATTCCTGTTGTAATGAATTCTAAGCGATAGTTTGATAGTGCGATAGCGCTAGGTCGAGCACAGTTGTCAAAAGTATGTGCGTCTTGACGCGGAATATGTGAACCCCGTTGGGATATGAAATTCAACACTGTCTCATGCCTTTTTTTTCAAGCATTATACATTATCTTCGTATGTTAAAAGATCAATCAATTTCACTTACAGTACTGTAAAAGAAATTGCAAGAAAATATTTCTCCGTGTAGAAATTATTTTCTTTCGATATGGTAATCGAGTTTTCCGATCAAATTTAAACTCTAAATGTACATGTAGCTACAGTGTATACTGTCTTCCCACAATTTTTTTTTTATTAAAATAGAAAATTTGGTGTTAACACCAAATTTTCTATTGTAATAAAAAATTGTGGGAAGACAATACTTTTGCTGGAAAATGTATACATTGTATTTGAAAAAAAATGTTAACACAATTGTTGTGCTAGTTAAAAAGGAATACTGAAAATTATTGCTCATATTATTTCGGCTATTTCAATGATTAATAATTCAAGAGTCTAAGAAAGAAAATACAGTATAAATCTCAAGTATTAAAATTTTTCATGAAGGTATACACCAATATTTAATTCTGTTTTTATTTAGTCTTCATTAAGAATCGGCAACACACCTGAGACACATCTTTACATAAACTATTTAATCCTAGTTCCCTACTTCAAGTATTACACCGTTTGCTTAACATTTTATCAGCCCTATTTCTGTCCATTGCTTAGAACGCTAATAAAAGTTTTAGCATTTTTTGCTATATCCTGCACACTACACGCACAATTTTAGAGCGCAATACATGTATCCCGAGAAATAAGGTTTACTCTTTGAGTGGATTCGTTGAAAACACATCCACCACATGCTCTACATGTCTGTACAGCCACAAACTGCCCTTCCTTTCGAATTATGTACAACACAAGTATGGACATTAAAAAAAGACCGCCCTTGAATGCATTCCATTCTGTTACTAATTGATACTTAGATGCGAAAATCAACTTCACTGATAAATCTCAGCATGGTGCAAGATGTTAATAGAAAGGCTTGTTTTAGTTACATTGCCTGAAATAATTGTCTAGAAGAAAAACTAATTATAGTTTATATGGATATATAGAAGGTACCATATTATGTAAGTAGTACATTGTAAATTCTTTTTTGGATAACTCACTTCCAGTTTGAGATTTAAAAACTTATCAAATTCCCATCTGAGTTTTAAATCATGTACCGGGTACGTATTAAATATTCAATCACTATATTGCATATGTACATAATAAATAATATACTGGTTTTATCATTAAGTAATTGCGCCATAGAGACAGCAATTGTAAGCTACTTGGTACCAAATTAATGTGTGCCGACATGATTTAAATGAACTACAGTGTATAGAGAAGAGCATGATAAGAACTGCTCTTATCGTCTAACAGTGTAATATTCCTTTACCTAGCTAATTGCCTTCTATTATTAGAAATGCACGTAACGCAGCATTACACAAAAATAGCAGAAAGAGAGTCAGGGATTTCCAGTTGCATATTTTTAGAATAACAAGTGGAGTTATCTATCTTGCTTATAGTGGCGCTGGATCCAGAACGGAAGTAAATTTACGCTGACAGAAAGCGCTTTGCGCTGCGCTTAGCGCTTAATGATCCCTCACTGCTCAATAGCCATAAGTGCCGAAACATGATTAAAGTTGCAACCCACAAACAGCTTGACTTGATACGTACTCTGAAATCATCAAAGTTCTTTGGGAAGCAATATTCAGGGATTTCGTGGACATCGCCATCTTTCCTACAAGATTAACATCTCCATTTTTTTTAAACATGCCGATTCTTTTGATGAAGTTACGAACAGTAAGCTCAAAAATCCCTTTGACAACACAAATTGTAGAGCAGAGCAAACACAGACATCTGAAATATCAGAGTTGGAATCAGGTGCCATGAAGAAGTGAGCATTTCCTGCCATGTGCTTCTTTTCATTATTGGGAAAATACGTCAAAAATTCAGTGTATACATAATAGCATAGCGCTTTGAATGAAGACGACATCAGTCAGTATTTCAATCAATGATATATAGTATTTGCTATAATGGTATGTTGCATACATGAACAACACATGAGCTTGATACCCACGAAAAAGTAAAATTTTGCTTTCCAAACAAATATTGCCTCGGTCCCTACGAATTAAAATGATTCCACTTTTCCTGTGAATTCAAATCAAATAACAGAACGGAGTTAACCAATTCTGAACATTAATATTTTAATATTTTACTCATTAATATTATATAACATGTATTAATACATGTAGCTAACAAACGTCTATGGTATGATTTCCATATAATTAAAAAGGGTTTAGTAAGTTTGATACACCACAAAACAATTTCCAATGCCTATTTTTATTTTTCAACGTTTACATGTTTTTCTATATTTAATTATTGTTGATCAATGAACAAGAAACATTTCACTAAGCGTGCATCACATTTCCCGCTTGCAAAGTAACAGGGCGGAATTTTCATTTTCCCATTTCTTTAAAATACGTAAACGAGCTTTTGCAAACATATATTCAAGTTGATAAATTGTGTATTTATGACTCATTCCATTACCCCCATGTAACATTAACTTCTCCCCTTCTTCCAAAGTTAGTGTCATCCCCAACTTATCTGAAATGAGAATGAAATACGTGAACTTCTAGATAGAATTGATCAAGAGTGCCATAATGACATAATTAAACACATACAGCAATCTCTCAACTTTAATAGCTCCAATATTGTTAAAACTGATCAAAAATTAATATTAATAAAATCATAAGTTTTGAGTAAGACAAGGAATGCAGCTTGTACCTATCTTATATGATTGTTTACAAAGAGAGTGCAGCCACACTTGTATGTAACTCGAGCTTGAAACGTCCTTGTCTTCAACATATCTTCCCTCCAATTTCAATTGTGAAATATCAATGTTTGTTTCAAATTCTCTATTCAGCACATGGACACCATTTGTATAAAGTTTTGAATTAGGACGTGTTTCTGTAAAAAAAAAAAAGAAGAATAAATTAAAGAACAATAAACAACAAGAAATGAATTATTTATCAATAATTTTTAACAAGAGCAACATACATTTATAACATAGCAATCAACCTGTACACGACCCCCCCCCCCCCCCCTCCAAGTTCTTTTTTTTACTAGTACTTCTTATTTTTTTTTTGAGTTGTCCTTTATATGAGTGTACTTGAATATAAACTCCTTTTTTTGATCGAACTGAATTTCTGCACCAATAAAATATTTCATTTTTCGAGTTTTTTTTTTTTTTAAAAAATCAAAGCTATCAATTTAAAATCTAATGATTTAGAAAATTGACAAATTTTAACGATTAATTAAAGCACTGACGAGAATGGTAAGTAATATTTGGTGGGATGAAAACGCGGGTCATGATCTTAATTATCATAGTTTGTTATTATTACCATACTAAATTTTTTTCACACATTTGTACTTACCATCGAAAGTCAGGTAAGCTCTTTCGATGACTTCTTTATTTTGGGTAATATCAGCTGTTATCAAACAGACATCATTTTCTACAAGTAAACAGTCCCATGTTAGCTTACATTATTTTCAAATATGAAGGATATGGAGATAACGAACAGTATTCAATATCAAAAGTCCATAAAACAATATAAAATAGGAGCAGAGGAAACATGGACCTCCAAAACATCAGAGGTGGGATTAGGATCAGGATCAAACTACCGTAAACATGCATTACAAGTATACTCTACACGGTCCAAGGATCATGAACGATAACTATGATTACTATCTTTTAAAAATTTCAGTGGTTAGATTATTTTAGAAATTTAGATATATTAAGACATAAATAAATAAATAAATACTTATTGAAAGAAAATTCATAACTTACCTTCCAAAGTGGAAGAGATATTAGACAACATTTTCAGCTGGGAATCTTTTGGAAAACACTGCAGTCCACTTATCCACAGAAGAATTTTCGGTCCTCTATAATTACTGTAATTTTAAATGGTTAAAAGAGACTGAGTATTTGCAAGAAAAGAAAATTTGTATTTTATCTTTTTTAAAAAGACAGAACTGTTCTTCAGGATTTTAAGTAATTTATCAAAGGAAATTATAGCATTTCATGCTGATTATTCAAATAAAATTCTTTAAGATCTTTTTTTGGCAATAGAAGATTTTGAAAGATGGAACGTTATAGAATTTATGACCATTTTAGTAAAGGCTCGACTTATCCTTTTCTGATATTTCAATCATTTAGAAGAATCAATATTTTATTATTTAGACAAAATGTGTTATGGACTTAAGTCCTTTAAATGTGTTTACCGTATCTTGCTCATTGCCTTAAAAAATTCATCTGGCATTGGATCCACTTTGAGGCCATCCCCATAAATCTGATATAGGACATCACAAACTTCATTCAGAGAATCTGAAAACAGAGTATAAAATAAAATCTATAAGCATTAAAAAAAAAACCCATTAATTTATTTTTCGAAAGCATTTAGGGAAAATATTATGTAAAGAAATACAGGATGCTTTTTAGCCGGGCTCATTTCTCGTAGAGAAATGCCCGGCTATTGCGACGGTGAGCAACAGAAAATGCTGCTTCTTCACCGTCAAATTAAATTTACGAATTAGAATATAGTACCTCTGCGCAATCACCTTTGAGGCAATACAAACACTGAATTATTTTCATATTTATCTGAAATTGTTAAAAAATAATTATAATAAAATACTTTATATCTTTTTCGATGATTAATCATTAAAATATGAAAAGCGGGAGGTTAAAATATGCGAAGGTTTTCATCAGGTATCCCTGTCTGCGTCATATTCTATAAATAAAGGGTGTACTATCAGGCTTATACAAATGCGGGGAACTTCATTAATGACTTGACGTACGCTTTGATGCAAAACTCCCCGCTGAGGACCCATCAGTGCATAATTGTTTGGCCTTAAATAATCTTGCTGCATCAGTGTTTATTTACTTCTGTTGGTATGTAAAACCCCGAAATGATACATGTGACAAATATTTTACGCTGTTAAATTCTAGCTACATTTTAATTAATTTTAAAGCTTTTTAATGCTATATATGACATATATAGATATAATTATATAATCATCTTTTCAATGTCTGAATCAGCTTGTTTTTAAACTGTCATTGCGGTCTTTGTTCATTACCCTGTAAATGAGCGCGGCTTTCAGTACTTCTGAGTACTTTGATTTCTGTTTGTATACAGAATACATGTAATACCTTTGGAAACGTCAATAGGTGCGTAGTCTACCGTATTCTGATATTGTAGTAGTTCATTTAATAATAATTGTGACTTCTTTGTATCTCCACATCCTATGTCAAATACTTTGCAGGGAATATACAGGTTGGATACAACATCCTATAAAATATATTTTATAATATTCTTATATACATGTGTATAATATTAAAGCAAAAATTTGGGTTAGTCTAGTTTTCTTAAATTTTAGTTAATTAATAATTATAGAATTAAGAAACTAAAGAAAAAAGGTCACCAGTAATGAAGTCCAATTGTAAATTTAGTTAATTAAATATTATTAATAACCCCCTTTTGAAAAGCGGGAGGGTATATAGTAATCGGTATGTCCGTCGTCCTACTGTCTGTTACGCTTTGGGGTACCCATCTCATATCCGCAACTCCTCTAATACCACTGAATGAAATTTGATGAAACTTTCAGAGAATCTTTATTACATATTGCCATTGTGCCCTCTTATTTTACTTTTTGATCCGACACATATTTTTGGTTTCTCATAGGAAAACATGGACACTGCCATTATATTCATATGGGAGGCAGGGGTATCATTTCGTGAGATCATTGCTTACAGCACCTCTAATTTTAAAATAAAATTATTTTCATGTTTTCTAAGAACAATTATATCGAAAACTTATATGCAAAATAAACAAGAAACAAACATACCTTAATGCTTGTCTTTATGATGGTCTCTTCTGCTCTGTAATGGTAATATTCTTCCAAATCATAACACTGCGCATCATAATGCAAACCTTGGTGGTCATAACGAAGGGAAACTGGAATGTATTTAGGATGACTGCACAAGCCTTTTTTAAGTTCCTCGGCTATGTCCATGGCTAGGTGTATGTTATTGATATCCTGATTTTTAGGCTATTATTAATGATATTAAGATACTTAAACAGGATACGAATTCCCTAACTGCACCTCTCAAGTATTATGCAGAAATACATATGCTTGTATGAACTAGGATACAATCAAATGCCTACATCTACAATTTTCAGCCATGCATGTACGTATGCATGAAATTGAAAATTACTATTTGTATTTTAATTTTAGATTAGTTTTATAAAGAATAGATTTACTATTGCAAGAACATATCCCTCATCATTACTATATTTATTTTCTTTACTTCATAATAGTTTGTATTACTAATATGAGAGACCCCCTGCCCTGCGTTTTCTGGTCATTTTATAATGTCTACTAAATGTTTAAAGTGTTTCAATCATGGGCCATGTAGTTCTGGTCTTTAATTATGTTTATAGACTTTACAGATTTAAAATGTTTCAAATTTAACACCCCTGGTAATTAGCATATGTGACTTACTGTTTGTTTGAATATTTATTTACGAGATTTTATTAATATATTGAGACGCTATAATTTACTTTGGAACAGAAAAACAATTAAACATGTTAGTAATAACTCGACAAAAATATTGATTCTTAAAGTACGCCATGAACACGACATTTATAGGAGATTAATCAACATTAATTAACTTGTAATATAGCAAACTCGGGTTTCTTAAGGATCAGAAATGGAATCAGGTGCCATGTTAGAAAAAATAATTCTCGCCAAATGCCCCAACTGCTAAGTGCTCCTTTGTCAAGATGGGGCAAATGGGGGAAATTCTTAAAAGAGCACAAAAAGTTGACCCCTAGAAACTGCATAGTTTTGAATACGTGGAAAGGAGAACACATCCACTGTTGACCGTTCTCAACCGTGAGCCCCATGTATTGATCAAGTAGGCAGAATAATCAGTGGTCAAAATCAGTATTAAATCAAAGACCTAACAATTTGTTTCAATGAAGTTAATATACATGTTTTTAATTTAAGGATATATGTGCCTGCTAACAAGATCATTATAACGACCATTAACTTTACGAAATGCTAACTTTTAATGAGATTGTTGCAATCCCAGTAACATCAACCTATTTGTCAGACGCCTGCCTCAATTTAAAAATTGATGTTACTCAGAGCATGCTCTTGAGTATAGAATAAGTTAGGAAATGCACTATTCTCATTTAGTAAACACCGTGTAGGTATTAGCAGGATATTACTAAATAAATAAGGAAAATTGACTTTGAAAAGTCATCTTTTTTGTCAAACAATTTACTTATGAGGTACCCTTAAACGTCTATAGTCATTAAAACACCCAATTATCTAACAGATGTGGAACACTCTTTTGTGTGTTTTCAAGTGGACTATAATATATTGAATTTTCATATGAAAAAAATTAACTACTGTAAATCACATATTTTCGTGGGGTCAAATTTTCGAGGTTTGGGGAAAAATTATTGGTTTGTTGGGATTTAATTTCGTGGATTAGGAAATGTAAAGTAATAAAGCATAAGGAATTTTATATTTCGTGGTGGTCATCAATTCGTGGGTCTCTCCACACCTCGAAAACAACGAAAATTAAACCCCCCACGAAATTAGTGATTTCACAGTATTGTTAAATGATGATACGCCGTCAAAATATCTAAATTTTGAGTTGAAGGTCATGGCATGTGTTTTCTTCTTCTTTTGTAAATGCTGTTGAACAAATTCTACTTTATAGGATTTTAAAAACAGACAAACTGATGAGGGAGCGCATTTAGGTCATCTTTAAAAGAATATTTGTTTTGCCCTCTTCCGACTCACGATAAAAAAGGGATGGGTTAATTTTTTTTCAAGAAACTTCCATCATACTTGTTGACGAGATAAGAAAAATATTTAGTCTCTGATTCAGATGGGAAAGATAAAATGATCTGTTAAACGTCCCTTTGGATATATTTCACGCACATTGATCAATAGATATCACCACTTGTCGATACAGTGCTGCAAATTTTTTTATATACTTAACACTTACAGCCTTTGATCAGCGGGTCTTTTTCGAGCCAACACCAACAGCAACACAGAACCTCGGTTTACAGGGTCTCGTCCGAAGGACCAATCTTCACGTATTGCAGTGGGATTTGAAGCCGCGACCCAAAGATCACCTCCTTACTCGGCGATTCTAGAGCAAACTCTTCAGCCATGGCACTACTCGGACCACTTAATAGCATATGTTGAAGATTACAAGAGTAGGGAAACACGTTCATAAACTTGTTTAATTTAGATGCTGAAATTATCTAGTACAGATAAATAAATATAATTATTTATTATTTTTTATGAACATCAAATAAAAAAATGATCTGCTCCACACCGATTGTGTATAACTTCAGAAATACTAAACGAGACATTATTGACTAAATATATATCAAATAACCAGAAAGATTAGAAAACATCCACATACTTTAAATTCTTATGGATTTTCGTGAATTGGGATAAAAGGTCGGGTTGTTGGGGTTTGACTTCGAGGATGACAAGGTGTTGAAATGTAATTGCCTGATGTCACGGCGTCAGACACTACTAAGGATCAATATTTCCGAGGTTCGAAGCTAAGAGGTCACAGTTAGCCAGCAAAATTTTGTGCATGCTGATTATCTTCGGATTTTTTTACCTGCGTTTCAACAAAAAAGTTTGTAGAAAAATAACCATATTACTGATACAATATATTGATGTGGTTATTTCCTTTAGTTTTTTTGCATGCAGCTATTTATTTCAAGCGAGTTTCTATATACGGACATGTCCGTTTGACCTTTTTTCTGCGTTTTTGTACTACTGGATTAGTCCATTTGGCTTCTATGTAAGGGGTGACACATTTATTTCGCGCCAAATGTCACGTGTAAGTCTCTTACTCTTTTCCTGGACGATTCTATTTGAATGGAAATGAAAACTACATGAATTATATATTACACATGTTAAAGGCTGTTCTTTTTATCAGAATCTCGATCGAACTTTGAAAAAAAACCATATAGATCTGCGATATTGTGAAGTAAGTTAGAAGTTACATCATTTAAAGTAATAAAAGCGAAACGAACAAAGCTTCTTAAGAGGATGAACTGGCCAAATTTTCATCTGATCATATCCCCCTCCAGGGTTTTCCTCCTACATAAACAGAAAATAGACCAAGGAAAGTGTCCCCTCACATTTCAGGATTGAGAAAGTTTATTACTTTTTTGCGCTTACAAATATATTTGATGTGGACCCCCATCCCCGAGAAAAAACATCCTGAATTCTGCATAACGGGCATTATTTATTATTCATACCACGTTTCCAACAATCGTTGATGCTCTGGTATACCCAACAATTAAAGTAATGAACATATTCTGTATGTCAGTCATAACTGTTACGATTCCTAATTTCCAAAGCTCTTCAGCAAAGCCTCCCAGCAAGTGGTGGCATCTCCAATCCATGCAACAAACGAAAAACAGAACAAAACTATTTTAAAAATATTCAATATCATGTTATATTACTGTAATTAACTTTTCACTACACTCAAAATGGTACCCACATGCTTATAGGTTCTATAGATATTGATGGCATTAGTCAGGCAAGCTTTTTAAAAAGCTGTTACTTGTACATTAGAAAAAATTTACAATTACTGGAGGACATAAACTCCTGGGTATCTTCATATCACGAAAACAATAACAACAAAAAATTTAGCAATTTTACAGTAGTCAAGATAAACAATGTGCATACTCAATTATAATTAGTTTTGGTCGACAAGAGGAGCTGCAAATTATTAGAATGCTTTTAACAAAATTGAACCGTCTGGATTCACGTCGTGTGTCCATTGACATGGTTGGCACTGTTGGTATCAGCATTAACGCCAAGAATGTTCTTTTTCCTTGAGAGGTCAATGTCTACTACCACAGGTTCGTCTGCTGTAATCTCCTCTGAATGCTGCAGAACTTTGTCAGCGCAGGTCCTGATGACTTCGTAAGAGTACCGGATGTCGTCAGAAGTGGTTCTCTCCGCTACCACTGCCAGTCGAAGAAAGTATGTGTCTCTGCTGAAAGCTGGAATCATGTAAATTCTTCCGTCGTCCAAGATCTCACTAAGCAGTTTCTCTGTTACTTTGTTTCCTTTCTGTTAAAAACAAGCTTGGGAAATTCAAGTTACCGGTAATTAGACATAAATTGTAATACTGCAGCAACAAGACATTCAGTTTTCAAATAATATTTGCACACGACACATGTACTAGAAACTAACAAATTAACTATCAACTGATGCAAAGAGAATTTTTGTAATTTTATTTTCAGTAAATATTATGTATTTCTATATTTTTTATGTTTATCAAAGTGAATGGTATACTCAACTGATGTTTAAAATGCAATGGATGGAAATTTGAAAAGTTTGAATTAACTACAAACCTTAAGTCTGAAGCACACTAGTCCCATGACTGTTTCGGAGGTTATCTCGAATCGACCATCGTCCAAAATCAGCTTTTCGAAATCTTTTGCCAACTGACAATGCTAAAAATAGATTGACTTAATTTATGATATTATAATTTTTTTATTTTTGCCTAGTAATTCTGTATAATTTGCCCTTGTTAACGAATTTCACTTTCAGGATTGACCACAAACATATCTGGACTAAAATGTACATGTATTTTACATGTATGAAGAAATTATATACAGTCAATTAAGTCACCCCATAAGAATAACAATTTTTGTGCATTAATTTTATAACAGATTTCAATTCAATACATTTCAATTTAAACATTTTTTTAAGTTTGTACAGATTTTTTGTAAAAAGGAGAGTCATTGCAAATTACAAAAACTTTCTAAATAATTATAGGGCGGTCTTTTATTGATATTTACAATACTTCGAATTTAGAAATTCTGGAATATGGGTATTTTGAAACTAAGTAGGGCATAAAACAATCAATATTCATTATGATATTTTTAAGATAAATAAAATTATCTAATCAACATATAATATTGATGAAATTGAAAAAATCTTTAAACTGCACGTCTGTACAGTCGTCTACCTTTCGAATGTACTTCTGAACTCCACTAACACCGTACGACCGCAGCATAAACCACAGTTTTAACGACCGGAAGCGTCTACCAAGTGGGATTTGCCAGTGCTAAAGTACCAATGGCGGAACATTATACGGAATTGTAAATATATTGTACATATATAATGTTTCGTTTATTTTAATATAAAAAATTTAACTTTGTACATAAGAAATCCTTAAAAGTCAAATAAAAAGCAATCTTAAAAAGATCTGAACAAGAAAGATAATGAAAGGTTTGAAACTCATTAGTCTTTGTCATCAATATACATGTATATTAAATTTGATTCGCAAAAAGGCACTTTGCACACATTTTTTTTTATTAAACGCAGAGAAAAAAAGCAAAATATACCTACCCTGTAATCTGGAACTTTTCCTTCGTTAGTGTGTCGAAGATATATAGGATCTACATTAAAAGCGTCTACCAGATACAAACTATTCTTGATCCTGAAGAATAGAAGCATTAAAAACATTTAACTTAAAAATAGCAATTTATTATTAACCTTACATAACTTTTTGCACCCTTACCAAAAATTATGAATGAAAAAAATCTTGAAAGTTCTGTATTATTTATTGTTCTTCTAATTATGATTTTAAAAAAATTGCAAAAAACAAAACAAAACAGAATGTTGCAAATTTTAAAGATATTAGTTGAATATTCTCTAATTTGCAGATTGCGTTTGAAAAGAAGGATATGGAGATAACGAACAGTATTCAATATCAAAGTCCATGAAACAATACAAAATGGGAGCAGAGCAAACACGGACCTCCAAAACATCAGAGATGGGATCAGGTGCCATGGAGGAGTGAGCATCCCCTGCCTACCGGTCACGCACGCCGTGTGCTCCTTGTCATGATTGGGATATAACGGAAAAATCCAAAGTCAATTCAGTAATGGACTAACAATTAGTATGAAAAACGTCAGTCAGCATTTGACTCAATGATAAAATGTATTTGCTGACACGGTCATTGTATCAACCATAGAACTTACGAAATGATGACTTAAAATGAGACTGCTGATATTCTTGTTTCATCAACTTGTTTGTCAGTGAATTACCTCGTTTAAGAAATTCTTCATACGTAGAGCATGCTCTTGGGTATCGAACAACTGAGATATATAAACTCCTATGCAGGTGATGAAGGTATATTGCTGAATAAGCAAGGGAAGTTGACGATAAAAAAGTTAAAGTCATCACGTTTGTTATAGAGCTTGGTCGTTAGATTACCATTCACGTCTTTTTCAAGTAAAATATCCAAGTGTGAAACAGATGTGGCAGACTCTGTGGTATCTTTTATCTCAAGCTCGCCAGGATATATCGTCTCGACATAGGAATGGAAATTACCATTGTTCATTGACAATACGTCGTCGATATATCTAAATGTCGAGTTGAAGGCCACAGCAAATGTTTTCTTCTTTTTCACGCATAAGATTTTGCACAAATTCTTCTTTATAATGTTACATCTGTTCCACGCATTCAGAAAAATATAATGATTCTAAGTACAAAGAATAAAATTTCTTTACTCTATATTTTCTGATAACAACATCTTAGCTTACCTTCGAATGTTTATTTTGTGTTCATGAATAAATCTGAAAATTTAAATAACAAGGGCACAATTTTCAAAGAAAAAGCTGTAACATTATATGAGAAAATAAATCTTTACCACATTACGGACAAATCGAAGTTGATAAGCATCCATTTGTGTGGGTTAACACTGAACGTCTCTGCGTACTGTAACAGATAAGTTAAAATTTACCAATACAGTAGTTAAAAGTTATAAAAATTAGAAGAAAATCCTTTGCTGTGAAAAGATCTTAAACTCATTTCAAAAAATGCAGAAATATATAGATTACCCGAGTTTGACTTGTTCCAAAAATTTTATTTCTTTTCATGAAAAAGTGTATGCATGATATTTTTAAACCTAAAAACAAAACACCTATAAAAATAACAACAACAACAACAAAACAAAAAAGGTAAAATAAATATATTTAATATTTATTTAAAAAACTAATATTTGCTTTTTTCCCTATTTAATCGTCGGTCTATTGGTTTAAAGAAAAAAGAATATGAGCATTCAATATTTGTTTTTGAATTTTTTTCCGCGGAATTTATCCAATATGACTTCTATCCACTTGTTGTTTTCCAATAACATTTTACATACATTTCTAATTACTAGGTTCATATTATACATAAGCCTTATGTATCAATCTTCAAGGTTGAACTTGTAGTACACTGGAATTCTGGAAAGCCATTGTAATCGAATCAAAGATATCCATTATTCGTATTTTCTGTTACGTCACTCTTTATATTGATATCAAACTTATTTCCTATATGATATCTTCTTTTTTTTTTTTTTTTTTTGTAATTAAGGAAGGACCATACTTTTACGGATCCGGTTTTAATTTTACACACCAATACAAAATTCTTATTATCACTTGTCAAAAGAAATAAAATCTTTTTTGATGATTGATAATAATGTAGCAAGTATATATTTGTTTACTACAGTGTTTTTGTGTATACAAAGCATTTGATATACATTTGTAGTGGAAATTAACACTTTGTACTCTGTTCATAGGATCTATATGTCATTAAGTACAAACAAAGAAGCATCATTCTTAATTGCCCCTATGGACCTAAAACTTTTTTTTTAATTTTTTTAACAAACTAACTAGAGATCTTTTTTCATTTATTTTAAGCATGTATCTCCTGTTTAAATTTTCCCTTTTTTTAAATTATGCAAAGAATGATTGAAAAACTTGATATTCCGAAATAGGGGGTATACGTGTTCAAAAGGCTGTTTTGTTAAATTTTTCTGGTCAACAATAATAAAATATGTATTTTTGTGAACCTGAGATATAATTCTTAATAGATTTAAAGAAAAAATGGCACATAAACAACTTAGATTTTGAGATTTTTAAAAATAAAGAGATTTTGAGATTTTTTTCTGATAGACGTGAACAGATTCAACATCAATTTTTTAATGTTTTTCAGAGAAAAATTCAAATATTTTCCCGGAATATTAATTATTTTTGATTTTCACAAGATTTAACATTAATTTGATGCGATTTGGTGCATAGCGAAATAAAATATGATATCAGACTTCTTTATGTTCACTTTTGGCAGTTCAATTTTAAGAGGTAGGTACTCTGAGACATGTTGTATGAAAATTAACCTGCAAAGATGTGTCTTTTATGGGTGTTTTAGTTAGTTTATGAGTTACTCAAGATATTTAAATAAAAAAATTATTAGTTTGACAGAAATTTTTGAAAGTACGGACCAACCTTAAGCATCCCTCTCAAGATTGTTTTACTCATTGAAACGCCACCACTTGCAGGTTGAGGGCTGCATTTTTAAACCTTTACACGGAACTCAGGTCAAACTATAATTGATTTACCAGGCCTTTTTTGTCGAAAATGAAGATCGTAATATTAAACTATAGAATTGAATAACAAAAAATATTCTTAAACAAATATCATGTTTTATAATAGCATAAAGGAAAATAACTTCTTTTGTCTACCTCTATCCCCTTCATGTATTTCCGATACTCCGGACAAACAAAAGCACTCCCGGCATATGCTGCGTCAATATGCATCCATATATCTTCTTTCTCGCCTGAAGTATAATAGCAGTTATGAAATAGGTCTAGGAATACATTTATACGGTATCTCTTTCTAGATCAAAACATTCTCTGATCGAAAACCTATTGGATCAAATAGAGCAACATTTTTGCTAACTTTCTTTTAAAAAAAAACTTTTAATAATAGAATTAATTAATGAACAATCATTTCCAATAAGCTAAACTTATTTTCATCCGCCGAATCACCCGAAAGAGGTTTGATCAAGAGGAACCTCGATCAAGGTTATAAAATTGATTTTTCAAAATTATTTAATAATATATATATATGAATACAATACAAGTAATCAGCAAATGAGAAAAACACACACACATTACATTATTTAACGCACAATTTCAATCTTCTTACATATAGGTCCCAACTCCTCGATATTATCAAATGCGCATGTTCCAGTTGTCCCAAGTGACGCACAGAGCTGAAAGTGATTTAAGGGTAGGATAAGATTGATTAGTCAAGCTCATTCGTGATGCTTATCATAAAAATCAACATTTATATTTAAAAAGAAAAGATCTTACGAAAAAGGGAATTAATCCTTCTTTCTTGTCGTTTTCGACTGCCTTCCTTAAAGTGTCACCTCGAAGGCTGAAATTCGAATCGCTGTCTAATTTGTGCATTTTAACAGCACCCAAAAGAGCTGACCGATGAACGGAGGAGTTCGCCTAAAGCAGTAAATATCTGTTCATAAATTATCTTTTTATGACTCCAATCAACCAACACTAAAAAAACAGTTTAGGCCTTACCTGATCAGTACAGTATGCAACGAGTTTGGAAAGTATTTCTTTGTCTTCTAAGTCAGGTTTCTCTTTCTTTATTTTATCGACAATTTTATTTCGGGCTGCTAACAAACACAGGAAAACGGTCTCGCTGGCTGTGGACTGAAAACAGAGCATTGCAATAGTTTATTGACCATTCATTTTACTAATGTATGAAACATATGGAGATGTTTTTGACCATTAGCTTACCTACCTTTTCTGCTTGATATTTTCGATTTATGATTACGTTGTAATGTTTGATTATTTAAAATTAATAATAATAGACGAGTAGTAAATCAATAAAACCTGGATAACGCCACCGCCATCGCCTGGTCCACAATGTAAAAATTCTTCTGGAAGTGCTAACATCTTCCCCAACCAGTCCGTGGTGATAACTTCCAGTTCGGTACATGCAGGACTTGTAGCCTGATCAAAGGAAAGAAAAATTCAATAACTTTTAGTTAAGTTTTTGTAAATCGTTGATGTAGATGATACAGTTAGCTGGAAATTTATGATAAAGTGCGATTGGTCATTTTTTGATGAAACATCAACAATACATATTATTATACTTCTGTTAAAATGTTTCCTATATAAAGTTCAGAAGGTAAAATAGCTATCTTTTATAGTTCACGCATAGCAAAGCTATACCCCGGGGTATAGTTTTTGCTATCCACCCTCGGAAAATTTTCATGCAATTTTTGCCTCCAATTTTGATTTCCAACGATAGATCTATCTACTGATGATGTCATAATGACTTCAGTAGCATTGTGACGTCATCAGGATTTCAGATTATTCTTGCAGTATTATCTTACTGCAAAAAAATTCAAACCTCAGAAATTATATTATACATCAGTACAATAAAACGCTTATCCACTGTTTGTGAGTGGGATAACTCTTTTATCAAACCCTTATATAAGCCCTCGGGGAATAGTTCTCTGTCGCGGGTTTGATAAAAGAGCTATCCCACTCACACCCAGTGGATAAGTGTATATTGTACCTTCTCATATAAAGAATTTCTTACAAAATTATATTCACATTTTCTTTATTTAGCATTTAGAAAAATACACACAGTGCTATATATGCAATACATTTTTGTCTTAAAGAAAATGCATGAAACGTTTCATCGAATTTTCAAGAAGTGATATTACCCATGAAAATCCTATACAACCAATAGCGTCTGAAAGCATGTCTCCTAATATGGATGGATACGTGTTTCCTGCAGCAAAATAGCCATGAAAATACGGACTGTGCCAGTGAGTTACCTAGAAAAAATACATTGCAGAGTTAAATTCTGATTATTTTTTTATGTTCTATGTTAGAGAGACTTATTGATTGTTTGCTAGAAGGTTGTCATACATATTTTTCTTTTCTAAAGAGGTTTTAAGTTTACAGAAGTTGTCGTGAACACCATAACTTAAGTCGATAAAACACATGTACATGTATTTGTGTGACAGGTTTCTATAGAAATTAAAACCATAATCCAATATCAAGTTTGAAATTGTATGTCATTGTTTAGTTTTTTTTAAAGAAAGGAAGGAAACGGCTAACTCGTACATACGTAGAATAATATCAAATATAGTATCTTACATGTAAAAATGTTTGATATATTTCTTTTAAACAAAATTATTAATTAACTAATGATGTCTCTATTTTCAGAAACTTAATTAATGTGTTCCATGCCTACTGCATCAATATAAATCATAATTAAGATTTTCTTTCTTATTTCTAAATAAACGTGGCAAAATTTGCATTGGATTAGGGAAATCTTCCAATTATAATGATAGTAAAGTAAGATTCTGATCAGTTTGAATAATGTTTGAATGATGAATCAGAAAGCAATCCAGAGATTGGCAATATCACAGAATTGATACTTTTCATAAACCATTACTAGTATCTCGAGAAAGCTTAAAGAAAAAAAAGCTCATGATATTGCAATATCACAAATCTTTGTTCTTTTCAACATTGAATGGCTGGATTTACATTTTAAAAAAGTTAATTAGTCTTGTTTTTCATTAGTGAGGAATGCATTTTATATAGATAACATGCTAGTGCGCAGCAAGTAATCGTGAGATATATATGTATAATGGTATTACAAAGATTAAAACGGGAAAATAATCATGACTATATTAATCAAAATTTTCACATTATGACACTAAAAGGAATTTACTTTTTCAGGACTGCTTATACACAAGAGATGCGTATATCAAGTAAAAATAAAAACGGTGCGATATTTTTGCATATGAAAGCAGTTAAGATCATTAGTAAAAGTGTATAGAAAAAAAAATTTGCTTTATAAATTCGCTTCCATATATTGATATGAAAGGTTAAACCGACATAGATAAGAATCTTATTCTGTTGATAACACATAGAACAAAAGGGGTTATCAATGATCGAAAATGTTCTCAGTGACAACAAATTGTTATCAGAAGTGAAGGACAGGGAAAAAAATAAGACATGACGACAGAAAACATTCAAGATGTCATTAAAAATCACCAATCATATTGTATAGTATATGTTCCAAAAAAATTATAATAATAATAGATCTAAGCATGTATTTTCTTCTCTGGCGAACAAAACATATTCATAAACATTGTTTTGCGATTACGAAATGCTAAGAAATAAACGGTTTATTCATAGTAAGTGGAATTACTATCATCACTTGTATAGATTTAGTTATTTTTCCTTGCATATATAGAAATTTTCGTAAATGTACATGGCCATGCAAATAAAACAATCTTTTTAAGGACATTGATTTTGATAACAAATTTATTCATTCATTTCTGTTTTAAGTAGTTAGTTTGTAATATTGTAAGTAAAATGAATAATTTTAGTCACAACAAATATTTTATTTTCCTTCGCTAAAACGATCAATCCAATCATTGATGGAATTTATAAGAAGTCATTTGCCTTAATAAACGTGCAAATTATTATACGTCTACAAAGGTGTTAAATATATACAACATATAATGTATAATGTGACGTCATTTTCACATTGTGACACAAACAAGGAATTTTTTTTGCTATTTATAAAGTGTATGGCTGTACAATTTTTGTTTCAATCTGAATTGTGGTTTCGTAAGTGTTCAATTTTGATCACCCCTGATATTTTATAAATTTGATATTTTTCGTAAATGTATCATTTTTTAGAATTGATTTTGATAAAAGTAGTTTGTAATATTGTAAGTAAAATTAATAATTTTGTTCACATCAAATTATGCATTCATTTCTTATATATATTTTTTTATCATGTGTCAATAAAAAAATTTTATATTATGTATCATTAGAACCAAAGAAAATTATAAACCAAGCCATGCAAATATTTCTTTTATATTTGCATCATGTGTCAACACACAATTGCAAGAAAAAAGAATTGGAAGTAAGCTTTTGATTTTCTTCATTTTATTTAAATTATTTATTGTAAATAAAATCCACGTTCAGCAATGCAACAGAATACATCAATATGTATTTTCAAGATATCTTCACAAGACACCAAGAGAAATGAAAGTTATGATGAAGCTATAGCACTTACCCCCGGCATTATAAATTTTTCAATGTCTTTGAACACTTCTTCAAAGTCTTCCGGGTTCTCTGGAGCCTCGCTTGGAAGTAGCTTCTTTAGGTAACCTGGGGTAACTTTGTGTACTACATCACGTTCACGAATGTTTTCCATGTAATCCGCAATATAGTCAACCATTTTTCGTCCATATTTACGGAATTCTTCAGCATCCATGCCACCTTAATCAAATATATTTTTTGTTCTTTTGCTTTTTCTAGCATAAAAAAATACTACAATTCAAATGTTTCTTTCCTTAAATAATAAGAATATTGGAAATTTTGACCATATTTACCTCGTTATCCGACCGTTACAACTTAAAATGAAAAGTAGTCCTTATCTATATCATATATACTATTAATATCTTCTACTTGATTAAATTATTGGCACTGGCCATGTTTGAAAGAGACCATAAGTTGTCTTAGTACGATCTTATCTACCTTCAGTTAATATGATAGCGTTTCAGCGTTTAATTGTTTTTATCCCCTCGCGCAAAAAGTTTCCGATGGGATATGGCGTTATTATTATGTGTCTGTATGTGGGTTTCTTATTGTGTGGGTTTGTTGGAAAGACTAGATGTAGAACCTTTATGACCATTTCTCATGGTATTAATCTAAAGTTTCAATATAATAATATTTCCCACATTTGATCACATGTTGCATAACAAAAAGCTAAATAAATAAGAGTTTTCTCAACACGACAAAAAATGTTTGGTGAAGTTGTTTTGGGCAGTAAATAAAAGTAGATGAAAATACACTCTTTGACCTTCAACTCGACATTCAGATATATCGATGACGTTTTGTCAATTAACAATATTTATTTCTAACTCATATAAAGGGTCATTAAATCCTTTAGTACTTATACAAGTGAATTTTTAAAGTAGACACTACACAGTCTGCCACATTTGTTTCTCAACTGGATATTTTACTTACTTTAGACAATAAAAGCAAACTTATAACTTTTAAACACTATTGGCAAACTGTTTGTAATTAAAAGACAAAAGAGATATAAGAGCTTCTTTCTAATTTTTGGAATTTCCTTTGAACAAAATTATTCAAGGTCAACTTTGACTTGCCTTGTCAATGTCCCATTTATAGTTTTCGATACAAGGTTTAATAGTATATAAAGAAGTTAACGGGCAATAACTCATATAAGGCAACTTTTGACAGAAAAGTTGAAGGTACAAAGATATTAACAACTTCATGTATAGTCAGCATGTGGTAACAAGGTTTTTTGCACAAGGGGCAATAACTTTTAAAAGGTTTTATCTTAGCAATTATAAATCTATCATTTTTTAAAATACATTGTATATATAAAGACAAAAGAGATACAAAAACTAATTTTCTCATTTTTGGATTGTTTGACCTTTACATGAATTTTAAGGTCAATGATAATACTTGATTAATCATTTCCAGAATTTTTGGTTATTAAACTCAATTAAAAAACATTCAATGTTCTTCAATTTACCTGAATGGATTTTCTAGAAAATATCAAAATGTAACAGAGTATAACATGTGTTGGGATCATAGATCATTAAGTACAAGAATAATACAATAGAAGAAACATTTTTAGTATTTAAGATTATAAATCTTTTCGATCTTGAAAGTTCACACGCTTAAAAAAGGAAAAGAAGAAACAATTATTTTGAAATAAAATGATTTTCAACAACAAAAAATTTTTGGTGAAGTTGTTTTGGGCAGTAAATAAAAGTAGATGAAAATACACTCTTTATTAAATCTTTGACATGATATATCAACATTTTGTCAATTAACAATATTTATTTCTGCCATTTAAAGTGAGTATATATTTTTAAAGTAGACATTACACAGTCTGCCACATTTGTTTCTTAATTGGATATGTTACTTACTTTAGACAATAAAAACAAATTTATAACTAAACACTTTGGCAAACGAATTAAATTTAGCTTCTCCACTGTCAATTTCCTGAACTTGCTTTGTCAATGTCCCATTATGTATTCGATACTCTAGTCTGTCACACTTTGAAGGTACAAAGATATTAACAACCTCGTGTAAAGTCAGCATGTGGTAAATTCCTTATTTGTTGAAATGACCTTGTTTTATTGCATTTTTTTAAATACTATTGGCATTTGTTTTAAATTTTGCCATGGTTAATCATTTCCAGACCTTGTGATCCTCAATTAAAAAACATTGTCCTTTACCTAAATTGATTTTCTTAAAAGTATCAAAATGTGACAGATATAACATGTGATGGACATATTCAAGTACAAGAATAATAAAATAGAAGAAACATTTTTAGTATTTTAAGGAATGAAGATTAAAGTTGCTTACAATAATTATGAAATAAAATGATTCAACAACAAGCAGTATGCACTGTTTATCATAAAACATTTTCTATTATTAAATGTTCCATGTATTCAACATCATTCACTGCCATTTAAAGTGAGTTATATTGTGTAGATCACCTAATTTTTGTGTTGCCTGCAAGCAGCATACCACGGACAGTTTAATTTCACACCTTGTATCACAAGAACTGTAAGAGATATGGACTTGATATTTTGTACGTTTATTGCTTTGCACTATGGCATTTGTAAATTGCCATGGTTACCGACCTTGTGACCCTTGACCTTGTCCTTTGACCTACTTTACTTAAAAAGTAAAAGTGCCAATATGCAACATATTTTGTGTATTTATGTATATAAATAATTTTGTTCTTTTTAAAATCACTATTTTGTTTGATATTCAATTACCACACAAACTCATATTTAAATATCATGACAATACATCGGTACTGGTATCCCTCAACGGATGGTGTAGAGTGACAATTGGTGAAAAGACTTTGAAATACGTATTAGCACATGTTAAGTGATAAATAAATATTTATAATTATTTCAACTTATATATTCATTTGAGGGCTGGGAATCATATTATCTTTGATTTCTCGGTCTTGTACTATGTGTTGATGTTTTTTGTGCATTTAGTAACTATCATGCTAGATTTTTTTTGCATGAAATGTATATGCTAGTAGCATATTAATAGTTGAGCACCCTTAGTTCAGTTACATCTATAAAGAAGCTTAAAGCAGGCGACACATGCGTTCCTTGGAACACTCTAGTTCATTGATGTGATTTTTCTTAAGAAAATGATTAATCAACTAATATGATATATTACTACAGTAACAAGAAGTCAGTAATGAGGTATATAAATGAGGAAATCAGAGGTCTGTAATTGTGTATCAATATGGAAACCAGAAGTTACATACTGTGAAAACTAGAAATCAGCTAGTAAGTATATTTCATACATGTAGATGATACTAGTCAAAAGATAAATCCATGCATTATCCATGGATCTTTATCAATAGCACTTCCGATTTTGACACAATTCCTCACCCTCAAGCTTTAAATTCATTTAATTTAATTATATGATAATTGTATTTGCAAACAAAGTCATAGTATCGACCATAGAAATATCGAATGGTAACTTTAAACGAGGCTGTTGATATTATTCTTTCATCAATTTTAGAAATTGCTCTTACTTAGAGCATGCTCTGAAATTCGAATCAACTGCGAGATATAAATTCCATATGCAGGTGATAAGGGTACCGGTATATTGCTGCATATGCAGGGAAAGTTGAGAATCACGTTTATCATGGAGCTGTGTTATTAATCATAACTATTGTCAATTAATAATATATCGTCCATATATTTAAATGTCGAGCTGAAGTCGACAGCTAGTGTTTTACTGTAATTTTTTTAAATAAAGAAATAAACAGGTCAGCATATAAATGGGCACAATTATTGCCAGTTGAATGTTGAACAACTTGTTTGTTGGAAGACTTGGTTTCCTAAATTAATATGAAGGAACATTTGTCCATAATCTTATACGTGAAAAGAAAAAAAAACACTTGCTGTGGCCTTCAACTCGACATTAAAATATACCGACTACGTATTGTCATATACCAGGGTTATTTCCATTCTTATGTCGATTCGATATATCCCGTTGAGCTTGAGATAAAAAAAAACCCCACAGAATCTAACATATCTGTTTCATATTTGGATATTTAACTTGAAAAAGATGTTAATGGTAATCTAACAAACAAGCTCAATGATAAACGCGATGACTTTATTATTTTTCAATTGTTAACATTCCTTACTTATGCAGCAATATACCTTCCTCACCTGCATACGGGTTTATATTTCTCAATTGATCCGATACGCAAGAGCATGCTGTACGTATGTACAATTTTTAAAATGAGGTAAATTACTGACAAACGAGTTGATGAAATAAGAATATCATCAGTCTCGTTTAAAGTCGTCATTTCGAAAGTTCTATGATCGATACAATGACCTTATCAGCATATACAATTTATCATAATGTCAAATGCTGACTGACATGTTTCATGAGAATTATTTAGGCCATTATTTACACCCTTTTTCAGTTATTTCCCGTTTAATGACAAGGAGCATTTGGCGGGTGTGACATAAGACGGAATACGGAAATCAGGGGATGTAAAAATGTTTTGGCACCTAATCCCAACTCTGATGTTTCGGAGGTCCGTGTTTGCTCTGCTCCTATTTTGTATTTTTTTTATGGACTTAGAGATTGAATACTGTTCGTTATACGATATATCCTGGTGAGCTTGAGATAAAAAATACCATAGAGTCTGACACATCTGTTTCATACTTAGATATTTTATTTGAAAAAGGGAAATCTAATAAGCAAGTTCTATGATAAACGTGATGACTTTAACTTTTCTATCGTCAACTTCCCTTATTTATGCAGCAATATACCTTCATCGCCTGCATACGGAGTATATATATCGAAGTTGATTCGATACGCAAGAGCATGCTCTACATACGAACAATTTTTTTAAACGAGGCAAATTATTGACAAGCAAGTTGATGAAACAAGAATATCAGAAGTCTCGTTTAAAGTCATCATTTCATAAGTTCTATGGTCGATACAGTGACCTTGTCAGCAAATACAATTTATCATCGAGTCAAATGCTGACTGACGTTTATCATACCAATCGTTAGTCCATTACTGATACACTGAATTGACTTTGGATTTTTCCGTTACTTCCCGATCAGGACAAGGAGCACACGGCGGGCGTGACCGGTCGGCAGGGGATGCTCACTCCTCCATGGCACCTGATCCCACCTCTGAAGTTTCGGTTGTTCGTGTTTGCTCTGCTCCTATTTTGTATTGTTTAATGGACTTTGATATTGAATACTGTTCGTTATCTCCATATCCTTCATCTGAAAGTATTTAGAACTCTTTGTTTTTCGTTCTATTTATCATTTGTTGATTTGTTGTTTTATTTGCTAGTACTCAATGTAGTTTTAGACACTTCTGCAATAGCTGTGATTCCACCTCTGAAGCTTTGGAGGTCCGTGTTTGCTCTGCTCCTATTTTGTATTGTTTATATGGACGTTTGAGCTCAAATACTGTTCTTTATCTCTATATATTTCACCCACACACGACATTTCCTGTTTTCTGTTTTAATACCGTAACTAACTTTTAAATTCGAAATTCATGTTGAAATCGTCTTCTTACAATTCCATTTATATCCATTTTTAAGCTCAGAGAGATAAAAATACTTTAGATAATCTTGAAGATTGCTAAAAACGTGGGTACTTTCAAAAGGCTTAAGTATTCCAATACAACTTGTCAATAAAAAATTACTTTTTGAAACCAATCGCAAGGCTCCAGTGTGTTTGATAAGTAGCAGGTCCTGTCTTTCTTCATGCATTATTACACAATTTACTTTCATTTTATCATTTTTGAATTTATAGAACAATTTCTAAAAGTTCATTTAATTACGTATGGATTTCTGAAAATGGTGGTCAACGTTCTTTCTTTGCAATTGTGGAACAATGCTTGATAAAAGTATTTCAAAGGACACACAAAATAAAACACAAGTCTATGTGTTTCAAGTTTGTTATCAGATCGAAATTTAAGGACAAATGATACAAACAAACTTTGTCCAAAAATTGAAAATAACAATTGGTGTCATAATTTGTTACGTAAAATGAAAAAAAAATCTTAGTGAACATGTAGTTTTTAATTTTTCATTTAAAAATTTCACAATATTGGGATTTTAAGTGAATAAATACATGTACTAGTATTTGTATAAATTAATAAAGATGGTTGTAGGAAAGTAGAAGTTTGAACATCATAGAAGATCTACAGTTTCTTAATAAATATTTTTAGAAATGTAATATTTAAATCTTTGCAACAGAAATAGGCCCAGAAATATGTATCAAACATATTTGGTTTGTAACGATGTTTGTAAAATTTTTGTAAAGTATACTGTTTCATAAACTTTTCATTAACTAAATAATAAATTCTGATTTAAAATTCTGTTAATTATTACAAATTTGCAGGCACAGGCATCACTGGGTCGACTAAATATGAAACAAACTATCCTAAGGTGAACAAACTATCTTAATTCGTGCTATTTTAATGCCAAGATGTTTACGCCCTAATGATATTGGTGTGTTGTTTTTCACATGTAGTGACATATATATTTGTATTTGAAAGAAAAGTTATTGTCAAGATCTAATTTATAATTCAAAAACAATTTTTAAAGACTTCCAAAAGTCTCCAATCATGTAAAACCAATCTTATTTGCATTTCCATAAAGTTTTAAGCACTGACGATAATATTACAATGTGTAATGTTCATAAATGATCTTGTCATATTGCAGTCACGTGATCTGCCAGAAATTAATAATTTCATCTTCTTACCATTCCACTCACGCTTAAAAGTGTACAGGTAATTGTCTTGTTTGGTTGGATTAGTATACGGGGATAAGAGCCGACAAGAGGACACAATGGAGCGCCGCAGGATTTTAAGACTTTCTGTGACTCTTTTACTTTCGATGAACGTTTGTCTTTCTTCTGTCTATGGGGTAAATATTTATGAAAGATATTGTCATTCGTTGAATATGGATTTGGTATATTTTCTATTAATAGTTACATGTGGATTTCGGATTAAATGTGGATTTGATCGGAGTTCGAAAATGGATTCTGATAAGTTTATCTTTCTTCCTTTTAACATTTTATTTGTTCCTTATATTACTGCTAAATAAGTTCAAAACTCAGTTGGTAAGTATGAAGAAAAAAAATTAGATATGGAAATGTCATTTCACATGAGAAAAATTTTCTAGGTCTTATATTTTTAATGATTATTTTCAATTTTAGTTGAGAAAATTTATGAATAATTTTATCCAATGTGAAATGTCATTAATGCGTAAACTTCATTTACGATAAATAATTATATTTATATGGAAATGCTTTTCTTATTATGACAAGTAAACATCTCGCCTTTAATGCTTGTTACCTTGTCGTACACGGAAATGTTCTCGTAAGTCGTTGTGTGTGACCACAATTTCTCTATTTGTCACAGTAAATTGACCCTCTGTACAACTGAATATTTCTTTTACATGAAATATAGACTTCAATAATTCCTTTATTGAACTTTATTTCTATAATCAAACCCTTTGCACCGATGTGTCTACTTGATACAAGACTCCGTGGTTTGAAAGGTGTATAGTGAATAATATATTTCCATAATTAAAACGATGAAAAATAGCAGCGCGTGAAGTAACATAGGCTTCGTTTATCTAGTAGACAGGCACTAAATTAATGCATTTCATGTACGTAATTTTAAGACTGTCAAACTGAAATTAATTATTATGTCGGGAATCGTGATGAACAATTATAAAATACCTTTTTATAATATCCCTAATGAATAACTTACGTAGAATAATCCATGATTGATTTATCTAGATATGAAAACTCAGTGAACAGAATTTCTTTTTTAACTTTTTGTATTGTTGATTCTCTTCATGAAATTGATACGTTGTTCAATGAATAAGTCTTTTTTTTAAAGCAATGAGTAGAAAAATAAAATGAATATTTAAATAAATGAAATAAACAAACAGTGAGAGAGTGTTTGATGTACTTCATAAATACAAAATATATTACTTACCGTTTAAAATTTCATTAAATTTGTACAATGCAAAAAAGTCTTAATTACGAGCATGCATGTAACATAAATTAATTAAGACGGCCATTTTTAAAGAAACAATAAAACAGCAAGGAGTCCTGTGAACAGAATTTCCGTTGGTTTTGTCCCTGCATCCTGGCCCCCTTTACAACATAAAATCCTTGATCCACCCCCAGAAGAACAAATGGTTTTGTTATCTGAGTTTGAACCCGTCGGACAATTAATTAATTTTAATTATTCTTGCTTCTTTATGAGAATCAATAGAAATCACAACAAGCATTATGCAAATTAGTCTTTAATATGTAGTTCGTCTTCTTGGAGAAAAATACTTCAGACTTTTACTAACATATAATTATTATATTTATACATATAATCAACCCCTTTATTTAAGAAAAAAGGTACATTTGTATGATTGCTCAGGCAAATCTATTTATCTCATTTTCAGGATATGTCCTATTTTTTCCTAAATAACCCTGTTTACCTGTTAAAGGACATGATACAAACAAACTTTAAAAAAAAAATTGAAAATAAAAAAAAAATGAAGTATTACTTATATGAGTAGAATGAAACTTTTAACCGTATACTTTTTTTTTATTAAAAGATTCATATTACTGGGAATTTAAGTAACAAAAAATGCAAAGAATGATAAGGATGGTTGCAGAAAAGTAGAATTTGAACATGATATAGAAGGTTTACAACTTCTGTTGATTTTGATTTATTATCATTTACACCAAAAATAGTCCCAAAAATATTACCATTCCAGGCATCATTTTTTGTTTGTATCATCTGTCCTTAAACACATGATGTAGAAAACTATTATTTTGAGTCAGTTTCTGGCGTTTCAAATTTTTCAGATTAAAATTCTCACAAAACAAAACAAATTCAATAAATCTTTATTTCATATTCAAAATTTACATCATTTATTGTTACAAATGTATATCTGTTTTGTTAAATTACAATCTTACCATTTTAAACAATTAAGCAGTATCTAAATGAAAATAAATCTTTTTCTAAGATTTATGTGATGAAATTAATAACTTAATCTATACATGATTGGTTTTATGTCATAAAATGACAGATCTTTCACGGCAAGCGTCATAAAAAAGACACAGATTCAATTAGTATGAGACTCCTATGAAATATGTATCATTAAATCAATCTGTCAACAAAAATTAACACATAACCTATGACATTAAAATACGGTATTCATGTCTTAGACATTTTAGGGAAAAAATGAATAATTGAATCTTTAATTGATTATGTCAGATGTCGTTTTAAAGCAGTGATACATATATATTGCGTACATATGTTGAGAGCTGTGTGTTGTTCAGTGTACTGTAACAATTCGAAACAATTATCAAAATAGATAGATTTTATTTATTTCTGATAAGTAGACACGTTTCCTGTCCATATTGAAAACCCGTAAGTAACGTACATGTACAGTGCTAATTTCAAAGCGTGTACACTGACTGCAGCGCTGTTGTTGACAAAGAAAGAGCTTAAAACTGTCGTGCAACTTGCATGGTCGTTTGAATGTAGAACGTGCTCATTTGCAAAATCGTATGTAAATTGTCTTGAGAAAGTGCCTACACATATTAATCAAATTGAAAGCTTTTGTTAAAGACAGGATACGAATTGTCTACGAATCCGCTTTGAGTTGTCCGTGCAAAGCACTCTGCACGTCTCTCAAAAATGAATTGCTAGTAGTTTAAACATGTATTATGTAAATATGAATATTCTTTAAATAGCTGTAAATAAGATTTCGAATTTTTTTTCTTTCATCATTTAAAAAAAATAATTATATCAAAATATATGTTATTTATATCTATATCTTTTTTATTCATTCATACATTTATTATATTTAGACATGATTGTTGTTTTGATCTCTCTCTCTCTCTCTCTCTCTCTCTCTCCATCACGTGGACCAATCGCACATTCTTCAATATTTCTTATATTTAATAAATTATTAATCAAAATTATCTATGTATAAGGGAGTGTCCAAATATGTCCATCATACACACAGCAAGTTTATGAACACAGTGACCCATGAATGAGCGATCATTGTTAGCAATTTGTTGAATTAGAATTGCATTCAACTGTCACCATGATTTAAACTGAAATTTATTATAATTATTCGATAATGAAACCTTTTTCTAATGTAGTTGATATGCCATTCAAAATAGGCACAATACATTATAACATGACTTGCTGAATAATGATATTATTTTTGAGGGCAATCATCTATGTATGTCTTGCATATTTTCTTTGCATAATGTGTGGGATAAGTCATTATGGCATAAGCCATAAAACACCTTTGTTTTTTTCATATATATATTCAATCCAACGGCCATGCAGAATTGGAATTAAAATTTTAAAATGTGACTTATGGGGAAAAATTATGTATATGTTACAAAATACAGACATGTTTGGTTAAAATTTTTAAATGTGACTTATGAGAAAAATAATGTAAATGTTACAAAATACAGAAATGTTTGGTTAATAATTTTAAATGTGACTCATGAGAAAAGTTATGTATATACTACAAAATACAGAAATGTTTTAGTGTTATATACATCGTTACGTTTTATTTGTTCATCTGTTGCTATACACCTGATGTAACAAAGACATAAAGAGTAGGAATCACTAATTTTTTTCTTCTTTAAATTTCACAACAGGAAATTAAAACAATGTTCATATCTCTTTTCTCGAAGGCAGAATATCATTAATAATTATTAATATTCCTTATGTTTTCAGCAAACATTTACAGCCGGTGGAGGGAAAAGGACATTTTCTTTTAAACCGTCAAGCACATGGAAGAGAACGGCAGGTAGAGGAGGCACACAGAAAACGGTTCAGATACCACAAACAATACAGCGGCCCCAGGCAGTGAAGAGACCACAAACAGTCCAGATCCCCCAACCCGTCCAGCAAACCTCCCAGACCAAACTAAGTCAGGCACAGGTAACAAGACACGGTTATAAAAATAAGGAATTCTTCATCATGAAAAATTAGAACAGGCACTTGTTCTTGGACATGAAAGGAGAAAACGCATTAAACCGAACTATACACATTTTAAAAAACACGACATTATAGTAATTTCTCTCTATATTGACTGTTTTTTGACAAATAATTAGAACTATTTGGCATCTCATGTGATTTTGAATTATTTCTTGGTTTCTGTAGAGTCAACCATTTGCATTTGGACCAGATCGAACACCACAACAGCAACAAAACCAACAACCACAACAACAATATCCAAATCAGCAGCCGTCTAGTAATGTGCAATATCCACAAACAGTTGGTTCAAATCAACAACAGCAGCAGCAGCAACAACAACAAGGAGGCTGGCCGTATCAGCGACAACAGCAGCAGCAACAACAACCCGACCCACAACAACAATATCAGCAGCAGCAACCAGTAGCACAATCACCCTATCAACAACAGCAAGAACCACAGCAACAATTTCAGCCACAACCAACTGAATCACAACAAATATACCAACAACCACAATCTCAACAACCGGGACAGCAAGGTTGGCCACAACAGCCACAGCCACAATGGAACAATCCGCAAACATCTCAGCAGGGAACTCAACCAGAACCAGCTCAACAGCAGTGGAATAATAATCAGCAACCATCACAACAAGCTCGCCAACCACCTCAACAGCAGCAGCAACCTGCAGTTCAGCAACAAGGCTGGAATCAAGGACCTGCTCAAAATCCAGAACCCCAATATCAACAGCCTAATCAAGGACCACAACAACCGCAACAACAACAACAGTCAAACCAGTGGTATCAACCCCCACAAAATAATCAACCTCAAGTAAATACACTTGGTCAACAAGGTCAACAACAACAACAACAGTGGCCACCTCAACAACAAGAACCCCAGGTTCAACCCCAGCAACCACAGCAACCGCAGCAGTGGTATCAAGGACCTGGATCCCAACAACAGCAATACCAGCCTCCCCAACAGAATAACCAACAGCCTCAACAACAGCCTCAGCAAAACCAGTGGTATCCACCTCAAAATCAACAACAACAACAACAACAACCTGATCCACAAAATCAATGGCAACAACAACAACAACAACCCCAGCAAGTTCAACCTGATCCACAAAACCAATGGCAACAGCAACAACAAATGCAAAATCAGTGGCAACAACCAGGTAAGACTGATTTTAGTACTCAGAAATAAAACAAGAATTATAAGTGTTTTGAAAATATATGATATATACATTTTGTTGTATAGATTTGAATACATACTTTGAAACTTTAATGAAAACAAATTTCAAAATGATATTCCATTAATTTGAAAAATTTAAGGTCCGTACCCACCGCAACAATCACAGGGCAATCAACAAATGCCCGGTGGTCTTCCCGAAACATTACAATTAGGAACAACTACTCAATCAAGCGCTTCATTTGCTGATTATCTACAAAATCAACAACCTGGTCAACAACAACAAGTTTATCAGCCCCAGCAACCAGGTGTAGGTGTTCAACAACAACAACAGCAACAACCACCTTATCAGCAGCCACAGGTTCAACAAAGACAGCCTTTTGTTGGCAAACCGGGACAACAAGGCGGTGTTCAGCCTAACGTTCAGAATGTACCTGCTGCCCCTGTTAAGCCTATTTTTGCCGGCAGACCCGACCCTATTGCAACCCCCGCTCCTCAAGCGCCCTGGACCACTGCTGCTATGATCTATCAGCCCACTACGCCCGCATACGTGCCTCCTACCCCAGGTTAAATACGCACAGAGCTTTATTGTATTAACGAAATGGACACGGCGCCTAGCTTCTTCGTATACCGACTGTTAACATAATTATTAATATAATTTTCTAAACACAATGTTTTGAAATAATACCATATAAACTAACGTTGACTAGTCGGTTTGCACACTTCGCTTAATTTTCACTTCTCTGCACTTATATCCTACCTACTACCTCTTTTATCACCTATATTCACACACATTTATTTCTATCAGACTTTCTTTTTCAGTTCATTTGAGTTTACGGCAATTGTATTTTGTCTTTACTAATAATTCTGTGTATTACTTTTATGCACTACCTGGTTCTTTGATTATCCATCTGGAGATATATTGGTAAAATTTGGAAGACAGTGGAATTAGTTCACCTACCTTTGTTTGTTCTGTTTGAATGATGAAAACTGAACATTATATATATCTATGTATATTATCTATATATGTATCTAATAAAGATTTTGTTAACGTTAATTCATAAAACTGAGCTATGAAAAAAATAATCATAGATATTCATCAGAAACTGTCACGTGATTTATAACTGGCATTAAATATCCTGCATTTCTTTATTTGCAAGACACGCCTTATCTATCTACATGTATCTATCTATATATATATCTCATATTAGATATCTACTAGGCCTAATTTAATTGAATATTTATTTAATTGTTGAATATTTATTTTACTCGGAAATACTGAAAAAAAAATACAAAAAATTGTAACCAAGACAATACAAAACAATACAATTGTGTGTCCTTGAGGTGAAATATTCTTTATACTTTCTGGAGTTAATATTTTTTAACCTCTGCTCTTGATCTTTGTCCAGCTCCTGTTGTAACCACACCCGCTCCCCCCGTTTCCTCCACCGTGATGGGTGAGGGAACCCTCTGCTACACCACACAGGAATGTAAGGTGGGATGTTGTTACGGACCTGATAGACAGCTACTGGACATGGCCACATATGGTCCCAACAGTTTAAATCCCTATCAAAGTAAGTCTAGATCAAATTTTATTTTTTTTAAACTTGAATTTCACTTAAATCCTTTTTCACTTACAAGCAGTAAGCTTAGGCTCAATAAGATAAAAAAAAAACATTTGCATATGCCCATTACACGTCGAGTTTCGTTGTTTGCAATTGTGAAGCATATTTTATATGAGTGATGATAGAAATTATTTGAATAAAGTTTGAATTTTATTGTGAAAATTCTTATTAAGTTTGTAAATATATTTATAACAGCTGCTGGAAAATGTTGGGTCCGCACCCCCGGTCTTGGTGATCGATGTGACGATCTCTGTCCGTGCTCTTTAGGTAAGTAAAAACAATCATTTTGTATTATCATGCAAAATTTTTACATTGAACATGTGCCTTTTTTGTTAATTTTTTTTTTCAAAATTTTTAAATTTATCTGCATCATTGTCTATGTCAGCACAGCATGCCTATTTAAAGTGCACCTGCTTACAAAGAATGTACTCGTATATTGATGTTTTATGTTTAGTTTACTTATTAATACTACAATTTTAAGAAAATGAATAAAACTATAAATATGTAGAGTACTTGTGCATACATTTAAATATGCAAAGAAAGAGGGTGTAAAAGGCGTAGACAAATCCTCGCTCTGAGACAATATATTTCTCAATTTTCAAAATTCACGGAAAAGTAATATTTTTCTAAAATCATGTTCTCAGTAATGTCATCTTCAAAACATTTTATTATTTTACTTTACTGAACGATTTATCATTTGACAAACTTTATTTCAAAGTTGACAGTTAAGCATATTTAGTGGAAAATGGGTTTACTAGAGCCATAAAACATGAATGGGTCAAGTCTCCATTCTTCGTTAAAGCTTAAATGATGGAAACGTAAATGTGAAATCTATTTCATTTGTCAAAAAATGGAATCTGAACCCATTCTATATGAAAATCGAACAATTCTGAAAAAGTATACCCTTCAACAAACCCGTTCATTTAAATCACACTGACAGACAACTGTAATGCATATATACTTCGTAGCGTAGTGGTTAACGCGGTGGGTGTTGCTATAAACCCTTCGCTATGAAGTGTGTTCGAATCATACTTGAAGCTTTTCCTTTTTTTTGTTTTCAAATATCCTAAAAACATGAGTGAAAAATAAATTATTAATAAAATATTAAAACAATGAAATACAGAATTAAATGTGTAAAAGATTATATAAACCATAATAATTTTGAAAAATATAGCTTTCATGAAATTTAAGAATTGATAAATGTCTTTTCTCAGAGCGGGGGATTGTCCTAGCCTTGTACGCCTCCATTCTTAAAATTTGTTTCTATAGGAAATACTTGCTACAAACGATATCTTCCTGATTATGAAGTTGGCGAAATGTTGGCTAAAAACGCGTCACTGAGTATGAATGACGTCAAACTTCCGCCTCCGCAGGCGAAGTGTGTTCGAGATGAAATCGTGAAAGCTGAAAGGGAGGCATTTTGGCGGTGTTATTTTGACATTTATTGTTCATCACAAATTTGATCAATGTATCTCTTTACTAAAACATGTCTCTTAAATATCATTACATTGTTAAAAAAAATCCTTTCCCATCGATATGCAAATCGACTTCATTCTATTAAAGTGTTTACAATTTCTGTTTGCCATAATTTCTGTTTGTGTGCAATTTATGTGTGTGCACACAGCTGTATGTTTATAAAAGTTAAATTCAGAGAGAGAGAGAGAGAGAGAGAGAGAGAGCTAAAAGATGTTAAAGCTGCTAATAACTCGCTTTTTCATTACAATAGTGCAATTCTCTGCTTCAAGTATGAATAAAAATAGTTTCTGAGCTTACTAGCAAGTACAAAGCAAGTGTTATATGTAATAATCAGTTCTATTTTGTTTGAAGCTTGTTACATATTTTTGGTAAGATTATTTTCAATTGTATAAGCATAAAGTGACACAGGGCATTGCTAGTGACGACAGTTCTTTCGTTTGAAGATATGTTTCATATAAGGTAAGATTATTTTCAACTAAAGCATAAAGTCGAAGATTTATTTTACTAATTCGAGGAAAATTGTGGAATTATGTAAGTTACTGTTAAAAAAATAGAGAGATAAATAGAAAATCTGATCAAATTTACATACCTGGTATGGCAACATTTTGTATACTATATTGGTAAAAAATTATCATAGAGGTGAAAATTCTGTGTACTACTTCGGGCAAAAAATGAATTTCATGAGGCAAAATTTAGTTTTCTATATTAGGCAAAATTTATTTAACCACAACGGGGTGGGATTGGAGTTTTGTTTGTTTGTTTGTTTGTTTTTTTTTAACAAATCATTGGTGACGATTAAATCAGCTATGGAGTCCTGCATTGGATCATATACCTTTTTCGTTCATTTAGAGAGAGAAAGCTAAAAGTTATCTCTTCTATCTTTCGTCATTCAAACATAAAAATTGAATCCAAAATTCATATCTGCCGATTTATGGTGTAACTGTGACATGTTGAAAGAAGATAATTTAAAGATTTCTATAAGAGTTGAAAATATAAATATAAACTTTTTATACCAAGAACTTTTGTGATGCTTTGATCTTGCTGCATGTAAAATGGGTGGCTAAGTAAATGCTTGTACTTGTATTTCAATAATAACTTACATGTATATGTATAAATACCACAAACATATTCGCATTTTTGTGTTTTCAAATATTTTAAATATGATAACTTCAGAAATATGCAAAAAATATCAAAATTTTATTAATTGGAACATTTAATTTCATAAAGAGATTAAAAATATATGTTTATGAATTCAAAAGTCTTTTTATTTTACATATATTTACATTGTCTAATGCCTGTATTTTTAACTACATTTTGTCTGTAAGTCTGTTTTAGTAATATATATACATGTTCATGTGCCAGCATTAAATCGTTTACAAACTGTGCTTTCCTGACAATTGTCTGTAAGAAAGTTAGATTCTTCTGATCGAATTTTAATTTTCAGGATTCACTTGTGACCAGGATTACAACGCTATCTATCCGGGGGATCCAAAATATGTAGAGGGAGGCAAAAAACTGTTCTTCAAACCTCCACGGCAGTGCAAGGATTCAAAAATCGTTAAAATCAAGCAAGCTGCATTCTGGGAATGTTACAAAGACCACGCCTGTTCCGGATTCCCTAATGTGTAAAGACAGGAGAGAAGTGGCATTGTTATTAATGCCGTTAATAGTCAGAGGAGACTTCTCTTTTATATATATTTTCAAGAATTTTCCTCCTTAAAATCAAAAAGAAAATGGTGGCCTTTACAACATGGCGTCCAGTGTGTCATGGCGACGTGTACGTGTGATGTAGAAGATATGGAATTATTATTTTCGTGGAGAAAACTGTGCATGTGTGTCGTGTATTTATACATATGTATCGCAAATGCAGACAAAAGAGCCATTTCATTAACTTTAATGTATCAGAAATCATTTAATTTGCAGTCATTTCTCAGTTATTTAAAATCTTTACTCAGTCTTATTATACATGTACACTCAAATTCTAGAAGCTCAACGTCTTTTCTCTTTTAATGTTTTCAAAATCATGCAGTTAATAATTCGTTCTGACTTATTTATTTTAACTTTAAAGAAATGCTTTCTAAAAACGGTATGTATTTAAATAGTGACTGTTTTCTTAAATCGCATTAACATTACTATATATGCGGTTTAAATGATAAATAAATTACAAAATATGCTCCATACTGTCTATATTTTTATTCCTGGTGAATCAAAACTTGATTAAAATTCGTATTTTTTACGTCTTGGTGTGGTATTTGTCGAGCGATCACGTTTTTCCAAATTATATATGTTAATTGTTCATTTTGAAGTTGACCAAAGCAGAAAATAAAAATAGATGGATTGTTTAATAACAGACATTAATATCTTTAACGGAAAGAAATGAGATTTCTCATTTTAAGCCCAAAAACAACACAGTAAGTTTTTTTCAGGCACTGTCGCATGAGGTTAAACATGCTGCAATGAGTAATATTATTCAGACATTGAAAAGAGAGAATAACTCTTTTTTAATTTTTGTTAGATAAAAATATGTTTTGCTTACATTTATTTTTGAAAAAAAATTCAAATAAAATGATTCTCATGAAAGATATGGAGATAACGAACAGTATTCAATATCAAAGTCCATAAAAGAATACAAAATAGGAGAAGAGCAAGCACGGACCTCTAAAACATCAGAGGTTTGGATCAGGTGCCATGGAGGAGAGAGATCCCTGCTGACCAGTCACACCCGCCTTGTGCTACTTGTCATGAACGAGGGGGAAACGGAAAAATCCGCAGACAACTCAGTGTATAAATAATGGGCTTACAATTAGTATAAAAACTTAGGTCAGCATCTGACTCAATGATAAATCGTATTTGCTGACAAGGTCATTGTATCGACCAAAGAACTTACGAAATGATGACTTTAAACGAAACTGCTGATATTCTTGTTTCATCAACTTGTTTGTCAATAATTTTCCTCGTTTTAGAAATTGTTCATAGGTAAAGCATGCACTTGTTTCATCAACTTGTATTGTCAATATTTTACATCATGTTTATCATCAAATTATATATGAGTCCATGATTGCTTACGTAAATTTCAAAAAGGAACCAAACCACAACCCCTGGGGTAGGGCGGGGCCAGTTTTACAAAGGAATCCAAAAGAAAACATCTTTTAAAAATATCATGACCAGCAAAGGAATCATGAAATATATTTTAATAGAAGCATCCTCAAGTAGTTATATATTCAATTTTGTTCAATCAATTCATGACCTATGGGGATGGGTGGGACCACTTTGAATGATCACGTTTGCATAGGGTATGTTCAAATAAAGTATGCTGTACCTTATCAAATGTGCATTGAGTTATAGAGCAGTCTAGAACAGAGTGCTTGCATGTACATGACGTTCACATTTTTGCCAAATTAATATGATCATTTCTTGTTCAAAAGTTCAGAGTAAATCTCTATTATGGACCTAGTGTAACTAAGTTCACCTGTTTCTAGTACTTACATGTAGTTCGTTTAACCCATGTAGTAGTACACAAAGTAGAATTTCTTCATACTGGTGAGTATTTGTATTTGATTACCTTACTTTTTTAAATTGTGGGTATACTACTCTCACAACCATTTAAGCAGAACTTTCATTTTGCAGAAGATGCGGTGTGTTATCGGAGATACGCTCCAGTGTACTCTAATCACGGAAGCGGACAGGATATGGAAAACGTAACCGCGGTACCCCCTCGTATATGTGTACAGGCAGGTGTGGTTGCTGCTGAAAGGAAGGCATTCTGGGATTGTTATATGGATGTGGCTTGTTCAGGATCTCTGCCCTAACAAAGACATACCCCCACCAACAAAATGTTTACAGTACAGCGTATTGTGCTTGTGTTAAACTTGTACATTAAAGTTTGACAACTCACGTGCCATAAGACATTTGTAGAAAAATTCATCAAAACATATTGCTTTAATGCATGGTTCCAAGGATCTCAATTTTTTCTGTCAATTTAATTTGACCTTAGCAGCAAAGAAGCGGAAAAATTAACTTTGAGTTAATCTCAAAAATGATCAGCCACAACATCAGCAGAATAATCAACAAATAATAATTATTACATTTACATCCGTTTATGCCCCACTGAACGATATGACAAAATCTGCTTGAAAGAGGTATCAGCGATAGGTGAAGCGAACAGAGATTGGATGCTGAAAACATATTTATCTTCTTTTTTTAAGAAAACCATGATTGTTTATCAATTCTTTAAGGCCACTTAGCAAGCCAAAAGTGTATCAAAACAAACTCAGAATCTTTGTAAATATTTATTTCAAGCTATAAGTACAAAAGAAAACACATTAAAATTCGTTTGATAACGATTAAAGATTTATCATATTTTGGTTAAATTTTGCATTAATTTTGTTTTGAATTTCTTTTAACCATATGCTTATTAAATACATTAATTTGTATGTTGTGCATAATTTTGAATCCTTTGTCACTTGCCTGAATTGTATAATTATACATATATGTGTAGCTTTAAGCCACGGGTTTCTTTGGTCAATGGTAAACAATAAATATATAGTTATCTTGAGCAGTGGTTTTTCCATCAAGGAAAAATAGAATGACCTATCAGTATAACAAAATAAAATAAACATGTGGAAACCTATCGTTTATATGATTATTCATATGGACATAAATATGAACAATACAATGTTTTATTTGTTAATTGTGACGGAAATAAACGGTTGCTGTTAATGCAAAAAATATTTACATAACCCGTTTGTATATAGCGCGGGTATTGTAATTTTCCTGCAACAGCTGCAACTGTAATTCCAATACACTAACAAACAAACAAGCATATTATTGTTTAAATGAGGCGGAAAATAAGGTTGGGGAGTTAATATAATAATTATATGAAATGCGGAAATAACGAATGACAGATATTATCGTGAATACATGTAACTGTCCAATCCAAAAAACTGTAATTTTTCTAAGAAAACATCCATGTGTTGAATATTTGTGAATCAATTTTCCTAAAGTCGGCCAAGGTTAAGATTGTCAGAAGACCAAATTGTAAGGTAAGGACCTTCATGTATATTTAAAACGAAGTACCAGTATAAAGGATAAACACCAACACAAAATGTTTCCTAACAAACATCTAGTTCCCTTAACAACTAATAAGAAAAATCTGCAACTTATAAATTAAGAGGCGGTCTAATAAAATTTTTAAAAATGTACCATTGATGATTTTCATTAAAAAAAATGCTTCTGTATAATATACTTACAACCTTCCATAGAAAAACAAACTGTTTAAATGCAATACCTGAAAAAAAAAAAATAGCAAAAAAACATGACTATCATATTGAACAAAACACTTATTAAATTTGCTGATTTTGTTACATTTCTTGTTTCATTTTAAATTATGATGTTGAATCTTAATTGTTGTTTGTACCAAACAATTCCCCATCGAAGTTAATGGGGGGAAATAACGTAAAAACTGTTTACTCTTCCTTACTTTTAATGTCTTTTTCATAAACAGTGTTAATATTTACGCCAAATCTGTCATTTTCAACAGTTTCCTGTTAACGGCATAGAGGAATCAGTTACTGTGTACACATATTAATGCCGAATTCCATTTTTCTTAACAGAATCGCCAGCAGTACTGGTTTTAAACATGAATGGGGTAAAGAAAATAACATAAACACCACAACAGTACATTTATGCAAAATGGTATATATTTTATTCAAAACTAAACTAAAGAAATCCAAGGAAAGCATTAGTTGCCTACTAAATGGCTATAAAATTAAAATTAAATAAATGGATTATAATTGTAAAGTCCATGTTTGGTTATGGCGAAACAGCATTAAAGCACAATCATATGTAATAAAGTCCATTAAATTTCACTCAGACAATACAAATCAGAGAGAGACGGAAACACCGACCTCTATATACCCTCCCACTTTTCAAGCGGGGGGTGTAATAAATGGAGATAACGAACAGCATTAAAGCTCATAAGTCCATTCAAACTATACAAATCAGAGAGAGCAAACACCGACCTCTGAAAACCAGAGGTAAGATCAGGTGTCATGGAGGAGTGAGCATCCCCTGCCGACCGTCCACATCGTCCGTGTGCTTCTTGTCATACCTGGTAAAAACAGAGAGGCGAAAACGTAGACAATTCGGCGTGTAAATAATGGACTAACAATTAGTATGAAAAGCGTCAGTCAGCATCTGACTCAATGATAAATTGTATTTGTTGATAAGGTCATTGTATCGACCAAACAGCTTGCGAATTGATGACTTCAAACGAGTTACGATATCATTGTTTCATCAACTTGTATGCCAATATCTTGCATCGTTTTAGAAATTGTTTATACAAAGAACATACTCTTGCGAATGTAATGAACTGAGAAACATAATCCAATAAGCAAGTGATTGTGGTATATAGCTAAATCAGTCAGAGAAGTTGATGGATGAAATGTGAAATTCATCACGATTACACTTATCAAAAAGTTGGTTGTTAGATTACTAATTACGTCTTTTCCTAGTAAAATATCCAAATATGAAACAGTGGTATCTTTCAATTCGATCAGTCTCAATGAGATATATCGAGTTGACATACGAATAAAAAAACATTGATATCTGATGAAATTTTCGTTAATTTAATTTATCGAAAGGTCGAGTTGAAGGCTACAAGTGTTTTCATCTTCCCATGTAAAAGTTTATATGAAAAAATTCTGCTTCATATGAATATAAAAATAGATCGGCGTACAACGGGACACAGTTGCTACCTGTATGAATTCCAACAGCTTGTTGGAAGACCTATGTCCAAAAACTGTATTAAAACCTGTTTGATAAAACACCATGGAAAGTAAAGAAATGAGAGTGTATATTTTTTGGGTATTATAAGTATCCCAAGCAGAGAGGTGCCTGATAAATGTAAGATGAGAAACACTGAGAGAAATTAAGCTATTTATTAATATTTTTCTAAAACTGTGTAACACAAATGTAGCATAAACTTTATAAACTTTCCATGTAGGGAGAGGAAATAAGTTTTGAAACAATCCCATTGTATATGTTTAGAAATTCAATTCATTAAGCTTAAGTGAAAAAATAAGGATAAAGGGGAAAGGTTTCAATGTTTACTACACAAATATACTGTATTTCTTCTTGTTTTTCTTTTTTGCATGATATAAAACTAAATCATAATTATTCTAAATGCTGACTTTTATAGTGCACAGTATAACCTAGACACCCTTCTACCCAGTTTTCATAATTTTCGGCCATGTACATATAGTCAAAAAATTCCAAAATTATTTTACCCTGAGTTTCTTTTTCCTTTCATTTTATAATTAAAAAATAGCATCAATTAATAAGTTGAATATTTGATTTTAGAATTTATTTCAGTTACTTGATATCCTTTTCCTAAATGAAGTTTACCTGTTTGAATGTAAAGAATGACATCCCATACATTACATCAAGATTACAGGTCTTTTGCATTCCTTTATAAATGCAACATACATCAAACATTTAATCTAGAAAAACAGGCTCTAACAATATAGCAGAAAGATCAACCAGATAATTACTAATAATATTGGGGGAAATCCTTGATGGGCTCCTGTTTGTCTTTCTCTTTTTTATTCTTTCTTTAAATCAAAAGTTTGTTTTCGCTTCGACAACTTCACAATAAAATCAGATATTTAAACACTTTTCAAGGGTTCGGTTTACCTGTTACCCATCTGGGGATTTCAGTAAAGAGTTAAATCATTCAACCGTATCACCAACAGCATATTTCTGCACAAAAGAGGGCGAATTAAAGTCGAGATCCTTGGAAGTAGACGCGAGTTCGTTTCCTTCTATAAAAGGCGACAAAAGTCACCCCCTTCCGTGTGTGACGCAAGTTTGACTTCACAGCGACGACAAATTGCCTGTATTATTTGTGTATTTATTTACTTGAATTGCAGCAGCGAGGACGTTAGTAAAAAACGCGGCCCTTGAAGTTACTTGTGGACAATTGAACTTCTGATAAGGAATTCATTCAATTTGAAGATTTATTAGATCGGGGTCTGTATCGTGAGTAGTGTTTAAATTAGCTGTAATAAACAACCATATGGACTGATGATGAACTAATAACAGGGACTAAATGGAATGGTGGTTTAATACACGTGGTAAGTACTAAGTAGTATATGGATTTATGTTACATACTAGTAATTGATAAATAAAAAGATTTACCCCTTTCAGAGACTCAAATGAGCAGATAAGATTGCCATTTTTTCAATTGAATGAACGGGGGATCTTTTCAGAGAACTTTTTACGAAGTAGATTTATATAAACTGACAAGGTTATTAGGTATAACTACATGTATTTCTCTCCAGTGAACAGTTAATATATGTACTTTCCACGTAATCTGAGATACATGGTCAGTGTTTGCAGGGCCATTCACTGTATATAAACCTTGCATATATTTCAATACCTTGTCAAATTCAAAAGTTGAATAGCGATTCTCGGACGCCTAAAGAAGCTATTTATTGAATGATTTTGGACCAAATTGATCACGAGATAAGACCAATTCAGTGTATTAAAAGTGCGACCTAGAATTTGGTCTGTTTACAAAAGCTGTCAGCTGATTCAAAGACGGGACACTACGGCATGATATTTGTCTATTGTGGGCGGATAAGATGGTCTCATTTTAGTGTTTAAAAACACGGAATTTAAGCCTATTGTTCAAATGGCTCTAAAGAAAGATTTTTAAAGTAAATGTCCGTTATACATCGTTATTGCGATCACGATTTCGTTTTAAAATTTCAAATGTCTATTGGATAAAAATTTCACCTTATACAATCACAACAGCACAGAAAGGCTGAAAGAATTCTCAGAGATGTAATTTCGCAACAGAGCTATTTTTCTTATCTGGCTTCATACACGCTATTTAAATCAAAGGTCAATAGAAATTGCATGTATAAAACGGGTTTTCTGTCGCCAACTATATTGAAAAAAATAATATTGAAATGTTCAGACATTTGATTACTAAAATCGGTCTAGATTTAAAGAGTTATACAATACAAAACCTTAAGTGTATATGCAATGAAATGCATATGTACATGTAAAACTACCAGAATAGTACATAAATATAGGCGTAGATTTATGCTGCTTTTTATTTGTAATATGTTATAGTTACTAGTCCGGATTGACAATTCCATGCATGCTTCTTTTAACATGTTTAAAGAGGTTGATCGAAAATGATTTTTGATTAGATTAGGGAGAAGATGATATCTTGGTAGAACAAAAGACGTTTTAAAAAACGCAAATACATCTCGGCTATAAATACTACGGCATTAAAACAGGAAGTAATTTAGTAGATTGTCTATTATATCGATTGTTTCAAATCGCATGATCGTGTATACACATCTATTTGAATATTAATATCTTTAAGTGTCGCTTGATCACTGAAAAGAATATACAATTTAATTATTATTGAATGTCTCGTATTTTTAATAACAGATGGATACAAAAATTTGATTTCCGGAGTGAAGATGATTTGATATTTGGAATGTGATGTCAACGATGCCGATTTCTGTGAAAAGGAGTTCATCTCAAAGATCACCGCCTCGGGCCAAAAGAGGAGCTTCGGTCCGGAGAACAAACAGTTTTAACCTCCTAGCGAGGCCTAGCAAACCTGGAGATCGACTTAATGTAGAGGCCCTCTACGGTCTCACCCCATATAGGGATGGAGTGGACGAAGTTTCGGAATATGCTCGTTCGATATTGATAAATGCTGTGAAAGTTGAACCGCACGTTCGTGACATTTTCTTTCCAAATGAAGCCCCAGATTCTGTTTTGGAATACTTAGATACCCGAGGATTTCCGATGGACAAATTGGCAACAGCCTTGGTTGCTGAATGTATATCTAATATAAAAGACGAATATAAGTTTCATCAAATGATTGACAAAGACTCACTCCAACAAGTGCTAAGGGATATTTATAATGGTCTTCAGTGGAAAAAGCTAGGTTTGTGACACAGCTGATTTTTGTATATAGCCAAAAGAATAACAGAACCAATATCTCTACTAGTACAAAAATTCACCATGGACAATATTTTTTCAATCCATATCGTGTGTGCAAATAGCATCTGCTTTAGTACAAAGCATTTTTAAATACTAGTAAATTGTAATTTAATTGGGGCAAATCAACCAAATCATAAAAAAAATGTGTTATTCCTTTTGGGCACTATTTACTGAAACTAACAAGTACATAAAATCTAACAATAAATTGGGTCCTGTATTAACGAAATACTCCCATACATACTTCCATTAGTAAAATGATGACTTTATTATTTCTTACGTCATATTTATAGGTTTCTGCCTGTACTCTTTGACCTATCCAGAGGTAGTCCGAGATGAAAAGACAGGGGTCAGTCTGAAGGACTTCATGGAAGACAATGGGTAAATCGTCTTATCATTTCTTTGTGCATGTGAATTTAATCTTAACATCTTGTTGTTTGATCTTCTTTGGTGAATATTTTCAATTTTCATGGTAGTCACCCTTGCTTTGTAGACATGTTTGGGCAGAGAAGCTCCTAGCACACATTATGGAGCCCCGTTGGACCCAGATGTGGATTTTCCAGATTGTCCGGGGGCAGTGTACAGAGGCAGATTACAACAGAGAAATGAATGCTCTCTTTGTAAAGTTACATCTCCTCGATCCACAAGTCGTTATACCAGCATTTCAGTTCCTGCTTAACCAAAAAGGTATATCTTAAGCAAAGGTGTCTAATTTGTCCCAAAAATGTTCCTATGTCAAAGTTTGTTTGCCATGCTTTTCAAGATGTTTTCTTTGATCACAAGAATGTACCTTTTAATGGTAGCAATGAAAATGCAATTATTGCTTCAATAAATAATCTGTGTTGCATTTTCAAGGAATGTTTTTGGATGTAGAAAGGCTTTTTGGTTGCTTACCATTGTCTTTGATGCTGTTTTAGTTTTATGCTTAAAAATACATTAAATTTACTTATCATTTTCAGCGCTTCCGTCCGTAAACCTAGAGCTAGCAACGAGAAATTACCTTGGTGGACCATTAGACTCCTCCATATTAGAGGAGGAGGTGAGAGGGGCGGAGGAGAAGGAATCGGTTCCCCTGAACGCCTCCCGCATCAGCCTGTCAGACTTAGAGGTTACCCACGGGGTGGAGGTGGAGGAGTTTATCACCAGTGAATGTAGAAGTCTGGATATATGGAACGAGAAAAGACCAGAAAATTCAAAAATCTCCAAACCACGTGATCGTTGTGTTGTAATGTGATTGGACAGAGGATAATTCAGTTATATGTGAAAGTCCTTTTCCAGCATCATATGCATCGTTTTCAATCTAACATTTTTAGCAATTACATTTGATAAACATTTTTCATTTTACATCTGCATGCTTTTGATGAAAGCCTTTAATACTCAGACTGACGTGCTCCGTTCTTTTTTCTCTTACATGATCTGTATATTAATTTTTAAAATAAAATATTTATAAACTGTTGTCTTTTTGGAGCTTTTCCCTTAGTTTAAAATTTCTTTCATTAAACCAGTCAATTTTTCATCCGTTGCAATTTCCGCAAAAAATGACCAGGTTCATGTTTTTGGAGCCGGTCTTATCCAAGATAACTTTATGAGTCGTAAATTGACCAACTTCTAACCTTTCTTTTCTGGATGTTTCTCAATGTTTTGGGAGTAGTTCCATGAGCAAGACAAGGCCTAACTAAACCAAACTTGCATGGATGATGCAAAATTCTACCGGTGCTTTAGATGCTAGATTGTGACTTACATTGAATATGACATAAATGGTAGGGAAATTAGTTTTTATTAGTGACGAGAAAAGATTTTGTGAATTTTAATACCTGATCAACTTATTTAATTCCACCGTTAGACCAGAGAGCATTTTACACCTTTTAAATGCACATGTATAGCTCTGTAGGCCATTGAGCAACAGATCAGCAGTAGTTATATGTAGTGTAAACGTTTATTAATTAGTTGTTAATTCGTATGATAACCTGTTTTCATGCAAAGCGAGTCAAACTTTTCCTATAACATTGTAACAGCTTACAAGTTGTGTTACAGACATTAGTCACTTGTAGTAGAACAATATACACGACATTAATGATCTGTGAACAATTGACATATACAAGTAACTAACACAGACACAGCTGTTCTCATTAACAGTGCAATATGCGACAGTCATTCCAGTACTAATAACCGCTTAATGTCATTATGTTTGTAATTTTCCCTAGAGAGCTGCATTAACTTTATGTTAAAATCTACTTCTCGTCGGAATTTGTAATGAAACAAATCCGTCAAACAAACCCACTCATAGCGCTGAAATGCTCAAGAATGGTTTTGAAAAGTAATTATATTTCATGAGTAATGCAGTGACAGATTTAAAAAATATATTACTTTTGCAGTAACCATTTTAATATAAAATATTTGAAAAATGGAAATATACAAGTATGTGCTTTTTTTTTTACTTATTGACCACTGTTTTGACACTTTTAAAAATTATGACTTGGTCTTTTTCCATTCTGCCACAGAATAAGCACAGGATTTCGCGTACAGTACCTATCGATTTTACTGAAATTTACGGAATTTTCATAATCATATGGGTATTCCGTATTATTTTTAATTTACTGAACATTTCGGTAAAACTTATAGGTACAGGAACTCCTATGGAATAAGCGACGAAGACTTTAATGTATATTATTATAATATTAACAGAGACTCAAATTTGCATTTTAAACATGAACAGAGGCATTTCATGTGAAATTGTATTCAAATTATTTTGTTTTTTCTGAAAGAGCGGGTTTTCCATCTTGAACCGTCCCTGTTATTTTTCCACTTGGTCATATTGAATATGAAAACGAAGAAATCGCTCGATAAAATCCTCCTTTAAAAATATTTTCCACCCTCCTATGATGTCATAGGTTTTTGAAAAAACTGTTTTTATTTAAAATTGATACCTGATAGAACAGTATATTTTTACACATATGTAGGAATGCTTTTCAATAGGTGTATTGATAAATATTGTAAAGTAAACGAATTTTAAAAGTGCGTATTTTCTTGATTTAATCAATTACTAAATTCAATCTTTAAAATATATTGACAAGGGAAATAACTCCTTCTCAGGTCTCTTCATTTATGCATTCATGCATTTGCTTTATTAAACCTCTAATGTAAAAAAGTTTCCCTGATATTCACAATACAAAAGTATTTTATAAGTAGGAAGTATTTAGGAACATTCAGTATCGGAAATACGCATTTTAACCCGTTTTTATATATTTTTCATAATACTGTTTATAAAAAATGTGAATTTTTTTTATGACATATACTTTTGTTTATTTATGTCTCATAGTTAAATAAATATGGCGACCTAAACATTTTTTGCAATAATTGAAAAATTAAACTATATTAAATGAAAATAAATGCAGTTTTTTGTACTTTGAACCACTAGAATTGTGAGGGTGGAAAGACCTTATTAAAAATACCATGGCATTTAAAAAAAGGTACTTAATGAAAATTCATTAGTAAGAAGCTGTTTATTGAAAGGTGCAATTAATTCTATCCAATATTGAATCATGGATCATTCAGATAAGTCAAGTACTGTCGGTGTGACAATTAGCAGTGCCAATTTGGAAGTGAACACCTGTAGAAAATCCATTCCCATCTTATCCATCTTGTGACTGAAATCATTTTCAGTCAGTATTTTGATAACATTATGGACCATAGTTCAAGAGAGCTTTTAAATAAATCAAGCTTATCAGGTGGGTTGAAAGGCAGACAATCCATCCTTAGATATCTTAGATTGTTTTTGGAAAAATATCCAACAACCCCCATCCTCCCTAAAAAAGATATACAAACAAATAAATTAAACACAATTTACATTTCATAATACTCTTTATTTTAAGTTTATATACAACTTACAGAGAAAACAAGAAATCACAGAGGAGACTGTAGCTCTAGTGGTGTGTACTTTTAATAAAGAAGGATGTATTTTAGTAAAGTTAAAAAGTCTAATCGGACAAAAATGTGAGAGGAGTTGTATTTTTAAAGAATCAATTTTTTTTTTATTAGCCTGGAAATAGTATTGTCCAAATCTAAAACCAACAAATAGAGTTAGGTTTCTTCAAATAGTTGATGTGTGTATAAAGTTTTACTGAAACAGAACAAACCCTTTGCATGTATAATATTAAAGTAGTGTTTTCAAAGAATTTTAAATAAAATTCTATTTTGAGTGACCATGGCCAACCACCTGCGAAAATCAAAAACCATTTACAAAATTATGTATTCATACTTGCGTATCAAGTTTTTTTTGTAGTTGGACTAAATTATAAGTTGAGTAGTTTTGAGAAAAATTGTTTACATACACATAAGACAGATATCTAAACACAGGAAGAGACAACAAACACCTTACTAAAGCATAAACTTTTTTTGTCTCTTGACCAAAAAAAGCTTAAAAAATAATCACAGACATTTATTGGAAATACACCACGGTAATGTTTGGAAATACACCATGGTAATGTTTGGTGGAAAATAGCAGGGAAGGAAATTTGTAGCATGCAAATGGCACTCAATCTTGACACATACTTTGAAATGAAGTAAAAATATACAGTGGCTAATTTTATATCTCTTTCTGGTAACCTTAAAAAATAATTAATTGTAGATATATGTAGATACATTTAGACAACAACAATAAAAAGAACATACTGACAAAGTAAATACAAAAAAATCTTCCCTAAAATTTTTACACGACCAAATGAAAAATGACAAATATATGATGATTGTGTATATTTTCCTATAAATCACTCTGACAAGTTACTTTTTGCACTGGTTATTATACATTGAGAAAAACAATAAATATTAACATCAAATTGCACAATGCCAGAGAGTAGTCTTTTTTGAAAAAATATAAACTTGGAATGATAAAAGTTAAAAGCTATAATATTAATTAAAACTTTTTTAAAAAAAGAAGTAAACTAAAAAGATCTTTAAAAAGATGATTGTAGTCACATGTAATACCTGTTTGCATTCCCCATAATCAATATTTGTAGTTTTTAAAATAACTTTTTATCACAGATATTTATGCATATATTCATTTACATGTATACATATTAATATTCTAATTGAGATTTCTAGCAATTACCGGTATTTTAAAAATATAACAGAAAAAACAACAATAAAACAACACGAAAATAATGGGTAAAACTGCATGAAGAACATAATATTACATACGTAAGTCTATTATTCAAATTTGTATCACATCCTTGTTTAGCAATTTGCTGCAACAATTTAGAAATTCACAACAAATTTTTAATTTTGTGATGTACATGTCCGATGAAATTCTAATACATAACAACATATTATATATTCAGGGCACCTTTCTCCCTCCAATCTATTTCGCGACCTGACAATGCGTGCATTCATTCATTTCTTCTACATGTTCCTCCACCTGAATCGTGGTCTCGGAAATGCCATATTTCATACGCACTACTGCGGAACCTAGTTTTAAAATTTTCAAAGGATCTGTGTTGGAATCTAAAAGAAAGTTAAACTTTCAGATAAAAATTGTTCAATATGAAGAACTGCAAAGAAAGATAACTCATACAAACTTACAAACTTGATACCAGACAAATTATTGGGCAATAAATTTAGTTTTAAGAAACATACTGGACCAAGTCTTTCTCTATCTCATTCTCAATAATATGGGAAGACCATGGTAAACTAAATCCCTGATGATAGAGCAGGACCAGTTTAAGACTTGACTCATTACTTTTTGCATACATAATGAAGAGAAGTAAAAAAAACTTACCCACAGCTAAATGAACAGACAGAGCAATTTTGTCCATGGATAATGACCAGAGTCTGAGGTCGTGGACGTCTTTAACCCCTGGTAATTTAAGGAAGGAGTTTCTTACAGAACTGATGTCAATACCTCTTGGTGTTCCTGCAGAAAGTCAACTCTTAACATAAACGGAATGCAACCCAAAGATTGTACAGTAGATGATCTATTATACACTGTTACTAGTATATCAATCAATTATTTGGCCTCAGATTAAATTTAAAGTTTCTCAGATATTACTAAGTAATTTATTGTATTAAAAAATGCATTGCATTTACTTACATATATATGTAAAAAGAGTAAATTTAAATTATTCAATTTAGAGAAAAGAAAAATACATTTTTTCTTAAAGTATGTTTTACCTTCCATTAGCACTGTAATGATGTCCAGAAATATTTTAAATGTAGTGACCATAACAATCAGAGAGAAGACAAAGGTACAAATAGGGTCTGCTAATCGCCACTCAGGCTGAAATGGAAAGTGATGATATCAATATACGTATATAGATTCAAAGAAATGTTTATATGTACACCATTATCTATTCCTGGACTACTGATTTTGTTGGGTTTTTTTCAATATATATTTATTAATAATTTCTTTAGTTTTGTTTTATCTGATAAAAAATTTGCCATTGTAGTATTTTTGGATAATTATGACCTTGTTCTAAAAAGCCTTTGTTTAAAACAAAATTGGAATGGCCTAAAGAAACAATAAATAAATGTAAGTATACATAGTACATACCTGTATATTTTCTCTGTTGTACTAATTTCTCATAAACAATGCAAAACATACACTTAGACGACTGATGCACATATACATGTACCTTGAAATATATACAAAACAATTTAATATTTTTGTTTAGCCGCAATAAAGGGCATTTAGTCGCCAAACTGTATCAATATCAATGATAAGACACTGACAATGAGTTTTTTGATCCTAATACAATGGTCATGAATAAATGTCAACAATCAGCGGCCTTGCTTTACCTCATTGATGTTTTCTTTGTGAGTTTTCAAAGTCCTTGTTTTATAAAGATAAAACTGTATTTTTATTGCTTTAGAGTTTGTATTATCTCAAAAGCGGTTGAGAGCAAGAACTATATTTTTACTCGTAACTTTAAAATGGCTATTTATAGCTCCATATGATGGATGTGTAATGTTTTCTTGAACTGATGACTGTTGACTACTTTGAATATCTGTCTGTTATTAATGTACCTTGAAATATATAAAAAAGGCAAAGTTCAAAAAAACTTATTGCATGCAAGACAAAGGAATTGTTTTAGTAATTATACTTTTTCACACTTTGTGAAGAATTTATGATTGTGAAAAAAATATATATTTAAGGTTTAATCATTCCTTTGTTCACTTAAATAACATTTTGCTAAGTTTACAATTTTCCAGAATAATCTGATTTATGTATGAAAACTATTTCTTGCAGGGTGAATTTGATAAAAATAGCCTGGACATTTTTATTTAAAGAACAAAAAACATTTATATCCATGTGAGAGTTATCCTTCTTACCAGAGTATCAGCAAGCCTTAAAATTAAATGAATCTTTTCTCCTTACCTGTGATGAACTCTGCTTTTTCTGATGTGAATGATTATGACCATGTCCTAATGATATACCCATTCTGGCAAAAAAAAAAAAAAGAAGATCAAAGATGTTGCTTTCATTTAACTTCTTAATGCAGCATTTTTATTACATTTATAATTGAGAAAAAAATAAAAAGATAGTGAACAGTTTATTGTAGATGTATTAACATGGATTAGCAGTGAAGTGTGCCCCATACATGTGCATGTAAATACCTACATTACGTTAAATGCCACCCCACAAGCTGCCGTGATCAACATAATGGTGGCATTTATCGTATAGTCCTGATGAATCACTCTTCTAACAGCCATATAAAACAACACCCCCGTCAATATCCACAGGAACAGAATCGACAGCAATGCCCCCAGTATTTCTGTAATAAAAAATTAGTACAACTGCACTACATATAGCCATATGCCTTTGAGTATTCCTTGACTATTTATGATAATTTACGTGAGTGTGGAAAAAAGATGGACATTAAAAAGCTTTGATCCTACATATATACAAAAAGGTATTACAGTGTATATAACTTCTTAAAGTGTAAATAAAAAAATAAACTAAAATCAAATAAATTAAAAAACACTTGAAAACAAAACAAAAAGTTTAAATCTTTGCTTAACAATTTTATAAAAATTAATATTATTTTAGAAGTACACTGTATCTAACATTCAAAAGATCTTAAACATAATACATGTAATGGTGATATGCTGTTGAATCATTACAGAGTCATCTGAGTCAGTTATAAAATAACTTAATGCACTGAGACAAATTACTGATTACTTATTTCCCTGTTCTTTTTTTTTTATCTATTTCCCAGTCATATAAAATGTAACATGTCCATCATTAACATATTAAATATTCCCTTCCTCACCTGCCCTGTACCAGCCAAAGCTGAACCTCTTGGAGGGGGATCTAGTGGCCAGCATTATTGCTAGCAGACTGATCATAAAACTAGCAAAGTCTGTCAGTAAATGGGCTGCATCAGAGATGATGGCTAAACTCCCAGCAAGTACCCCACCTTCAGATAAAGGAATTATCACAAATATAATGTTAGATGAATGATTGATTAATTATAAGCAAATTAAAAATATATTTAATGAGATTTTCTGAGAGGAAAATCTAATATCATATAACTTATTAATACTTGACTTGAAGTAAATATAAGCATCTTTATACATTTCAGTCTATAATTTATGAATACATGCATACATGTACATATATTTTGTAATATATATAACTTACATGTTATATTCATCCTAATTGTACAGTTCTCTGAATGAACAATTACTTAAACAAATAGAACCATTTCCAGGTAAGTTTGGACTTTCAGTAAAGCATGGCATTCTCCACCCTTCTTAATTAGCGTCTCTCAAATGGCGAATAGATTCACATTGGTTAAGAAATTAATAACATCAGGAACTTAAAATTGTTGTTGACAACCATGAGATGACTTAAGCTCCACCTCTTTGCTGGAAGAGACAATGTTATTGGTTATTTGATACACTATTGGCATTTGCCCGAATTTCTATCCCATGTATATTTCAATAGTGAAGGAAAGCAGCTAATTATGTAACGTCAAGAATGCCATGCCTTACTGAAAATCCAACCTAAAGTGGAAATTGTCCTATTCTTCACAGAGTCTGGGACTAATGTTTCTTACAAGAAAGAAAACAATCTTTTTTACATACCCACGATTTCTCCCACCATGAAGAGCAGACACAGTGTGCTGGCGATAATCAGCTTCCTCCTGGCTTTCTTGTCCACACCTGCCTTCTCTTTGGTGGCATGACAATGCAGTCCTAAAATTGGAAAACAAGGGGGAAAACATTTTCAGAAACAGCTTGTACTTTAGAAATTTTTTTTTAAAAATCTTAAGACTTTACAGTCAGTTTACATACTGAATATTCATTATTCATTTGTAACTCCACTAATCCATTCAACACCAACTGTTCAATAAAACAGAAATTTGGTAAATTGATAACATTGTTTCGCAAAAAAAACTGCATTGTGTAGGTTAAATTTATGGGAGGAATCAATACAGTTTTTCTCAATTTCAATACCATTCTTTTCTGCTTCCTTCCCCATTTCTTTCTCAAAATCCAATCTGAAAGCCTTTTCTAAATTATGGTTAACTGCACTTCAGTTTCCATAAGTATGGGCCTTTTTCTTTAGTTTGAATATTGCAACTCTACTGTACTAGTTTAAAACTTTAGAGGATTGCATAAGTGTTGGAGGACGGAGGTAAAGGAAAACTTAAAAATTTACTTACCTGGTATCATCCCATACCCTGTCACTACTAAACTATGAAACTAAAAATACATGTATCAAGGTATTCCTTAATTACCGGGTATTATGTCAAACAAATATGCTAAGAAGTAAAATCCTACTTTTAAATAAATTGAAACATTTCCCTGTAACATGACACACATATAATACATAAACAAAATCTCAACATTCAAATTAAATAAATTTTTAAAGAATTTAACCAGACAAACCTTAGCAGAGGTATCACTTACTGTAGATGGCAAATTCACTAATATTAGAAAGTGATCCAAAACTCTTGCTGTCTGAAAATGTCTCACTGCTTCCAATTCTAAAATTGCTCAAAATGCCCTCTTTACTCAAATAACTGCCTATCTTAGATTGTGATGTTCCACAAATACTTTTTCTTGATTGTAAAGCTACCAAGCTAGCTCTTTTGTCAGGTGGCATTTTGAAAATAAATATAACTGGATTTTCAAGAGAGGCAGTGATGTCACAATTTAAACAAATGACATCACACTGTAACAATCTGATGATGTCACAATTAAAAGACATTCTGTTGGAGTCAGCACTGTCATGACTATGATGTGTATTGTTTGTTTTCAGTGTTAAAATTTGTAATACTCATATTTTCAAAAAAATTAAATTGAAAAGATAACTGTACCTTGTTGTGATTTTTCTGCAATATCCTGAAGAATGCTACAACAAAAAATTCCCAGTTACATATTTTCATCCTTTATAAATTCAAATGTCAAAGCTGTGTAGTTAAAATACATGTAACTAAGCCTATGTAAAATAAACTACTTTGTAAATTAGTTGTTTTTTTTTACAGTTCATTAAGTGATCAAAGAACAATCTCTAAAATGATACAACAATTAGAAATAACAGGTTCATGATGAGGATCTATGCATGATATTCTGCATCTTTATTTCTATAAGAAAGGGGATAAATAAAGCATCCATTCATCAGGTGCCTGTGATATATTGCTGTCTGCCATCCACTCATTGGAGTCTGAGAGAGAAACAAATGATAACTTTGCATGGGAGACTGGTGATAATGCCTGTGGCAACTGATTTGTGACTTCATGAATGAAAATTATTAAGGTCACTTCTTGTCAATAAGATAACTGATTTGTAATAATTTAACACAATGTGAATCAATCATATTTATCCATACCTCCCTGCACAGAAGGTGTTACAAAGTTAGTTTATATAAAAAACAATGGAAATTATAATACATGATCTTTTTTATATGTAATTATTAAAGTATTCAGAAGATGCAGTGTTTAGATTTTGAATTTGGTTGTTTTTGATAGTCCACATTAAACAGATGATTATTGAAATTATACTAAAAAATTTTATATACATGATACAATGACATATTTCTTTATAACAAATAGCTTGATCATAGCTATTCTCAAAAGCTAATTCGACAGGTCTGGTACAAGATATTAAAACTTCAAAGCTCAGTGCTAGTAAGAATAACAGCAACCAAAGTATTATTAAAACATTAAATACCTCCGAATCTCGGGGTCTTCCTCTCTATCGTACATGCCTGCGGAGAAACATTTATGACCCAAAATCGGAGATTGGTTGCGTTCCGGAGACGCCCCCAAAAGTGGGGATGCTCGGGAGGGTGAAGTTAAATGGTCCGTCATTGCATCCCGTGATTCTAGTCACTAAAAAATAGTTAGTGCTTTAAAATTAAGTGTCTGAGTCATTACTTTCCGCATTCGATCAGTCAATCACCCCAACACATTTGTTTTCATGTGGAATTTCATGAATACCGAGCCCGATGGTCTTCATTTGTGCGTGTCCTTGGCGTGTTTTGCACAGCCTTTATTCAATTTTAAATAAATGATCAAACGTATGAATATACTTTATACATATAATTTTAATCTTTTTCTTTGTGTTAAATAAATGATTAAACGTATAAATCATTGAGTACCTTATACATATAATTATTATATGTTAAATTTAACGAGGAAAAACATATGTACAATTTACCTGAAACAACTTGACAAGCCAACAAAAAAAAAAAGGGGGGGGGGGTCCATAGTCGAAAATCAGTCCTATTTATTCAAATACTGCATTACCCTTATCTGACCCCTATTTTCCAATATTGCAATATCTACAGACATGCGCGTTTTTTAAAATCTAGTAACCCACAGCTTTATGATTTTATATATAGCCCATTTATCAAGATTTTTCTTGCTTGTTTATATACATCATAAGTACCGATAAAAATTCCAAACCCTTACACACTCTTACTTTAAACTGATTTAATTAAAGTTCTTATGTTAAAAAAGAAAGAGTACTGAATGCATGGGTTTATACGATAAAGAATACCCACTTCTCAATATTAACCCAAAGTATTGAGACTATTAGAGTTGATTCTAAGTTTGAAGTCCTTCAAAGGTAATGGGTGACAGGGATTGCATTAGATATGATTGAAAAAAAATCGCATGGGACATTCAACAATCAATCAATCAAAAATTGTAAGCCTCAGAATCTTCAAAAAGGCAGCTTTCGGACCCTATAGTTACATCCTGTTCGTGTGTTGAGTCAGTCACCATACAATAAATCAAAAAACAAATTGTGATGAACTTTATTCACTATTTATATTTCATACTACACATAAAGAATAACATTCCCCTAATTAAAAAATTGACATAGGAAACTTGAATCCTTAAAGATGTTATAAAATAGATTTTCAAAAACTTTTTACTGTCATGACACACTATTTAGAACAACAATTCGTAGTGTTAACCAATTATCACACCAAGAAATGTATGCACAAATCATATTTATATACAATCAAAATATGAAATACAAGTGAATGTACATTGTTCAGATGAAGAATATACACAAAATGAAATGCCCATGGCCACATGTAGTATTTAATTCCATCTGAAATATAGTCTTAAAGACTTCATGATGAATTTGCTACAATAAACAATTTTAATGCAATTAAACTGAGTAATTCAGGCAAGATTTAAATGATTTTTTTTCAAATACATGTACACTAGACACAATCTACTTTTTATACAAATCTAATTGCGCAAAGATAAATATACTATAGCATTTGAGCATATTGGCCTCTTTCATTATTACATGTGACATAAAGAAATGACTTGTAAGCCATCCAGCTCCACACTTATTTCTCTAATTATATATCGTATTTATCCTAACAATGCATCCAGCAACATTTTCAATCACTATAAGATTCCTAATGCCTAGGAAGAACACCCTCATAGGATCCGCTCCCCGGCTGCATGTTTGTTAGTCGGGCGGATCTCGACATTCGTGGCACTCGGACATGGCTGGATGGTATTCCTCTATCTGAATCACACTCTCGGAGATGCCGAACTTTTTCCTCACGAGGCGTGTGCTCACTCTAAGTACGTGCATTGGGTCCTTGTCTTTCTCTACAAATATATTGTATCTGGTATACGAGGGGTGATCAAAAAGTTCGCGAACTATCTCTATATCTACTAAAACCACAATTCAGATTTTAAAAAAAATTGGTACACACATAGCCATACACAAGTTCTATAAAAAGTATATGCTGAATAATGTTTTGCTTCTTGTTTGTGACGCCACAATGCGAAAATGACGTCACTATGTAGGTCACTTGTGACGAAAAATGGTTTTCTCGGTCGTACTCGTTCAACAAACGACTGCAGAATTTATGGTATATCTTAGAAATCCCTTTGAAGTAGCGTATAATAATTTGCACATAGTTTATTAAGACAAATGACTTCCTATAAATTCATCAATAATTAGATTAATCGTTTTAGTGAAGGAAGGCAGATGGTTAAAAATGATACTTGTTATTTTGCCTAGTGAAAGCAAGTTTGAAAAGAGATGCGTTTTGATTAAGCAATTTGCTATCAAAGACCTCCAATTGACACTTTGAAAAATAGTTGAGTATTTCAACAATAATATGATTATTAAATTCCTAAGATATCGTATACTTTAGATTTTAAACATATTAGATTTTATTAAAAGGAGGCACCCATCCTCTATCCACCTTGAATAAACGTCTCTCCCGAGACAGAAGATTTGGGTTTTGATGGTCGCCATGCTTACATTTGGAAAGGATATTATTCGCCACCCATTCTATTGCCGAGAATTGACCATTTCTGACAAATGAACTGTTCTTGTTATAAAAATTAACTTACATGGAAAGAAATATAAAACTCAGAAAAATCTTTCAGCTTTTGTGACAGAACGCTACAGAGGAGGTCACGTGACCGCCTATATCACGTGATTCGCGCATGAGCAGAACGGTGGCAGATGTGCATTAAAATCGAAGAGGACCAATTTAAAATATAATCAACACCCAAACCAAATATTGTTTCCTTTATGGAAGTTATTCAATTAGTTCGCGAACTTTTTGATTACCCATCGTATATACAGATGTCCTCTGCAAAAATTTGAATTTTTCATTTAAATTTTTGTATTGTCATATACAAATTTTAATTTAAAAAATCAAATTTTTGTAGAGGACACAGACCTGCCTCTCCGAAATTTGGCCAGCATATACACATATACGTATAATAAGGATGCAATTCTAATTTATTTGATCATGACCCCTCATTATGTTCCACTTTTTTTTCTCACCGTTTTTTTTATTTTCTTTTCAAAAATTTCGTATAGATTGTTCCTACTCCTTCCAAAAACTGATATATTGTTACCTTCTAGCCTTGAAAAATTTCGAACAATTTTAAAAAGCTACAAACCAACAGCTAGATGTACGGCTATGGCGATTTTGTTCATAGAGAGGGACCACATTCTCAAGTCGTGAACCTCCCTCACCCCGTCAATCTCAAGGAGACTCTGGGTCACGTCCACAAATTTCACCGTGCGAGGGGCACCTTCAGGGACGAATAACATTAAATTATTTCAAGAAAAGGAAAATACATGTACGTTATTTAGCTTGAACACATCCATGATTAAAAATACTGATACAAAACTGGTAAATTCTGTGATTCTTTTTCGAAGGTGTCGCGCTTTTTGTAATTATTTTTCCAAACTTTAAAATAAAATTTAAGATTTTATAATTGAGGGTTGACTACCTTCCATCAGGACAATGACAATGTCTTTGACAATATGCATAGTGGTGAAAACAACGAGGATTGAGAAGAGAAAAGTGCAGATGGGATCCGCAATTTTCCACTCCGGCTGAAACGTTAAAAATGCAAATAAATTTAGACACTTTTCTCAAGTGGATAAAAGGTTGACAACATACTTTTAAAAAAAATTGAAGAGTTAAGCATTCAAGTACTCATCCTGGAACTTCTTTAAGTAAGAAAAAATTATTGATATTTTCATAACACTGACAATTTAAAAAAAATAATAAAATAATTCAAAAGTAATGCTCTTGTAAAGCAGTGATTTGTATACGTACAGTGTAATACGTTTACCTTCGTATATATTTTTAGAAATTAATGTTAGAAAAAGATACATCCGACCAGATAGTTAACTGTTGTATTTTTTTAAAGAACAAGATTGTTAACAGCTAAAATCGACCCTTTGCCTTCTTGTATTTTTTCATACAATTGGCTGATAATTTTTCACGAAGCCAATAATTTCTGATTAATATTTTACATTAAAAAAAAATAAATATATAAAAATTAATCAAAATTTAATGTGCATCACAAATATATACCAAATGAAGTTAAGTAGGCTTATTTTACACTTGAAATATTGAGGAATTTCAAAGCTCAATAAGAATTGGAAGTCACTGTTTTCAAAGAGTTGCCTTGGAATATCACTGAAATCAGTACATGTACTACAATGTACATGTTTTAAAAAAAAACTGACTGCTTAATCAAACTGGTTATACGTATATTGCTACATGTACGGTTTTGAGAAATATCTGTACATAAAACATTTCTTTTTTCCAAGTTAAGTTTGTTAACCTGAACTTTCTAGAATTAAATTACCTTAAACCAAATGATAACAGCAGCAACCAGCACACCCAAACTCTGTACTAAGTCACCCAGTACATGAATAAATGCTGCGCGGACATTGATATTCTTCTCTTTCTTATGTGAGTGGCCATGTGCATGGTCATCTTTCTCGACATCGCGGCCATTTTGATTTTTCTCGACGTCGTGGACGTTTTGATTGGATATCGAACCGTACTCCACCAGTTTCTGTTTATCGTCCAGAAGGTGACTAGTGTTATTTTCCTGCGAATTGTCTTCCTCGTGACTCTGGTTGCCACTGTCTGTGGGGCTGTACCCGGAACCACCGCCACCGTGGGAATGGTTATGGCCCGACCCCTGATGGAGTGTGGTACCCATGCTGAAAAGATCATGACATTATCCAAGATTAAGAGAGTATACTTGGATATCAACAAGTTCAACATGTTCAGAGAAAGGAAATTATAAAAAATACATTCCATTATCTGCATATCAGATTCATGTATACTATACGTCAACACATTACTAGTATGTTAATTGTTAATTTAATGGACTGTGATAATAAACTCGATAATTTTAAAATTTTGACTATTCATATTCAATATTCAATATCATCTTAAGAAAACATGTACAGTCCTTCCATTTTTAGCACAAAGACCTTGCATAAACACAAGTATTATACAGAATGTTAAATTCAGAGAAGTGTATTCTATGACTGAATCATAAATATAGCACAATTCAATCTTTTCCATTGATATTGTATAATTTTCCATTTGCATTCTATGATTTCCATTTGTACTGTATGATCTTTTTAATTATAAAATGAAAAGTTAGTTAATGAAGTAAATATATATCTATGTGCTCTCTTAAAAATGAACAGACAACCTTGTACATGTACTTCGGAGAGCCTAACTTCAAAATACCAAAAATACTAACATAACATTGATGACCACGCCAGCTGAGGCCGTGATTAACATAATGAGGGGGTCGATGGTGTAGTCTGGATTTAAAATTCTTTCCACCCCGAGGTAGACCAGGACACCTGTCAGTACCCATAGAAACAAAATGGACAGCAAGGCACCAATGATTTCTGAAAGAAATTTTACGAGCAGAAATTCAAACTTGATACCTTACACACAGGTTTGTGTTGCATATTACCTGATTACTATGTGTACAAGCAATGATCGTTTATTTTCAAAGAACTGGTATTTTAAAATCACAAGATAGAGAGGTATAAATACTTTTCTCAAAGTAATGTAAAATCGTGTTTCTTGTTTGAGGAAAATTGTCTGTGTTATAATATAGTACAAGTTTCTATTTGTATTACCTGCCCTGTACCATCCAAAACTTAATTTCTTTGTCCTCCTTTTTATTGTTAAATGCATTGCAACTAAACTTATACCAAAACTAGCGAAATCTGTCAATAGATGCGCAGCATCCGACATAATAGCAAGACTCCCAGCTAACGCGCCGCCTAAAATGGAAATCAAAATGTTCATAATAATATAACACCTGTCACACACACACACACACACACACACACACACACACACACACAGACATAGATTGATTTGCTTCATACCAACAGCTTCCCCAATCATAAAGATGGAACAGAAGATACTGGCGATGATAAGCTGTCTCCGGGCCTTCTTGTCAAAAATATCCTGATTCTTCTCTGTGTGACAATGGGTTACTGTAAAATAGAAATTATTACATTACATAGGTTTATTGTACAACAGAAATCATAACTGTAACATTACATTAGATAACTCTAAAACAATTTTTTTTTTACATTACAATGTACTCCGTGTGACAAAGGCTTACTGTAAAACTAGATAACAGTGGACTCGGTTGACAATATTTCAACTTAAAAAACATTAAAGTGCATTCTGTGTGATGGTAAAACAGAAATTATTACATTACATAGTAAGCATACTGTAAAACTGAAACTGTACTACAATACATTCTATGTGACAATATATGCTTTTCTGACTCTAAAATTATAACATAGCAATGAATTTATTATATTTTATAATAAGCATACTTTTCAAACTGTATTAAATTACATTACATAAGCATACTTAAAATATAAAATAAACTATGACTACAATACAATTTATGTGACAATGGCTGACTGTAAAAAGTATTATTTCTTCATAAGCATACTGTAAAACTTTTTGTATCAATTACATTACATAAGCATTTACTGTAAAACTGAAAAAGTTAAATATACATACAAAATACAATATATGTGAAAAATTAAGAAAAACAGAGAAAATGTAAATATCAGAAGTTAAATTATTACATATTATTAAGCATATTGTAAAACTATCAATTACATTACATAAGCATAATGTAAAAATGAAACTTTACTACAATACAATTTATGTGACAATGGCTGACTGTAAAACAGAAGTTATTACATTACATAAGCATACTGTAAAACTGTATCAATTACATTACATAAGCATACTGTAAAACTGAAACTATACTACAATACAATTTATGTGACAATGGCTGACTGTAAAACAGAAGTTATTACATTACATAAGCATACTGTAAAACTGTATCAATTACATTACATAAGCATACTGTAAAACTGAAACTATACAACAATACAATCTGTGTGACAATGGCTGACTGTTAAACGGAAATTATTACATTATATAAGCATACTGTAAAACTGTATCAATTACATTATAGAAGCATACTGTAAAACTGTAACTACATTACATACAATACAATTTATGTGACAATGGCTGACTGTAAAACAGAAGTTACTACATTACATAAGCATACTATAAAACTGTATCAATTACATTACATAAGCATACCGTAAAACTGAAATTATTACATTACATAAGCATACTGTAAATGGAAAGTATACTACAATACCCTCTGTGTGACAATGACTGACTGTAAAACAGAAATTATTACATTACAAAAGCTTACTTTTAAACTGAAACTTTTACATTACATTACAGTGCATGCTGTAAAACAGAAACTACATGAATTGCATTTGCAGACTTTAAGTGCATGACTATATATATCTTGTTTAAAATAGAAACACTTTCAGATTATAGATAATCGCTTTGACAACAAAATGTTCCTGACTTTGGAGACATAATTTCAAAGACGCAAAATGGTGGCTTTTATCCAGCAAGTATTCATTTACCAACATCATAGCCGCCCGCGACATGACAAATACTTTCAGATCCTAAATACACGATCATTGCTTTCTCGATCTTTGACATTTCCATTTGCGGATAATAACATTTGGTAAGTAATTTGATAAAGCACTGAGCTATTGTATTGGAATGTGTTTCACAGTGTATTATATTTTCGCATTTTCACATGCACAACTTTGATTCGGATGTATTCCCTGTATTTTTTAATTGACTGAAGTTTTCGGAACACACTATTTATTGTGCTTTAGTACATTCTTTTTTATTAGAAGAAACAATAGGTTATTGAAATACTGTATGCTTACAAAAATACATTAAAGGACTGTGAATCTTATCTTTTCTTTTGTTTTGATGTGAACCACAAGATCAGACAAAACTTAAGCAAGTCTTTTTGAAACATTTTACATGTACGAGGGTTGCCCCCAAAAGTCGTTAGTACATGGATTAAAACGGTTTAAATTCTTGCCTAAAAGCATATAATTTATATTTCTGTAATCATAATTTATATATAGTGTGTCATCTATCTAGAAATCTATTGTTTGTCTCATATGATCTTCACTTTTATCTTCACTTCTTTTTATCATAGTTGCCCTGGGTGCCGAGTACAGGACAAAATTTGTAGCTCTCTATCGGCAAGTGGTGGCGTCTCCATATGAGTGAAATTCTCGAGAGGGACGCAGGCACGTAGCGCCTTTTTTCCCCAATATTGCTTATACTATAGGAAATGTTCATTGAAAGGCAACTTTGTGTGATGTAAGTTAAATGTTGTATAAAAAAAAATTGGCACAGAGAGAATTTGACATTGAAAAAAAAGGGGGACGTATTAATTGCAATTATATAATTATTGCTTGATCTTTTGTGTTTAAATTTAAAACTCGTAATTTCAATTAAACGCAATAATTATTTTTTTTTTCTTTCTCTGAATTTTCAACCAGCTTTCAATTTTTCTATGATTGGAAATTTGATGCTTTAGTTATTTCGTTATTTCTTTTTTTTTTTTAATTTTATTCCAACCTCGCTCATGTGAACCCCCCCCCCCCCCAACAAAAAAAAATCTGTAACAGATGGGAATTACATAAGTTGTTTATTCCCAACCTTGTCTGTTAATTGTCCTGAATAAAATAGAACTAGCCTTATATCTCTCAATAATACGAAATTGATGCAACACCGAAAAATGTAAATATTTAAATTTTTTGCAATTTTTGAGGATCTAATTTCCACAACTTATAGAATATTCTGTACAACAGTACATCCACAGTTTCTCCTTTAGAACAGTTAATATTTTTTTTAAACAAAGTTGAAAGCTGGTGACATTTTTTTAGTCAAGGGGTGCTTTTTTTTTTTACTGCGATCCAGTGTTTTCCAAATTACAATGAGAAAATCGGTCCAAATTAATGCCAAGAGGGCAAAATTATTCACATGAAGAGAATCAAGGATCAAAACTGCAATCGACATAATGTAAAGTATAACCCCCCCCCCCCAAAAAAAAACAAACAAAAAAAACAAAAACAAAATGAGTCTTCTATTAACAATAGTTTAAAATATTATAAAACAAAATAAGCTATATTTTAATCAGCCTGGAATCCCATGGAAAATCAGAATTTATAGTTGTCCTTTAATTTGTTGACCATTAATTTTCTATTTTCTTTTTTAAATAAAATTCACATTTGTATTTGACTTGCTAAATAGGCGTACCGGTAATTGTACTGTACGGTCATGTATTTGACCAGAGTAAGTTAAGACGTGTGACATTTAACAGGAATGTCAGGGTAAACTGACAGGTGAAACATTCGACACAAACATCAAAGCTAGTACGGATGTAACATATGTTAACATGTGTTAAAGCATCTGCGTATATACACATGCTTAGATGTCTTATTGTAAAATTGATATTCTATTTCATTGAGAAATTGTGATGGAGTCATAAAGGCTAAACTAAGCCTACTTTGCCGAAACAACAACTATAAAAGGTCTGAGAAATATGTTCTTTATCCAGAAAATACACCATATTTAATAGATGTACAATATGGGCGTTTACAAGGTTTATTTGAACATCCCTATATAAAAAAAAAAACAAGAGTAGATTAAAAGCAAGTTGTTCACGGTAAATATGTGAGGAATACCTTATTCTTCAAAAGTTTTCATCTTACTTCTAAAGATTTTTTTTGAAAAAATCTTTTTGAGGAAAAAACCAAAAGCACGTGTTGTCTTTTTGTTCTTTTAAGATATGTTCTGGAGTGTGTAAAAATGCTGTTGTCTGATTGGACAGAAAAATAATTACGTGTACATGAAGTATATTTATAGCAACTTTCAGTTATCGTTCTTGACTTCCATATTTGGAAATCGTCCAGACCTGTTAAAGCATCATCTTTGTAACTTCGGGTAGGAGAGAAAGCTTGATAGGGGACTGACCTTTAAAGTTAACTTTATTGTATGTTTTGCTAGACATCAACTCTTAAAAAGACTTTAAATATATCGACTTTGACAGTCTTCTGAAAATTGAAAAAAAAAAAAATAACTATGGCTTATATGTACTTTACACGATTTCTAAAGTTTCTATTTATCCCTTTTACCCACTTTGGAAAGTTCACTTCTTTAAAATGGTATATACTTACAGGTGTCATCCTTATTTTCATCTCCGCCTTCAGTTGACTCCTTTCTTAAGCTCATGGTAATGCTGGAAATAAAGAACCACTCGATATTAAACAAAATAGAGTGGCTTCAGATTACCTTAGAAATAAAGATTCTTTGTCACGAAATTCATTTGTAGAAAAAATCTATCTATGGTGGTCTTACCTAAAATTGATACAAAAATTGATAAATGAAAAGAGTTTGTATAAAACAGGAGACGTTTTATATTGTATCTGAAAAACTATAGAAAGACATGCTACCTTGTTTTGATTAAATCGAGTTTCTGTCAAAAATGCAACATAGTAGATGTATCATTATATACTCTTCGTGACGGAGATATGGAGGGAATGAGAAAAATAACTTGGTCGATGCAGAGTTGTCTGTTGTGAAATTCTCTCACATAAACAATAGGGTAACATGCCCCATGTTATTTTGCTTTAAGCCATTTATCGACGACCGTGTGTGATATTTACCGGAACTGAACAGAGAGATTTTTGAAAACACAACTTCAAATAGTGTTATGTTTTCAAAAATAAATAATTAATTTAATTGGTTACACAAAAAGCCTTATTTTTCCATCTACGTTGGTAAAATTACATAGACTCTTTCGTCTCTCCTTCTGTCTTAAACCTTCCTATTTTTAAATCTGTTAGTCTTTTTTTTAAGGGAATCAGTCAATCAAACTACACACAATAATTATAATAATTTTACAAAAAAATTGGATAACTAATTTCATTATTAAGATAGATTTATTTCTAATAAATTAACTCTTTTCTCATTTCATCGACAACGCCTCTTTGGAAAACAGATTTTTATTCAATTTTCGTGAACCGAGAAAGACTAGATGTATTTTTAAATCAAGGAGCTGAAGCTAAAACAATAAACTTGAAAAAAAAAAACTTTAGCCCACCTGTCCGCTGAGTTCGTTTTGGTCATATTTGGGCACTGTGTTCGGATGGAATATGCCTATATAATGTCCGCCAATTTCATAGAATATAAAAATGAAATCATCTCAGTGTTTCTCTTTTCACCCGATATTAAGATATAATTATTCCAAAGGACACATCATATTAAAATGATCAAATTAATTTCTTCCTTTTTCAGCTACTCGGACATTTAACTTGCTCATATACTTTTATCATCTACTGGGTCCTGTGTGCAAACTTTGCACACGAGACGAGGGGGCTGGGGACAGATGCGCTTTATTTCACTTTGTAATTTTAATATAAGCTAGTGTCATACACATCTGTGTGTGTGACATTCCCTCAGTCAATCCGAGCAGTCACCCAACCTATCATTACCAGGATTTCATACATTGTTTAATTTACTGAAATTACAACCAAATTGCGAATAATATGTATCGATAATTATGGCTTGGATTTATATATACGGGTTTCAATGAAATAAGTCACAATGGAAATTTTCATTTATTTCAATAAATCGTCAAAACTTTTTATAGTGTAATAATAGATTATTACTTAATCTGAAAACTTAAGGCGCAAATAACGCAGCAGTTGAACCTTTATTGTAATAAAGGCGAATGTTTAGAATTTTGGGGGAGGGGGGTAACTATACCTGTAATTTTCACCTCTGCGATAACTACCTACGGCAGGCAAAGATTTGAACAAAACTAAACTACAATATCTGTGGATACTTGAAGATTATTATGACTCTTATTTGATTACATGTACATAAATTCTAATTAATATTTTAATTATTTAGTTTAGAGAAAATATATAAATACGATTTTTTTTCTATATATTCCCCTGAAAAACTTTAATCCCCTATTCCGGTTAAATCTCTCCTGTTGATGTCTTGATTTGTACACTGTGCATAGAGAGAGGGAAAAAACAGAGATTCTTTTCAAGAAAGCAAAACTTCACTGACACAATTTTATTATTCAAGCTTAAGAAAAATTATTTCAGATGAGTTTGAAAATCGTTTCATTTGTTTATCACCTTCAAATCCCTCACACCCTTCATACATTGGTAAACCATGATAAGCTGTTTCAAATTAATCAAGAATTAATCGTATGCTTTGTCAGACAGTGAGGTTGTATTGAGTGATTTCTTGTCAAGAATCCTCAAAATATGTTACATTGAGCCGACTTAAAGAAACAAACGTATAAAACAAGTACTTGATAGTATACTGAATGGTAAAAAAGTACAATACAGGCATAATCAATGAATATCACATGTATATGAAACTATGTAGCACTCGTTACACTTTTTAACATACTGATGAACACATTTTTGAAAATTGCCTTAGATAAGGGGCAATTTGATTTATGTTGACGAAGGAAACCAACACATTTCAAAGAAGTGCCCCATTGTTTTTTACCGGAAGTAGCTATAGTATGAAGTATGCACAAGGGGAATTGTAATGTCAAAGCACTTGTACTATGTCATACCGGTGTTCACTGATTATTTATCGCACATTTAGTGTGGAAATGTATGTGATTATACGGGGAAAATAAAGCTCTTTATCATTTTTCATTGCAGTTGAATCGAAGAACATAAGTGTAGATAAGGATGTATTCACTATTATAAAAGAATTGACCTATAGGAGCGAGAACAATTTTCCGAAAAAAGTTACATTTTAAAATGAATCTTTATTTGTATATACGTCTGTCTAAATTTTTCAAATATGTATTTAACACCTAAAACTTATTATTTACAACTTTCCAATAAGCCTCCAAAGATGACCGAAACACCTTTTTGTCCATTAAAGCGTTGATTTTTGCCTGGATTTTGGCCTAGAAGTCCGTCAGGACAGGCCTGCTCCTAAATAAAATTGCGATATTTTGATAGGTTGGGATGTAATAGTTTAAGATTCCTGCCCAATGATGAAATTAATTTTAAAAAAAAAAACCTACAAAAATAAGGAAACCTATGGAATGCCATATACGACAGCCAACTGCTTACTGCCAACTGCTGACTGCTTACTGCCAACTGTCAGCTGCTTACTGCCAACTGCCACACATATTTGAATAAATTTTATTTTTATATTGATATTTATGTAAATAAAAAAAAAAACGCGGATCTATAGGACATTTTTTCCAAAAGGGTCACTCTGGTAAAAAAAAAATCCAACCCAGAAATTTCTTGACAAGAAAAAAATGCGTAAAGTCCTTTCCTAAATGTGAAAATTTATTTCGGCCGGGGAGAGGGGGTTTCCTTAATGTGTATGACATTTATCATACCAACTTAACACGAATCCACATTTTCGGTTGGGGAAGGGGGGGGGGGGGTTCTAAGGTCCCTTTTAGTTGATTTATTTTATACATTAAATGACTTTTAGTTGGTTTAGTTTGCGCATTAAATAACTGTACAAATTTCAGAGAGGTGTTCCGGACCCCTCTCTCTAGATCCATGCATGTAAAGCATATCTTATTGGTAGAAATAGAGATATAAATGTTTGATGGCGTTTTCTAAGTGGAGGGTCCAAGATCAGTTATACCGGTAGTTTTTAGTTTATTTAACGTATGACTGTACAAATTTTAAATGCCCCCCGAGATCTATGCATGTGAAACATTACAGTGACGTAGCAACAGGGGGGGGAGGGATCATAGCCCCCCCCACTTTTTTTCCCAACATTACCTTTACTATTGAAAATGTATATTGAAAGGATGGTTGCCCCCCCCCCCCCCCCTTCTTACCATAGTAAGTATAATGATATCAAGGATATGTAGTATTGGGTGGAAAAAAATGTAAGTGAAAGGTAGTTGGCCTTAAAAAAAGTTACCCCCCCCCCCCCACCACCACCACCACGAAATAGGATTTTCGAGTTTGGGCTATTTCCTTTTTTTTTTTGGCTTGTCAACTTTTTCAGGTAAGTAAAAAAAAAATTCTCTGGTTGCCCCCCCCCCCTTTCAAAAACGATGCTACGTGCTTGCATTATAACACACAGAGATATACATCTTTAATTTGAGGAAATGTTTAACTATAGAATATAATGGAAAACGGAAATTTATTTTCAAAACATCTTTCTCTGCGAAACGACAAATCTTTTTTATTATTATTCTCTCTTCAAAGGTTTTATTTTCTCCAAATTCTTTAATGTGAGGAAATGTTTAAATATAGAATATAATGGAAAACGGAAATTTATTTTCAAAACATCTTTCTCTGCGAAACGACAAATCTTTTTTATTATTATTCTCTCTTCAAAGGTTTTGTTGTCTCCGGGGGAGGGGGGGGGGCTTCTTTAAAGATTAAAAGGAGAAAATAGTCATTTTATTACCTATTTCAAATAGGAAAACAAATTTAAAAAATAAGAAACATTGTACTTTATCAACCGCATATATTGACTATTACATAAGATAAAACATATTGGTCATTTTATTCAATTCAATTTTACCAAGGTGACCCCCTTGAAAAAAATGTCCTGGATCCGTGCCTTTTTTTCCCTTTTTTTGTGAAAATTCATATAAATATCAATAAAAATATAAAATTTTTATTCAAATATGTGTGGCAGTTGGCAGTAAGCAGCTGACAGTTGGCAGTAAGCAGTCAGCAGTTGGCAGTAAGCAGTTGGCTGTCGTATATGGCATTCCATAGGTTTCCTTATTTTTGTAGGTTTTCATAGAAACCCGATTTTGACAATCTATACTAGTCAAACTTCTAGTCAGCATTGCTCAGTTGATATATGCGCTGACTATATTACACTTTGGGTACTCTCGTTTTAAAGTCAAGTCGATCACCTGGTGCAATACTTTTATAGTTTTTATTTTTTGCCTTTTTCAAACTTTAGACTATTTAAAAATTTTTAGGCTTGTGTATTTTCCTTCAATTATCTAATAGATCCTTTATGCACGTCCATTCTTGATATAACAAACAGAAAGAGAGATCAATCCAACATGAGCTGAAATGAATTTCAATTTTATAAAGAATTTAATCACATTGCTCTTATTCCTTCTGTGCTACTAGTGCTTGTCTGGGTTACATGTAATGTGTTACCTTGCCCACATTAATGGCATGTTTTTATTATATCCACGGAAATGTGCTGTAAAATAAATAGTCTATATGTAAACATAAGGAATAGGGTTTCAGAGATCAGTAGACATTACTATTATGTACAATTAGAAGTTAAGAAAAATATCTATTATTGCATTTGGAGACAACCAACTCAGAATATCAATGAAAGTGTTCCTCCTACCTTAACTTGCTGAAATAAAAATGTATGAGAAACAATTCAAATTGTTACATGTATTCAGCCTACTTCCATTAACCGGAACGGAAATCGACAAGTTTTTGTAAATAAAAAAAAAACCAAACAAATAGGCCAGGGCCGGGTTTCACAAAACTATCATAAGATTTACCCTAAAAATATACATTGTTAAATGCAAGGAAACTTCACTGTCAAACTCGGAAAATTTAAACAAATGCTTTTAAAACAAATTTTTTCCACTGACATATTAAATTTTATTTTAAATACAAATAGACTAGAAGGTTAAAGAACTGTTTGATTCTTTGGAGTACTTCAAAAAAAAAAAAAAAACCTTTAATGATGCAAATCAATGTCATGTTTTTGTTTGTTAAGAAATCAAGGAAATTTACCTCCAGGTATGCATTTTTTTTGTTTACACCATGCTTCTTCCTATTTGTTGTAATGTGTAGAAGTATGAGGTTTTAAAAAAATTACTAGAATCTTTGTTTAAAAACTACACTTACTGGTTTATTGAAAAGGATTCTATCTGTATGGTAAAAGAAAAAAAATCTTCATATTGCATTTAATTTTTTAAGATAATACAAGAGTTTTTTGTCATTCCAAATAGCTTATACACAATTGTACATGTAGGTCGTGGAAATGAAGATTTTTTTTCATGAATGTTAGTTGGATTAAATGTGGAATACTCAGCATGTTAATAATGCAAGCAGGATAAAGATTTTCTATTTACCGGGGTATTTAAAAGTAAATTTTGATTAGTCATAACACCAATTTTTTTTATTAATCTTATACAAATTTGTGTGAAGTCAATTGCAATAATCATCCTAATGATTTCCAACAACATGCAATATATTTTGTTCATTAAAAGAACGGTTCGTATATTGAACAGTGTAGTAATTCAATCATTTAAAATTCAGAGTACATATATTGTATGAAACATATCGAGATAACAAACAGTATTCAAGATCAAAAGTCCATAAAACAATACAAAATAGGAGCAGAGCAAACACGGACCTCCAATATATCAGTGGTGGGATCAGGTGCCATCCGCTGTCGACCGGTCACACCCCTTATTTATTCAAATCCGGACTATATAATAAAACAATTATGGATTCTTTTGGTGTTGAATGTGGTTTATCATTCACAAGAAAAATATCACTATTGTCCTCGGCTTCGCCTCGGTCAAAATTGATATTTTTCTGAGGAATAACAAACCATACTGAACACCAAAAGAGTCCATAATTGTATAGAATGAAAAACGTAAGTCAGTATTTTGACTCAATGATAAATTGTATTTGCTGACAAGGTCATTGTATCGACCATAGAACTTACAAAATAATGACTTCAAACGAGACTGCTGATATTTTTGTTTCATCAACTTGTTTGGTAATAATTTACCTAATTTACCTCATTTTAGAAATTGTTCATACGCAGAGCATGCTCTTGTCGTATCGAATCGACTGAGAAATAAGAACTCCGCATGCAGGTGATCAAGGTATACTGGCGTAAGGGAAGTTTGACGATCGTAAAGTTAAAGTCATCACGTTTATAGTGATTGGTTCTTAGAATACCATTAATGTCTTTTTCAAGTAAAATATCCAAATATGAAACAGATGTATCAGACTCTGTGGTATCTTTTATCTCAAACTCACCAGGATATATTGTATCGACATAAGAATTGAAATTACTATTGTTAATTGACAATACGGCGTCGCGATACGTCGTTGTTATATCTTAATATCGAGTTGAAGGCCACAGCAGTGTTTTCTTCTTTTAACGTATAAGATTTTGGACAAATTCCTCTTCATATGAATACAAAAATATGTCTGCTAATAACGGGGCGTAATTTGTACCCATGTGGAAATTGCAATAGATTGTTGGAAAATCTGATCTCCAAAAACCATAAAGATATTGTCAATCAGAAACTCAAGCATCGTTTTGATGTCAACTTTAGAGTACTTGTATGTACAATCGGAATGTTTTTTAACAAAATAATTTTGCAAATGACCAATGACAAGGTAAGTAAATTTACGAATTCCATTTTTATTAAAAAGGAGCTGTAAATAATATCAAAAAGCCTTGACTTTAATTTCTCGTGGGTAATATTTGTGTGTAAAGTTGAAAAAGTCATAATTTTTTAAGCTGTTGATTTTGGTGAAATCTTGTGCTTTCAAATTGTCCAAATGTTCCATGGAATTTTAAAGTATCCACATCTGATTTACACCAATTCTTGAATATATTGTAGCACAGTACCCTTGAAGTTTCTCATTCACTACTGTTAATATCTTCGTGAGGAGTAAAGAAGGAGACTTGGTATAACATGGAACCTGCAATGTATCTTTGTAAGGATTTTTATGAAGTTTTGGAATCCACTATAGATATGGTTAATATTCAAATTCATTCCGGTTGTAAGGAATATTAAAAATATTCAAAACTGACATATAATATCGAATCGAAGAATTTCTTTTTTAGAAAGGGAAGGATGAGTATAAGTTTGATTACCATTTGTAGTATTTAAATCCAAGTTCTTCTAAAGTAAAATTTATAATGAGCCTTACTTTAACGAAGAGAATGCAAAGTTCAGGTTTATGTTTTGATTTTTTAACCGAGTTTTTCTTGCTATCTTACTTTTTTGGTTTTATAAAGAAATGCTGGTAACGCCGCTAGAGACAAATTTAAGGAAACTGATTTGTGTTACATTGAATTTATTTACTACAGGTAAATTTGGCTTAAGTAGCCATTTATGGAAATGTGCTGTGGACATTTAACATGTCTTTTCTATTTTTCTGACGAGCAATTATGTTTGTTGCGAGAAGTGTATTCTTCATAGTGCATAAATACTACATGTACCTCAAAGCTATTTTAAATTGCACATTTTGTTAAACAGGATTTATTGTTCTAGTAAACACTGGTGTAAAAGTACTTCAAATCCTACTTAATCTGCATTCTTTCAGAAATAAATATTTAAAAGAAAATTGAATTAATGAAAAGAAAATGTTTTCCACAAATAAACGTTTAATTCTATCCTTAAGTTTATTAAAAGAGCTTACCTGTTTCCCATAGGTAACACAATCAGTATTGTTATTACTTATAAATATACCATACCAAAACGGGTATAACCCTTTTACACCAGAATGTATTACATTTTTAGAATATGTTTTTATAAGCTTCCGACTTGGATCAGATCTCGAGTATGTTCAGAGAAGTTTAGACAATCTAGTAAAATAAAATACTTTTAATATTCGATATCCGATATTTACTTTTCTTAAGTATGACTATTCTCAATTTAATAAAACATGGAGAAGCAACATGCAACTGTTAAATAAGGTAGGTTTTATTGCTGAACACATAAAAAAGACGTTGACACCTTTTCAGAATGGATTAAAAGTTTCAAATGGCTGTGGAATGTCTCATGAAGTAATTGAGGGGTATTATGCAAACCACCCATCCTTATATCCTCAATAATTCAAAAGTGATAAAAGAATTGGATAGATCATACGATCAGTATGCACTAATTCCAAATGACGAAGCAAGTTAGAGGAACTAGGATTTTAATTCTGCAAGTGGCAATCAAGCTTTTAGTCACAGCCCCCATTATAAAAAGAAAAATTGTCAATATCCATTGTCAGTTTTAAATATTTTCAACATTCCCAACAATCAAAATGAATTAAATTACCAAAAGGACAGTTATCATATGGTTTTTGGTTTTTGGTGCCTGCTTTTTTTCTTTACTCCTTTTCTGTTGTTTTTTTTTCACGTATTTCCTCTCAGATACTCTTCTTCTTTACTATCATGATGTGGTAGTAGCATTTTCTGGAAAAAGGAACACGAGCCGTGATCCCATTAGATTCTTTTACCACGAAATATCTTGCTTCTCATATATTAAAATATATATTGCATACTATTGAAATACCTTTTTTGTCTATCAAAGCAACCAATGCTGTTTTTTATTTAGTTGAACCCTGTTGCTCTTTCACAGTAGTACCAGCGGCATTAATTTACAGGCATTCGTCTTAATTTTCTCTTCTCCAACTTCATTAGTATTATCTATCAACTTTTCTGTCAACAAGTCAACATTTTTTAAAATCATTTGATAAAGCTAGATTGCACTTATCCACAGTAGCATCTGCAGAGTATTTTAAGTCTAAGATAATTCAATGTCTCTTACACAATATATATTGAAGATAGTTGAAACCTAAAGCTGTAGTATCCAATGGAATGTCCATTGCGTCACCAGATCTGAGACACATCCACTAGCTTTTCATTGTATATTCATTTTCATTTTTCCAACTGTAGTAATTCCTTCATGTTGCTGTTGAATAGTAGTAGGGCGATTTCCCATGATGTTAAATCCAATATTTGCTATGGACTAAGGTTGCACTCGGTTTTACTTTCTTAATTGCATAAAGTTACAAGGACCTGTTCATATCAAATACAAACGTGACATTTTTCCCCATAAGTCTTAGGGTATTTCCTCAGATCATCTACCACGTATATAGACGGCAGCTAGGATAAACAACACATTTGAACGATAATACTGACATACAGAAATCTCCTATAAGAAAGGTTGTGGTCGTATGACAAAAGTTGAACTTTTTTCTGCTTATTTAAAAGAATGTTGTTTTTTTTTCATCTCTTGTAGACCTTTGTGTACACATCAGGAAAAAATTAGACAATTGATGCAACAATATTTTCAGAAGATATGTCGGTTGGACTTTGGTATAAATGTCTTGAGATACAACCTTTTGTTTATTAATGCTATCTTACTTTAAGTTGGTTACTTAATCACCCATATCATCTCGATATCTTCAGGGAATACATTTATCTGGATAAAAATTTCATCATATATTGTTTACTTCTTTGTGTCTCCAACGGTTTTAATCAACATCATTTGAAGTTTGCAAAGAAAGCGTACTTACTTTGAAGGCATGTACCCCTATTTTGCATTTATTCATCAGAATTATTTTAGTTTGTTTTTATGCGAAGCAGATCCAGACATATAATTATTTGTTCTTATCGTAGTACTTATTTCCAATGAAATAGATAGAATTTATTTTATCATTTTAACTCTTACCCAATTCTTTGATACGTTATTTTCCAGTTCTTTAGACATTTTTCTCAATACCTTTTAAACTTTAGAAAAACACTTGTCTTATGTCTGTGCTGATTTATAACTTCTCTTATCAAAACAAAAATAATCTCACCCGTTTAGACAACAGTTAAATTTGCTGACCTGTGCGTTCCATCGTTATCATTCAGAAATAGGACTTTTAGGTATTTATGTCAATTGAGGGGTGTTTTTTACCCTACTCCAAAACCAATTACCAATATTTTCAGCAGTTTACACAGTAGGGTAAATTTTATATTTATTCTGAACAATGTATATTAAGTTTTTAATTTTAGGCTGTTATTTTGCTCTGATTTCAGTTTACTGGAATGCATATAGTTCCTCCGGAGCTGATTTCAATTGTAAGTGTTCTTAATAATTAAACCAAATGGTTTATTATGTAAGAAATTTAACGGGCATAAAAATGTAACTCTTAAATGAAATGAATAAAGAACTTTCTTTCTTAAGCTTGTGTGGCTTACTAATTTTACAAATGGGTTGATGAAATGTTTTGTAATACATTTAATGCAAATTACAGAGGAATTTTACAGATAACTGCACAAACTGTTGGTATGGCTGTGACCACTCCTCAGGCAATTGTTCGGGTCAGTGCGCCCATGGATTTTTCGGTCCAAAGTGTGAACAGAAATGCCCACAGTGCCTTGACTGTGATAAACTCAACGGTGATTGTGTTTCCTGTCATGATCGACATTATGGGAAGAGCTGTGAATTTAAGTGTAATGAAAACTGCATGGTGGGGTGCAGAATTTCCGGAGATTGTTATAAATGTAACGAAGGATTTTATGGAATGACTTGTAATATGACATGTCCATCACCAAATTGCCGAAATGGGTGTGAAAGACACACTGGGAACTGTACAGGTTGGGGATGTAATGCAGGGTTTTGGGGTACAATGTGCAACAAGACTTGCCCACAGAACTGTGGGTTTACTTCTTGTCATCAAAAAGACGGAACGTGTCAGACTTGTAAAGATGGATACAGCGGTAACACTTGCAAGGAAAGATGTAATTATGAGCACTGTAGCTTATGTCAGTTTGACGTCACAACTTGTTTTAATTGCTACCACGGTTGGTGGGGAGAACACTGTGATAAACAATGCACTGATCACTGCAGTCACCCATATTGTTCACAACATACAGGGAAGTGTGGGAAATGTGACAACGGTTATCACGGCCCTTATTGTGAAGGAACGTGCAAAAATGTCTGTGAAACGTGTTCGGATAACAATACTTGTGATTCATGTAAAACAGGATTTTATGGGGAAGACTGTAAGCTAAGGTGTCCAGAAAGGTGTACCGATTGTGAACGCGATGGGAAATGTAAGGTATGTAATTTTGGATATTTCGGAGAAGATTGTAGATGTGAAATATCACAATGTGGAAGTAACAAAAACAGTTTTTGTTCAAGTTGCAAAAATGAGACAAATTGGTATCCCCAAGAAAAGGGCTGCTGTCCATGTAGTGATCACTGCAGTTCGAATTCTGGTGATCTTCTGTGTAATGAAACTGGTTGTTTCAACGGATGTGAAGATGGATATATTAGCAAGCAATGTTTGGAATCTTGTAGTGATCACTGTTTAGAAGGTGTTAAAGAAACATGTAACAACGAATCTGGAGAATGCCAAAACGGTTGTAAAAAAGGCTGGCATTTACCACACTGTGATTTTAGTTGTAGTTTACATTTTCCTCACTGCAGTTCATGTAAAGAATATACAGACAATAAAAATAAGCCATATGTTGTTTGCGAAACCTGTAAATTAGGTTATTATAAGGAATTATATTCAGGCCTGTGTAAGCCTTGTGAACACTGCCAAGGTGGAGACATGTGTGATGGTACTACTGGTTACTGTAAATGGGGTTGTCAGAGAGGATGGTTCGCCAAACGTGAACGTTACCTGTGTGAAAATCCATGTCCAGACAACTGTACCGGTGGAATCTGCGAGGAAATTGGCGGTAAATGCAAGTCTGGGTGTCGGCCGGGATCGTATGGTCCTTATTGTCTGATTCTCTGTCCAGACGGCTGTTTGAATAGCACGTGTGAGTTTGGAAGTGGGAAATGTGTGTTAGGTTGTGTTCCCGGACAACACGGTGCTTATTGTAACGAGAGTTGTAACGCTCAGTGTGGGGTTAAAGGTTGTAGACAAGACGACGGTTTGTGCAAAGGTACTTGTTTATGATGCTCTAAAATTACTCCACTCTATTCTTGCCTTTACTGAATTTCATTAATTCTTCTCAGGTTTAAAAATAAGGGTGAAAAAATTTGAAAATAAAAATTGTTGTTTATTCATTTTTAAAATTAATTATAGGTGTTTATACAAAAGAAAATTTCAATAAAGCTTTTTTGTTGGCTTTTCCAGATTGTATTCGGGAATATTATGGAGACCTGTGTTCTGAGCCCTGTAGCTCTCATTGCCTGGGTAAATTATGTAACCAGACAGGGTTTTGTTCAGCAGGGTGTGTCCCAGGTTGGACTGGACTACTTTGTGAAGGTACAGCCAACCACATACCCTTGATAATGAAAATTCCACAGATATGAATTCAAACATGTTCGTGGATTTCAAATAAATATTACGTGTATATTATTAATTTCGTTTAAATAACTCACGTTTGTAATCTATTAGTAGATAGTTTCTGGCCTGAATTTAACAAAAGAACGTAGCTCAATGAAAAAAGTGTACATGTAAATATTTAATCAATAAATAAAAGATAATAAATTTCGATCATTTTTTCTTTGCAGTATCTACGTCTAGATCTTCACAAAGCCAGCAAAATGTAACGGGTTAGTACATCATATAACAATGCGTGATTCCTTGCAATAAAGAGAATGATTCAATTTTTTAAATATTGCTTGAAACCTTATTCAATTTTAGTTTTCTTATGAAAATAAGGATAAAATGTCACAGACACTAAAAGAATTATTTTTGATTTTAAATTTCATTATAACATTTACATCAAAATCTTGTTTCTTTTTACACAGCTTCCTACATTTATACTGATGGCTCAAGTCCCCAACCTGTAGGTAAAGTTTTATGTACATGTACATTTTTCCATATCTCTCTCTGTACATTTTTTCATCTCTCTCTCTCTTTCCTTTTTTCTTTTCTCTTGCATAATAATTTTTGTATGTATATAGACACAAAGAAAATAGAAATTATACGAGCGGTGATCAAAATTAAAGGAAGCGAACTAACAGAATAACTTTCATAAACCAATTAAAATTAGGTTTCAGTGTACATTATATTTTTAAATAGTCCTCTCCAACTTTAATGTACATGTGCCACCGTTCTGCCCTTGCAAGAATCACGTGGTCCAGGCAATCACGTTATTCATGGTCCATGTAGGACTCTGATCACAGAATTAAAAAAATGAGTCATATGTATTTCTTACTGTGCAAGTTATTTTTTTATTCATAGCAAGAACAGTATATTTGTCAGGGTTGATAAGGAAATCATTTCTAAGAAAGAGCTTAATGACCATCACAACCCGAGTCTTCTGTCTTAAGAACGTCATTTATCCAATATAGATATAGGCTGGGCGCCTTCTAAATGATATTTCATCGATTCAATAACTATATTATTGGTAAAATATTCAACTACATTTCTAGCTCTAACTCGGCGATCTTTCTTAATAAATTGCTCACGAAGGACACATTTCGTCAGCTTGCTTTAATTTGGAATCAGAACATTTTACTCGTCCTTCTTTCTTTACTTAAACAATCAATCAAAGGAATGATTGCACTTCTGCAGAGACTTTTGTCTTCATAAACCTTGAACAATTTATATGCTACATGTACTACAAAGGAATTTCCAAGCCAAATTTCATTCTAATCTGAATTGTGGTGATGTAAATATAGAGATGGTTCGCGAACCTTTTGAACAACCCTCGTATTTCGGAGGGAGCGAGAGAGAGAGAGAGAGAGAATATAGAACATATTTTTGATTCACAGGCAATCTATAGAACAATATGAGAATTTGATTGCAGATTAAGTTGGAAAAATAAAGAATTATTATTTTGCAGTTAAGATTTGACAAAAATCCTTTTTTACAAAATAAAATGCTAATTCGAATGCTGTAGATTCCTAATTATACGCGAGGAATTAATTTCCGCGTAATTTCGCGAGAAGCGTCGCTCGCGAAAAAATATTACTCGCTTTTATTTTGATGATGCTGAAATCTATGTAATTTCTGTTGATCATCCGTCATTTCGCGAATTATAATTCTCGCAATTTGACGTTAAAGAGCCAAATCGCGAAAAATAAGGAATCTACAGTAAAGCAAATCTTATTACAACAATAGCTCTTGTCCTATTCATGTTATGTTTATTTTCTCCAGTGACCATCGTTCTGGCCACACTTCTAGCCATTGCAGTGATCCTAGTATTCATTCTTGCTCTTATGTTATGGCGGAGTCGGCGGTAAGTCTCATACAATTGGAATAAGTTTTCCCAAAAATATTATCTAAACACCAAGAAAAGTATCATTTTGAATAATATGTCTAACTTACCCAAGAAGGTTTTTTTTAATAGATATATGTTTATCGCCGTTCCATGTGTCAATTGTAATTTTCTCAGTTTTTTTTAATACTTCTGTATTTGTTATTAGAGCGATTTTAATCTACAGAAATTGTTCCAATTATTTCTCAGTCTGTAATTTTCAGAAATTTTTGCCCACTTCGTTTTTCTTGTTTCTTTATCCATGTCTGTTTTATTGCTATTTAACATAAAGATGTACTGACTTCAATATCGATGAAGCATGAGGGCAATAATAGGCTTTGTTCTAAAAAAAAAAAAAAACACGGATCAAAAGTAGATGAAATTTCGATAATTTTTTTTTTTTTTGGTTGAAATGTCTTAAATTATGACTCTTTTGATTTGGATAAGGCCCGCAAAGTTTTAACATATAAGTATATAAAGAGCGAAAATATTAAAATTATAAGTGCTATCATATATAAACTATACACTCACACCTGTGCAAAATGTAATTTACAAAACCATGGTCTCTTGCAGGCATTTATGGATGCGTGAAGGGGTTACTTATTCGATTTTTTTTAAAGGAAGCTGATTTTTTTTTCATTGCACAATACTAGTATTTCGCCCAGCAGAATTTATAAGATTTAACAATAATCAGAAACCATGTGCCAAATACATGTAGATTCAGTTTTTTAACGAAAAAGAAAACAAACATTAGCCTTCGCCCTTTTTATACATGGTTTGTTCATGGTATTGCGAATCGAATCTGGGAGACGAAAACCTCAAATGCAGGTCATACCATCATCCATGCAATTTCCAACAGAGAGTGGAAAGACATGGTCTCCAAAGTTTTTTTGAAAACAGTCAATGAGAAACTATTTTTTTTTAATTCCATATCTGCGTACCTGTATAAAGAATCAGAACAATGTTTTTAAACAAAATAAAATTGCAGGTGACCGATTACAAAGTTTTACAAATCCTTAGTGTCTGGATTATTTATAATGTCCCAAAAAGGACATCTGAAAAATGCCGCATTAGTATTTTTTTTTATTATACGAGTTCTGATCAGTACATTTGTATGTGTGTTTAGACTGAGACCGTGTATGACCTTCAGCAAAAATCTAACTCATACATGTATTAAGAGAGTTTTATTTAAAAGTAATTTATCTATAAGATATAGATTTTTGACAGGTTTAAATTTTTGTTGTTGCTAAATTCTCTAATAGAAGAACTGCGTGTAATCGTCCTTTGTAAAATAAAAATCCCTGTAAGTTTGTAGAGTGCACACTCACTTATCAAACTTCACCATGCGAACCTTATTAAAATTCGATGTGTTAGGAGTGTATTAAAAGCTTGTTTGAACTTAATGATCACAGTCAGAGGTGGTTATTTTGATTAACACATGAAGGATTAGCCTGAACGTAATTAACTAGTAAGTTTCTTAATTAGTTCTTTTAGTTCAGGTCAGGGTTACCATAATATTTATCAATCACACTCATAATGACTGTCTACGTCTACAGAATTTGTCTTTGTGAATTTTCGATCCTTTTTATAATTCATCTCTGAAACATATTTTTTACTCTTTTCAGCATTGGCAGTGGTAATTTTGACGTAGTTGAAATGGCAAGAAATTGAGAATACGTCCTGTTTCAATATTATTTCGGTTATGGTAGTTTAATTGCAAGAGTAAGTGTTAAATCAACAGGTTGATTCAAGGTTGGACATTTTGAAAACTATTACACACGATTTTTCCAGTGTACGCTATGTCTCTGATTTCTCAGTATTTTGATAATACAGTCAAGTAAGCTATTTACAATTAAGGTTAATCAGGTAAAGTTATTATAAATAAGGAGCAAATTGTGTGAATAACACATAAAACATACTTTTAATTGTAAATATAATGCATTTTTCAAATTCTTAAAAGAGCAAAGGGATTAGAATAATGTGAACTTATGACGTTCATTGTATAAATCACGTGTAAGGATTTCTTTTTAGATCTGAGTTCAACCGAAGTGCTATTCCTGATCAAAAGGTGTCTACAGTTCGCTCGTCTGGTGTCTATCGTCTGCAAATTTAACATTAACATTTACAACTTAGTTTAGATTTGAAGTGCGCATTCTGTTTACTGTACATTTTTTGTACCATTCGCATAAGCTTTATGCACCGTACTTTGTACTTCAGATTTTATAATGGTTTTCGCTACATGTTTTTGATCATATCACATAATATCAATATGTTTCATGGTGTTTGGTATTGTCAAATATACATGAACTATGCATTGACATATTTTAGTTACCTCGACATTTATGTATTAATAATTGATTGTTCAGATTTCGACCTTGTGTTTTCATTTGATATGAACCGGGCATCTCCACTACGTATAATAGATAATACTATAAAAAATCTTCTCTAGAACCAAAGAGTCATATTGATGATACTGATATTAAAGCACCCCAACGGTGTGGATTCAATTTTAATTAAAAGATATTTTTATATTCTGCTTATGACAGGAACTAAATGAATTTGGAATGCATTGTGGCGTGTGAGTTCCTAATTATAATTGTTTCTTGAGATGGAAAAATGAAGATTGTTGAAATAATGTTTAAAAACTCTTTTTTCCCACTTTTTTAAAGAACATCTCCATGGTTTGTGATTGAATATGAATTTTTATACGAGTTATGTGTATTCCATCACTGCGCCTGATTTTTATCCAACAAATTGTATGTTGAGAGTGGGGGAGGGAAAACACAACTACATGTACTAGTATTTGGACAAAAATTGTGACAATTTAAAAAAAAAACTCTGTGTGATTCTTTTTATTATATTTTCTTATATTTTGTGATATGTTTCCGACAATCAAGACAAACACCAGATATCATTATTTCAAGCGCTCAAACAGGCTTACTTTTTTTAAATATCGGAATAAATCTTTGTAATATGTGTCTTTATACAAAAGTATTAATTCTATAATTGATTGATTTTCATCATCAAATAATTCTTCATTTTCGATTTTAGATGAAAACTAGCATGTAAGACAATTGTATACACTGTATATGATTTCTATTTTCTATCCCAAACTGCTTGAATTTTGACAATTTTAAAATCAGAATTACCATAATTTTGTCAACAAGAATATTTGTATTTCATTTTTTATTGCTAGGCAATGTACACCTAAAGGTGTTTTGTGAACTATTGTCAATCTTTCTGTCTCATTTGCAATGCATTGCATGTGTTTTAGTTATTTCATGAAATGATTTAAATATATACGTTTTGTAAGTTTTGTAAACCTTTCTGGCCAAACAATAAATTTAGTTTGTGAAAACCAAAATATTTATTAGCTTTTATTTGAACTTCATTGCAAACAATAGTAAATCAGAGGTGCTGTATTTTGTGCATTTACATGATTATAAAACATTTGAATTTTTAAGTTTGCTTGAATTACATACACGATTGGTACGCCCAACATTGTTTTTATGACGCAAAATCTGACAACAATTGGAAAGTCTCTGTATTTTTAATTAATTTTTCCGTAATTAAATTACAGATTTCCTTTTTCAAGTCTGAGAATTTGCGACCTAATATTTTAATGATCATAAATCATTGAAGAACATACATACTTGGAATGCATAAAAGAAAAAAAATGTATATCATTGTAAGAAATTTTATTATCTTCATTTTTTGGCTACAAAAAACATTTTAGTTTATGTAGCAATAAACACGATGTGAAAGCTCTTCCAGAAAGGTAATTGATTCGTGTTTTATTTTCTTTTGTTCACATAATCAGCGATAAAATGTCAGGATAAAACTAATCGGTGTTAATTTTGTAGGAAAAATATAGAGGAAAAGCTGGTGGAAACACTTCCTAATCATCCGTCATCAGCGAATACGGTTTTTTTCTTGTTTGTAAGACAAATCGTTTTTATGCGTTGAATGGCCCTATTTGCCTTTTGTAAAATCAATGGTGAACGCGTTACCATGTTTTTCCGTCAAAAGAATATGTTCTGTTTGTTTTTGAATCAAACGAGTTAAATGAGGCTAAACATGGCTGTTCATAAATATTTTGACATGAAAGCTTCGGACAGATTGAAGGATTTTATCATTATTTATTTCCTAATTTGTAACATTCAAGGTAAGTGGGTGTCTTTTTCATAATTTTGATTTGTTCAATCTTGGTGGTCTGTGGTAAATCAAGTCATAAAAACAAAATACAAAAATAATTGGAGGTCTATGGCGCTCTGTTTTAGTTTGGTCTCTCATTGCTATTCTATTAAGTCAAATGTCAAAAAAAAAATGCTTTAATTTTTTTCTAGTAGTTTTAATACCAAAAATGATTATATACTGAAAGGCTGCTCAGTTTATCAGCTATTCCTTTTTGATTTTTTTTTTACTTTTATGAAACTGTTTTACTAGGATAGTACCTGTAATCTGTAATGTCCTAAAAAGTTAAAAGATTTTTTTAAAGTAAAATATCAAGAAGACTAGAGGAGTGACAATTATGTATTTTTAAAAGCACTTTTCCTTACGGAAGCTCTAATAACTGTTAGAATAATTACTTATTGACTTACATGTTTTCATTTTCATGTAAATTTGGACATGGTAACATTGAATACAGTCAATCTTCTGTTCTAACATCGTATCAATCAAACTATTGATTAATCCGCCCCCTCTCTCTATCTTTCCCTCTTAAAATGCAGTCACGGATGAAACCTACAGTTTTAAATCAATTTAAGTCACACTTCTAAATCTTTACATGTTTTAGGGTAGCAATGCTTTCATTTATTAAAGGAAATAAATATATACTCTAACTTACAAACCTTCACTTATTTATCCGAGATATTCTGACACGTGCATCTAATCCGTGAACATAAACTTTTGAAATAATTTTTATGCTTTATACGTGCAAATACACGTAGAAAGGCAATTTGTATACAAAAGTCAATTTTTTAAGGTAAATGAATTAAATTATTTGAAAACACGTGATTTCAAAATTGTATATTTCAAGATTTACCAATTTTCCATCTTGCAGAGTGTCATTCTTACAATGAATATTAAATATTAATTAATAAATGATAAAGAAAACTTCCATAAAACATAATTTTCTACAGAAATATCTCGGGAAATGTTATATAATTAACTTATAAAGAATATTTTTATCAAAACTTTATTTTAATAGAATTAAATTATGTTCAAATCATTTATTTCCAAACTCTTACTTTTCCCCACAAACAAAAATTGCCACATAATATAACTTACAATGCTTTATGTACAGATCCATATGTCTCAATCAGGACATCATGTTTGATTAATGAGATTAATTACATGCATGCTAATTGAATTGCCTGTGACATTTATAGTCTTGTGTTTACTTTCTCTTCTCTCAGAGAGTGAAGACTTTATCAGGATTTCGACCCTGTGTTCATACCACTTTTATTGTTTACATTCAAGCCTTGATTTAAAACATTTCACAAAAAAGTATGTTTAAAAAATTAAATTTATACTCAGTGCAAATATATTATGATTTTGAATGGTTAAAATATTTGGAAAAAAAAAGTTTTTCTCAAAGTCCAAAATAATATTTTCATCAGAGGAGGGTCCTTAAGATTGTTTTGACCATAGTGAATCTCCTTCATAAAGAAATAGTTTTAAAAAATAACATTAATAGGTAAATAAAAATTACTCAGCTCTAGAACTTTTTACATTGAAGTTTTCTCATATAAATTAATTTAAAAAAAGAAAAGATGTTTGAATTTTGTAGGTTGTTTAACTAAACTAACAAAAATAAACGATACTGTGAAATCAGTAATTTTCATGGGGGTTAATTTTCGTGGTTTTCAAGGTTTGAAGAGACCCACGAATTTATATCCACCACAAAATGCAATATTTTTTTACATATATTACTACTGAACAATACTTCAACCATAAAATCAAATCCCATTGAATTTTTCCTCAGACCACGAATATTTTCTTCAATCCACGAAAAGTTGACTCCTCGAAAATATGTGATTTAACTGTAACATTTTTTAAAGATAGTACTGCACAAACACGATCACTTCATAGTATCATTGGTTACGGAGGAGTCAGGGGAGTGGTCCATATTGAACCGAATTTCCGACCAAATAGATCCCTGGCCGTTCTTACTTTCCCAAATATACGGAACACACATTTGGTGGAGATTCGGGATAATAGAGTACTAACTGATGTCACTGTCAGGTGTTTGGACAGGGATTTAGGACGAAGGTAATTTAAAATATAATATAAAAAAAATAGATAAAGTTATCTGATTCTCATTATAAAAAAGATCATGAGATAAAGATAAATGGGCTTGTAGATTAACCTTGGAGCTTTCAGGTTGTGCAATAAAGCTTAAAATTTCAAGATTGTTCTTATCTTTCCTATATCATTTGCATACATTTGGCCTGCATTTTTTGTTTCTTATACCCTATTTATACTAACAGTTTCAATTTTTGTATCTGTGTGTTTCAAAATGTAAAACATATGAAACTAATTTTTAAAACAATTGTAATAATGTAAGGCCACGTCACCAATTGCTCCATATTTTTTTTTTACAGATACATCAACAGAACATGGCTTCTCGTTCCTGGCCGAGATCATCGCTATTTTGGCCTGGACTCTGACGCACGCTCACTTAACGGTGCGTTTTACAATCGTTCCTGAAAGGGTAACATTGAAATAAATTTCATTCAACTTGTAGCCCATCTTTCAATGTCAGATGAAATTGACAAAACATCCAAGTCTGTTGTTCATTAAGATGAAATTAGAGGGCTTCGAGGCAAGTTGCATAGTCTCAGTTGTTTTGGATGAATTATACAGCATAATGCTTGTTTGAATTTCATTAAAAAATCTCTTTTTTTGACATAGGAAAGGCAATTTTACTAACCAACGCTGACACAGGTCAAAGAGTTTGTGGAACGCTTGAACCAAGGGGATTGCATAATACCGCTGAAGCAAAGTTCCTTTCAAACATAGGAGGGATTATAACATTCAGACAACTTGAAAACGACAGTCTTGCAGACACTTCAGTGAGAGTGAATCTATTTAAAACACAAGGAGAAAATCCTGTTGCAGAAACCTTTTTCTGGTTCCTAGTTCCAAATCCAAATCGCGATCAGTATAAGACAACAATGAATACAGAATGTCGTCTTCCTTTGCCTTTCCCGCCCTCTCTTCAACAACTTTACAGCATGTCACGCAGGTTTGGTCGTCTGCTCGTAGGCGCTAAGAAAAACGATGCTACTTTCACTTTCATAGACTCCGAGTTACCTTTGTCTGGATTGAGGTCTGTTATTGGAAATATACTAGTACTAGCAAGACGAACAGGAGAAATTGCCTCTTGTGCATTGATAAGAGAAATAGAACCAAAACAAGCTATTGCTTCCGTATTTAATGACGGTGTGAAAGGTAATTTACCATACCATTTCCTTTCACACTTATTTTCACTATAACGAAGACCAAAATAGCAAATATTGATAATATTCAGTTGAACCGTTTTAAAGTTTGACACAAAAACTAAATGTAAGTGCAACATTCACTTTGATAAGCTTAGGCTATTTCCCGGTGATTCAGCCATTGTAAGTGTGATGGATAATTATATATTTACACGTACAATTGCAAAATAACTAAACAATATATTTAACGAGTGATTTATATAGACGTGTCTATGAGTATATATTTTTTTATTATGACAATGATTATCCACATGAAAGAAAATATTACCAAAATAGAAAACTCGTGATCATTCATCATTTGCGTTTTACTCATTTTCGCTGATTTACTATTATTCCATCTTCTTTCAGGAACAATTCAGTTGTATCAGAGATCTTCCTATGATAACACTGTGGTACAGATTACTTTAAACAACCTTCGAGGACTCGCTGGTGGTTACCATATTCATAAGTGGCCGGTTCCTGTCAAGCTTACCGCATTGGATAATGTGTGTGACGACAAGAGCATCAGCGGACACTTTGATTTTGAAAGAGAAAAACCGATCTCCCCATCACGTCAGACTGGAACATCCGATCAGTACGAAATAGGCGATCTTAGTGGGAAATACGGATACCTTACAGGACAAGACAGTTTTAATGGACAGTTCAGTGATGACAATTTACCATTATTTGGAAAGTACAGTGTGGTTGGACGTTCTTTTACGATTCATAGGTCTTATAGGGATGAACGATGGGTCTGTGCAACAATAAAACCGGTTAGTAGGGTTACAAAAGCAGTGGCAAAATTCAAAGGACCTGTTATTGGACAAATTGTGTTTACACAAAATCGAAACGATTATCATTCCGATACTCATGTGTTTGTTGAAGTAAGTTATTCCAACGGAATACAAAGACCAACCTTTAGTCACAATTGGCATGTACATGAAAACCCGGTTTGTGATTTATTTAATGATAGACCCTGTAACTGTTCTGCAGCTGGTGAGCATTTTAACCCCTACCGTGTGAATGTTAATGGAAACTATGGTACAGAGTGTCGTTTTTGTAACCCTCTCAGATGCGAACTTGGTGACCTGTCCGGCAAAAAAGAAACTATTAATATTAGAGGCAATAATACTGTGTGGTATCGAAATTACTTCACAGACATAAACTTACCTTTAGAAGGTCCACTTGGCATTATAGGAAAATCTCTAGTGATACATGATGAAAACAAAGGAAAAGGGCGTTTGGCATGCGCAAACATTTTCGAAGTTCCGGCACGAGCTTTGTTAGTTGAAAACTGGTATGGATCCAGAACAGCACCTATAACAGGCCTGTTTGAATTTGTAGGAAATGTTCCACAGTATGAAGAAGCAATAGCATGGACCTCATTACGTTTGTCCGGTTTACAACGTAGGGCTGCTGGATATCATATACACACAGAACCAGTCGATCTATCTTCTCCAGCTCCTTGCGAAAATAATGTGGTGGGTGGTCACTTCAACCCTTTCTTTGTAAACCAAACAAAAAGCCCACAACCAGGAACAGGGACCCATGATTTGTATGAAGTCGGGGATTTAAGCGGCAAATACGGTTCTATTCTTGAAGGCAGGGTAAGCATTGTTAGCATTACAGAAAAGTTCCTTTCCACTTCTGGCTTGTTTGAATATTTTAAATTATCAAGTACATAATACTTTTGATATACCATTTTTTTTTGAAGATACATGTTAAGTAACTTTTTGTCTACTAATCATAACTTCTTGTGCATTTAGCATGACATTTTGTATATAAAACCTTTTACCCAGGACACAGTTCTCGCCTCAGGACCCGATAATTTCTTACCTGTAGCAGGCCCCTTGAGTATTAGTGGAAGATCATTGGTTATCCATCGTGGCGATGGATCGAGATGGTTGTGTGGAAATATTGAGGAGAACACAGAAATGTCCGGGGGTAGGATAGTCCGGCTGATTGCCAGGTTTACCAGGGGTCTCTTGTCAGGATCTATAGAACTGGTAAGATAAATATACACTTGATCAGTTACAGTTCATCGGATTAGAAGTATCATTCACCACGTCACTAAAGTAAAAGTCTGAGCATTTTTATCAATAATGTTAAATATAACATCTACATAATTGATGTGAGTAATATTGAAGAGTTTTTACACGTCTTTTATTGTTGTATTTCTATATTCACAGAAACAATATGTTTATCCAGATAACACAGCAAGTGACACTGAAATATTAGTGGACTTGAAATTTAGAAACAATGAAAGACTACGGGTTGGTATTTCATCGTCATTTTATCTATGTTGAAAACTCGTATTCTAAATGTATTTCAGTTAATTATTGCAAACACGATTAAACAATATTATGAACACATAAATATTCAGTTAATTGAGATATGTTAAAATATGTATAACTCTACATACTCTATATACAAACCTAAAGACATAAATACCATTTTTAGGTAAGAGGCCTTAACTGGCATGTACATGTGTACCGAGTTGTAGAGGGTGGAAACTGCCAGGATGCTGGGCCTCATTACAATCCTTATAATGTGAATACAACGGTAAGATTACGAAAAAAATTACAAGTTATAAGTCATAAATTTTAATTCATTTGTTCGTCATCCCGCGATTTGTGACTACACCAAACATCTAAAATAGTTTTAAAGTACAGTCAAAACACTTTTACAAGTTACAACAACGTGTAACTTTAGTCAAACCATGGATTTAAAAAAAAATACGAAAAGAAGTGTACAAATTATTAATCATTTCCTGAATAGTAATGATTGTATTTGTTAAATGAACAACAATTCTTATACCATATTGTGCAAAAGTTATTTGTAAGACTATATCACTGATCATTATTAAAACATCTTCAACTTTTTTATTTTAATTCTGAGTGATTTAGTGCGACAATATATAATAACATATTTGGTAATTAACTTTCCTTTAAGCAAAAGTTTCTCTATCTTATTGTGCAATTTTCATTTACTAAAATATTTTTTTTACATAGAATCAAATTTTCTTATTTGTTTTAAAGTAAGCTATAAACCCCATTTATTTTTAATTGTTTTATCCAATCGTTTACATAGATATAGACTGCTTACATGTATTCTTGCAGGTGGGATATGAAGAATGTTCTTTTTCAAACCCTTACCGTTGTGAATTAGGGGACACAAGTGGTAAACACGGTGTGTATGAAATAGGTGGAGGTCCAAGATTCTACACTGACGTTAATTTGCCTCTGATTGGGAGATTTGGAGGTAAGACTTTTACCCAAATTGTTTTATCTTACTACAGTGAAAATACTGATGTTATAATTTTTTTTTAGATTTTCTGAATAAAATTTTACCATTGTCTATCGTTGTTGTCCTAAAAAATTTCATGAGTCAAATGATCAATTTGCATAGAACAAGAAGTTTATTCAGATGTCATGTCATCTTTCAAGAGGAGATTTTTTGTTTTAAATTGTGAAAATTTTGCTAGGGTGTATGAAAATCTTATTCTCGTGAACAAGGGGACTAAAAATGACAATAAATCGGCAAAAAAAATTTTTCTAACGAACTGCTTGGTTATATTGAGTGAAAAAGTCTTTTATAAACATGATTTTGAACATTGCATCCAGTTCTTCATTATTCAAAATAGAAATATTTGAGTTGTAGAATCTTTGAATATGCGAACATGCCTGTATATACATATAACTTGACATGTGCATATTTTGAATATTGAAATTTGCAATCTTTGAGTCAATCTCGTATACACAATATTTCATTTGACATACATTGTAGACCAAGAAACTAATGTATTTTCAATCATAAATCAAATTTATTGTTATATTTGAATTTCAAATCATAGTTTTCACACAGCCATTTGAAAAATATTATTTCAATATGTAAATGCTGATTTTTTTTCTTTACAGTGGCAAACAGGTCATTTGTTATTCATCAGCCAGTGTCGCAGTCAGGAAGATTTGATTGTGCTAATATTGTTCCATTTAATGCATAATATTTTTAGTTTCCAATAAAAAAAAAGTCTCTTTTTAAATATGTCTGTGAAATTTTATTACCCGGACATCTATTGTTCCGGATCATTTCATCTTTCATTATATTATTTACAATGTCGAAACTTGAGAAAGGATACAATCTTTAATTAAAAGAAATATGTAGTTATATCCCGGTTACCCACTGCTCTTCATTTTCGCTTAACCAAAACTCGAGTCCTACAAAAGTTCGCGTAATCCATTCCCGTTTAAAATTGGTTATCACTAGATTTTCATTATTGTCCATGACTTTAATAACAGTGATAAGACACATCACCAATACGAATTGAGAACAACATGAATGTATTCATTATTCTGACGGTTCTGTGGTTAAATGTTGTGGATGCTGTAAATCGTAACTATATTTTTTTATTCAAAGATCTCTGTTCTATAGTGCTAATTTCTTTTTCATTATTAGATAACATTGCAGAAAAATTGTTCCGTAAGTTTCTCACGTGTTTCATTGTAACGAAACGTGACGTACAATTTATTTTTACATGACTTCTTCATTGAAGATTCATGCAAGGATATTTACCTTGCTAACCCAAGCAGTGCTAATGGTACCTACACAATATACAATCGTAAAAACCAGTCATACAAGGTATATTGTGAATTCCATGATAAATTTGGATACACCTACCTGTCCAAGAATACTGCTGTTGAAGTCAACATAAATGACCTCTTCACAACGAGGGCCCATGTCAAAGTGAGGCATCTGAAGAAAAATGGCGTCCAGGCAGAAACAGTCATGGAAAACATAAGAAACTACCCGACGCAACCCTTGGGAATTTTCTACAACCAGCATACAGGATATCCAGCATCGGTCAATGCGGCAAATCTAGCACCTTATCTTTATTTAGGCTTCCTACCTATAAGTCTGGCAAATCATGTTAATCCACAGGGATATCGTGCCTCGGGTCAGGACTTCCATTTTGTAAACTGCGACAGGAACCCCAACAACTACTTTGTATTTTACTTCAATCCCAACCATAAACAACCCGTGGGTTACGTCAACTCCTGTTGTGAGACGGCTCTTATGCACTCCTGGATAACAGTAGCTCATAACCTACCTACGTCATCTAATATGCCTGATGAGTTTTATTTTGACTATGAAATTCATTTTGGCGGGTGCGGGGGATATGCATTTATTCATCACCACAATGATATTAATGGCGCTGCCCTCGGCGTGCGCTTTGGTAAGTTTTACAGTTAGCTTTAGTTTCTGATGAAATTGTGCTATAGGACTTTATTGGCAGATATTTTCTCTTTGCAGGTTCAAAATACCTTAAGTATTCCATTCTTTGCTATCTATTAAAACACGCCTACAATCATGCAGGTAATACATTAATTCATTATTTCTGCACAGAACAAATGGATCCCTGTAAGAGTTCTCCTTGCCATAATGGCGGTACTTGTTATTCTGAAAACGAGACACAGTTCATTTGCGAGTGTCCAGATGGATTCATGGGTGATACCTGTAATGTCAAAGGTAATTCTCTCTCTCTCGAACTCTCTCGAACTCTCACCCTCACACACTCTCTCTCTCTCTCTCACTTTCTCTCTCTCTCTCACACACATAGAAAATTACTGTTATACATTTCAGCGTTTCTTTTTTTTACAGGAGATCATGGGAATACTGGAATAATAGGATGAAGATAATATACTTTGTATATTGACTGAAGTAAATGGAATGAAATTAATTTCTTAAAAATTTACAAAACAAAACAAAACATGTGTATGTCATTCCTAATATTGCAGGGTGACGTTTCATTACAGAAATTTCCACCTGTGGTTAAACCTCTGGTAAAATAAAAGTAAGACAAAAGTATCGAAAGTCTGGATCACACAGTAGTGTCGTCGTTTTCTTTCAAGTATTTAAAGTTCTTTGTAAGTAAAAAGTTTGGAAGCAATAGTCGATGTATATTTGTAGGAAATAAAAAGTGTAGTTTTTAACTTGAAACATGGTGGAATACAAGATTGGACCCTTTTGTGATATAGAATTTTACTTATATAAGCCGCGTCAATTCCTTTTTTTGCATATTCAATTTTAACGAAAAACGGATTGTTCTAGCTGCATTTTCTTCAGCAGGGGGTTAAAAAAGCTTATGATCTGTAATATCCATAATCACAGGTCCAAGCCTATATTCCGGTGTCTAGGAATCTAAAATTGACTTTTCTTGACCTTTTCAAGAAGACTATTTAAAAGTTTCAAAGGGACAGAGCAAAGTTTGGTGCGAATAAGATGTACCGGTAGATATATTGTAAACGTATTAAATTTGGCTGTGTATTCTTTTAGGTGACTTTGGCGGAACGCAGCAACCGCTAAATCAAATGCAACGCTAAATGTCTTGCACATACGAGGGTTGTCCCATAAAATCGTGGACAAAGCGTTTTTCTCTAAAAGTAATGGGCGCACTAAGCTGAAATTTTCAGTAAATGTTTATTCATCATATTTAAGTGAATCATAATGTTTTTGAAAATATATATTCAATAATAAAGATTTTATTCTGCTTGAATGTGCACAAGGTAAGGTCCTACGGCGCACGGTAAAAATAGCAAGGTTATATTAGAGAAGACATAAGGATTAATTCGTAAGAAAATTTTTTAATACATAAGATTAGGATGAAAATTATCCTAATTCCATTCCTTAATCAATTCTGTCGTCTTTTTAAAAATTTCAAGGCATTTGGTTAATTTTTGGCAGTTTCCCGAGCATTTGAAATGGGAAAGTAATAAACACAATACACGAAAAATGGCGACTTTTTATGACGTTACGGCGCACCGGAGAGCAGTTCAGATAGATTAGGATGTTGTAATGACGCCTTAAGAGACATTAAATGAATACAGAAGAAAGAAAATATGAAAAATATCACCAGATCTTTAGTATATAAATGAAATGAAAGTTTTCTTAGTGAAGTCTTCGTGATCGAGTCCCCAGATAGTACAAAACATTTGGACAGACTGCCATTTGTTATAGCAAAGGACACTGTCACTTTCGACCGTCGATGTGAGATTCTCATTTAGTTGAATGATGGTGAGAATACTGTCTGTAGCTTGCTAATAAATATTCAGAAGATCGCATGAGTGTGCCTTATTGGTTTCTTAACTGGTTATAGATACTCACATATGTAAATCAATAAAATTTCTAAATTTAAGTGGGGCTTATCCAACTTTAAGTTTAGCAAAGATGAAACTTGACGCTGTTTTAGACACTTTGACGTTATCATCCGTGCGCCGTAGGGCGATACAGTACATAACATAAAATATCACATTTGTTTACCTATGCATATATCTATTTGAAATTTGCTATGTATATTCATAATTTATCTACGAAAAAGTGGTGAAAATTTCAGAACGCAGTGATGATTATTTTTCAAACTGGACAACTTGTCCACGATTTTACGGGACAACCCTCGTATACACACAAGAAAAATTGATGCAAAACATCAACCCGGCCGCAAACAAAATTTAGCAATTAAAAAATTCCTTTCACAATTTAAAAAGCGTACAAACAAGGAAAGCACGTCAAGATAAAATTCGAAGGTGAAATAGTTGTTGAATCATTTTTATTTCAGGCTGTCTTCAAAGCAAAATAAATAATTTTAAAGAATTAAATAAATAGACATTTTACACTGAAGATGTAGGCCTCTCAAGATGAACCACCTGCTGATACCCTGAATCTTGGTCACGTTATAATGCCCATGGTTTCTGTAGAGTAGGCTTTCCTGCAAGCCGCGATGCAAAATGTACAAAAATATCTTTTTGTCATTTGCAGCGGAAGAGCATATTCTAAAAAAATTTGACCAGTTGAAAGTTTTTTTTCAATTTTTATTCACCCTGCTATACCACGTCATTATTATCCGGAAAATCATGACGATTTCCTTTCATATCTCATACACTCCCAGGCTGGGGAGTGTCTATTGTAAACTATTTTTATATAACTATAAATTATCAATTATCTGATGGGAAATGAAGATGAAATTGAAACATAATAACAACAATTAATATTAGGTTAAAAGCAAGTTTTTAAAAATATTTTACTCGTGATTTTTACTTGTTATCATTAAAGAATTATTTTACTGAACTAATAAAAAAATAAAGTCTCAATTCCCCATGTGCACTTTCTAACACAACCACAAATAGATCTGCCGCTGCCGATAATAAATAAGAATATGAAGAAATGCGCTAAATCAAATCTACGCTAACTTATTCAAAAATCAATTTCCGTCAAATATCGTACACGCTAAATATAATACATTTACAGTAACTGTTGATTTACATAAAGTAATAATGAATAAAAAAGAGACATCGTGTATATCAGAGGTTTATTTTAAGACCGATTGTTATGACTACGCTTACATCTCTGTGTATGATTTAAAAAGTCCTATCAAATTAACATTGTTGGAAAGATTGCAACACTATCGACGTTGTCATAACATTCATACTAGGGAAAGGCTGTCCCTAGTCCAAAATTATAAGATTCAAGTTTTAATATTTTTACTCAAGCCCTAGAGCGGCTTGAGTTATCTAAAACGATGCTAGGTCATCGATTTACTCAGTTTAAATACACGAAAAGTTATTATTTTGTAGATAAAAATATATCTAGAGAAAAAAATGAAGCTTATCTTGAAAAAGTCTGTATATTCAAAGACAAGAGTTAAATGTCGGATTCTATTCTATGGCGAATGAACAATGAGTGAAGCTCCGCAGCTGCAACAGTTTCTATACAGAGACTTCGCGCTTTGCTAAAGCGTAGGAATCTAAGGTAACTTTTACAGTCTCCGACAAACTGAAGCATGTTTGTTTTTTTTTCCACTGTTTACTCTGAAATGTGAAACAGGTTACCCATCGTTAACAAATTCTACAATACATGGCCAGAAAATGTATGATTGTACCCCCCCCCTCCCCCCAATACTGAAATTGCTTCTCACGGGCCTGAGAATGATGTGCATGTGCCCTTTGAGTGACAGTAAAATAATAGCACAAAATTAATGTCAGCTTTGGTAACGGAACCTATATACGTATGGAATATGTATTAGACATGCCGCACAGCTAGATGAACCCGTATATATAGTCATGTGGATTTTTTTGAACCCGGAGCCCCTCCCCCTCTCCCCTCATCTATTTTGAAAAACGTTTCTTTCTGTATGCTTGTAACAAGCTATTTGGATTGATGTATATTAAATGATGTACGTCATTAAGCAAAAAAATGTATAAATTTTATAGTTTGAAGTATATCAGCATAAAAAATATTTCATTAAATTAAGAAACTGCCACTATGCTTTATAAATATTCATGAAAGTGAGTAACGTAAATTCACCTTAAAAAGTAGTACGATTTAATATATTTATTCTAATTAAAATTAATATATGAATTCTGTTTCATGTACATGTATTTTATTCAACAGAAGATTGAACTCAATAGATCTCATCTTTTACAATTATAGGATGTTAATGACACTTCCTAGTTGACTTTCTACAGCTTGAGTATCTCTGACGTTTTGACAGTATATACTTGTTTTATCAGACTTGTTATCTTATCAGAGCTAGCACAAACTAAGAAGAGCAAAAATCTATGTCATCTAATGCAAGTTTATCATAATGAACAAAGAAACGATAAAAACACGATGCATTTAAGTATTCCAAGTTGGTCATTTGAAATCATAAATTTCATTGTTTCTTTATAATAATTTTGTTTGCAAATACACGACCTATTCAGACTAAGTGTCACATTTACTTTTAGGACATTTCTTTAATGTTAATGTTGACTGAGGAAAATTCCATTTTTAACTTAACAATCTAGATTCCAATGGCTGTAACGACCATTTGATAAAATAAATTTTTAAAAATGCTGTTCCAGAAAAATTCTAATCATTTACCTTTTTGAAATTCAATAATTACAAAAGTAATTTCCCAATTTTCGGAAAACATTGGGCATTAAGATCAAGGTCATTACAATGAGTTTTATTTTAAATTACAAAATGAATACAACTAGTTTTAATAGTCATCTGGTTTTACAGTAATTGTGTACTGAGTAATAACAATGGAAATCAGTTTTAAGTAAAGACGTGTTCGAATGGGTTAAAGAGATTTCTAGTATTTATTCTCTAGCACCCGCTCTACCCGAGCAAGTCAAATTTTTGAAAATTGCAATTAATGACAATTTCATATATTAAAGTTTTTAAGAATGAATCTGCCATTCATTTTGATGACTTTAAACGATACTTCTGATATATTTACCTGGCAATATTGCTGCGAACGCACAGGTTTCCCTATTTTTTCAACATAAATCAATGATAATCTACGGTTTTTCCTGGGCAGCTAGGGATTCATAGTTGTGTTTATTTTAATTTATGTAATTTAATATATGATTGTATTATACTGCTTTGTTTAAAGTGTGTGGAAACAATAAAGCCTAGCGTCATCTCACAGTGCGCTAAAATGCACTCAAATGTATTGATGTTTATGTCGGTGAATTGTGGACATGAAATTTTCAACACCGCCCACATGTTAAGTTTTATGAAAATAAAAAAACAGAAAAAGATAAATCCGAAGAACAATTTAAACCAAAATCAATGGAAGAGGGACACCTAAAAGATACAGAAAAGACACGTACCAATATCTGTTAGGAATTGTGAAAGCCTGCAAAACGTCATTGAAAATTAAGTCAATGTAGTCAGTTAGTGTTCTTCGCTTATGTCACTGTC